TTAACGTTTATAAATAGAGGTAGTTACTTAACCCTTCCAGTTATCCTCTGACTTACAATCTTACTTTTGAGGGTTTCGATGATATCCCAGCACCTTTTTGCTCGCATCTCTTATAATCTCTTAATATATTGTTTACTTTATCGCAGTGTTCATCGACATTCTCTTTTAGGTCCTGGTCCTGAAGAGCTTGAAAGCGGTTATGTAGCTCTTCTACTTCGAACTTTCCGTATGTTTCTTGGGACCTGACTTTATTTACATCGAAGCGTTTCGATTTGCATTATTAAGTTATAAACGTTTTGGAGTAAATGGTACTTCAAACTGGTTGGATTTTCAGGAGTTCTTCTCAACGGAATATACCGGGTAGATCCAAAAAGAAGGATCCAAAGCTACCTCCTGAGTAGAGTATCGATATTTACTTTCCCTCTTAGTGCGGTTTGGTAGTGTAGGGTAAGGTAAGGTAATGTAATGTAATGGAATGGAATGGAATGGAATGGGAGAATCTCAATGCCCAAAATGCGGCTCTGAGGCTTGTCCATTCCGTAGCATAGTGCCACGATTAAATACCCTTTCAGCCTCATAAAAAAAATAAATAAAGATTTCGATAATTCACTGAATTTCTCTTAGAAAGTAATAAATAGTAAATAAACTATCGTTTTGATTAGCATAATTGGTGGTGTTTTATTTTTCATCTGCCCCCTTCACCCAAATGAGATGTTCGTTTTAATTTTTTTATGTATTTATTTTTTAATTTAAATGCGTTTTCCTTGAGATCGGTCGGTATCATGGAATGATAATTACTCTAGAACGAATAGAAGCTTCGTGCCTTTAAAAATATCCTCTAGTATTCATTATTTTATTTATTCTTATAGATCTTGTATATTTTAGTAATCAATAATTTTGCGAGTAATTCTATCTATAAACTCTTTTTTTTTTGCCTTATGATCTTTGCATATTAGCCATGACGAATTCTTATATATGTTGTACAAATTTGGGGTTATCGGGAAAAAAGGGCCAGAGGCGACGGTGGGAATCGAACCCACGACCGCGGCGTGAGAGTCTCTCATGCTCTCTCAACCACTCGGCTACCGCGGTCTCCCAGTTCTAGTCGTTAGCATGCATTTTAAAAATTTATTTGACGGATTAGACTATAAGCTCTCACGTGAGCTTCCGGGTGGTTTGTACAAGCTTACGCCCCCCACAGATTCGTACACCGTTTCACCAATTTGACTTATTTTCAAGACGTTGATTATTTTGCTGGAAATTAACGTTCGATACTGAGGAAGTCGTAAAAAGCCTAGAAGTAGGAAATGTACTGATGAATCAAGGTAAATGCAATACTGACCCAGGAGGAAGTGCAGTCCGAGGTTACTTTGCCATTTCTGCACTATAACCTTGCATATTCTTTATTTCATTCACTTAGTCTTTTTTAATATTAATTTTCCAACTATTACCAGTAAGTTCATTCATGTAAAATGGTTAAAAATAAAATAGCTCGAACAGTTGGGTCAAGTTAAGGGTAAATAAAATTAGCAACAATCCTGAAGTACCGAAAGAAAAGGAATTAAACGATAAAGCTAAACGTAAAGTTTGATATCGTACAAGTTATTATTTGCCCGACTATTAAACCACAGATGCAGGCAGATAATAAATATTAAAATGAATATTTTGGAAGCACACTAAAAAACTAAAAATTCTTGAAAGATTTTTTATTGACTTTGTAAAAATAATAATAATAATAACCTGTAAATATAATAAAGTAAGTCTTTGCCTTTCATTGTTTAACTAATTTAATCTAAAAGGTATATTAGCGTTAAGGATTTATTAGTGTTATTTTTTGAGTTCTTACGATCAGTATGTACCTGAAATTTGGTCGTTACTGATCGTTTTGGTCTCCCTATCCTCTCTAGGTTGATCAAACAACATTTTTTTAAATTTCGATTCAGTGTTGGGTGTGGGTGATATTCGGCCGAGTCTAGTTTCTTTTATAAATAATTTGCAAGTCCAGATTCTTTTATATAGGCGACTTAATAAAAGAAATCTCATAAAAACCACCTAGAACAAAGAGATGACGTCTGTTATACCAACCAAGGACAAGCGGGCAAATATGCTCGGTAACGACCAAATTTCAGGTTCATCACCTTGCGGACAATAAAAATCTTAATTTGTAATGGTTGTTTAATAAAATAAACTTCAGCTAGAAGGTATCGGATTTTATGAACTTTCCTGGGCTTTTCCCCCTCACAAAGTAAGTAAAACCCGAACGGCACGAATAAAAATAAAAATTAAAAAAACACGTAATTTGTATTTGTCTGTATTTTCTATTTAATATATACATATATAATTTTAAATTTAAATTAAGTAGGATATTGGCCAAGAATTAAAGTACTATTACTTAAGGCGGCGACAACGAAATATATTCTTGAGGCTCAATCAAACATCCAATTTAAATATTTTCATAGTACCGAAACTCTTTTTTTGTTCCCTAAATTATTATTAGTGTACATCAAAACTCCGACTGTGTTTAAATTTTGAGATTTAAGCCCGGCTTATAGGAGGGGGATGCCGCGTTTGAAATTTTAGACGTTCGTACAGATTGGATCGTTCTGTTCCAAAGTTGAACTTTCTCCTTCATACATGTATTTTATAGAAATTAGTTTTATTTTTATTAACGTCGCTACTTATAATTGTATTGGGTAAATATTTTATCAACATTTTTGCCGCATTATTACAAGAATCTATAGTCCGTTTTGGGTTTTTTTCCCACAGAAAATTATGAAATGTCATCCTGCATCAGGAATTGTCCAATTTTGACCACTTATCCTCACGCAAATAAACCGTTTTAATTAACATCATCATATTAAATTTCGAAAGTTAACAGTTTTAGTTTTCATATACTAAAAAGATTGATATGACAGTTTAAAAAAAAAAAGAAAAGTTGACAGTAGATTGCCACGTACTATGTTCTTGAGGTTATAGGGCTTTCTTTTTAAAAATGGCGAATCTCGATCAATTTTTTTCTAATTTTTTCGTATATTTTCCATAATCTGATTTCAAATGTTCCTATTCAAATCAAAATATCGACGCTAATTTTCAAATAATCGTATTTTCTGTTCTCCTTAATCAGATATTCCTGTTTATTCAGAGAGTTAAGAAAAATTGACCATCCCTAAATACGTAAATTTAAATTGTGTGGTTTTTTCCTGAAATCTGCCTCTGACCTGAATTTTTTGGTCTGCCTTCTTCACGGGTTGGTCACTTAGACGTCATTTCTTCGTCTTCATGTTGGGTCTGGGCGATTTTTGTGAAATTAAATCTATTTTATAAAATTAATTTGACAAATATCATCCAGACCCATTTGATGATGGATCCTAGGAAGTCAGTTTTTTTGTTCCCCAAGTTATGGCAACAATGAGCGGTTGTTTCGCATTCTAAGATGATATGAGTGGCTGTTTCTTCCTCCTTCCTTAACCAACAAATGGAGTCATCATTGAATATGTTTTCTCAGATACCTGACCAGTATATATCCAATCCTGAGTTTAGCCCTCTCTAACTATAACAGTGTTTGCCAGTCTTGGTGAGGGTTGTTTTAGCATAAGCTTACTATGTCTAGCACCACTATAGTGTCTAGAGTACCACTTCCCCTTTTGTCTTTTTTGGATCCATTGTGTGTTGGAGGATTCTAGGTTTGTTTTTTGTTATCCCAAGAATAGGTTCAAGGCCTATATATGGTATTTCAGATATTTCTCTGGCCAGTGTGTCTGCCTTTTAGTTACCCAAAATTCCTTTGTCCTGATATCCAAGGTACAATCAATCAAGTTGTTTCCCAAGGTTTTGGAGATTTGGGATGCATTTTACTAATTTTGATGTGATTTTTTAAAATCCTAAAGCTTTAATAGCTGCTTGGCTATCCAATCTTACAAAAATATTTTTTTTAATTTTCTAAGGCACAAGTGTTGATGGCATGTATTTTACCTTGAAATACCGTCATGTTCTTCCTTAATGAGTTTGATTTCTCATATTTTTTGGCTTGTACAGAAAATGCCTGATCTGATTCCTTCACATGTTATGGAGCCATCTGTGTTCCATATCATTGTATCTGATTTCCTCCTGAATTTTTCTTCTCTGAATAGGATGTTGTAAAGGGGATCATGTAGTCAGTTCTCATTTCTAAGAATGAGCGTCTGATTTAATTATTGTTGTGACCCCAAAGTGTTGAGTTTCCATCCAATTTGATTGTTTCTGGAGTCTAAATGAGCTTTTCCTCATTTCTCCCGTATAAATATTTCAAATGGAGGTAGCTTTAGTAGAGTCTTTTCTAGTTAATTTACAGGGTTGTTTTTGTTGACCCTGTGATACATAAGTTTGCCAGTCTTGATACGCTGCCTTATGTGTGGGTAGCTTGTATTTGTTGAGTTTTGGTCTACTAGATTAGTGAGACATAGGAGATTGAGGTCTTATTACTGCCGAATATAGCCAGTGGGCCATTTTTGGCCACCCAGACCCATTACTGAGGCAAAATCCATACAATAGACCAACCCAGGGAGGATAGGCAGACCAAAATGATCAGTAATAGTCAACTTACAAAAAAATTATATTAATTAAAATAATTCATATTTGTTTAGTGGTCATAATTGACCATATTAATTATTCCAATTAAATTTTCTTTTTTATCTAAGATCCGGTTGAGATGAAAAATTAGTGACACATGCGGGATTCGAACCCACGACCTTCTACTCAATGTGCCGCTGCTCTAACCACTTGAGATATCATGACAAAGTGGTTAGAGCAGCAGCGTATTGAGCCGAAGGTCGTGGGTTCAAATCCCATTTATATCACTAATTTTTCATTGCAACCAAATACCTGAGATAAAAAGAATAATAAATTGGAATCATTAATTAAAATGTTTTTACTAATATGATGATTAGTATAATTTGATTTACATCATGTAAATGATATAATGATTTACATTAGTATAATTTGTATTTTTTATTTTGTTCCAGGTATTCTCCTTACGATGTGATCATGGAATCTCCTACTCCTTCCATAGATTCTTTAGCTGGAATCAACTGTGTTGGCTCACAACTAGATCAAGAATTCACATCGTCATCTTACACAACTAGTAGCGATTCTCCTGTCACAGTATCGCCTACAACATCAGTCATCAGTAGTAGCAGCATTGGAAGTAGCGTACAGTTCAACACTAGATGTGGTCTATGTCATGAGACATTTGTCAATCCCAAAGTATTACCTTGTCTCCATACATACTGCCAAGCCTGCCTTGAAAGAAATCAAGAACATCCAGATAAGCTTACGTGCCCTCGTTGCCAACAAGAGTGTCCCTTGACATCAAAAGGAATATCAGCATTACTGCCAGACTTTGCAATTCGAACTGTAATTGACTCGTCCGACGAACCTAAGGTATTTTGTACTAGTTGCAAAAGTAAAACTACTGACGCAGTTGCAAGGTGCTACGATTGTAAAAATTTTCTGTGTCCTAATTGCGTAATGGCTCATCAATTTATGCATTGCTTCGAAGGACATCGGGTGATGACTTTGTCAAATGACGCTGTCAAAGATGACTCTAAAAATGGCCTTATTTCACCATCGGAAAAAGTAATATCCTGCCCAAGACATAAAATGGAAGTTTTGAAATATTTTTGCAGATCATGCAACATACCTGTGTGCAAAGAGTGCACACTAATTGACCATCCTGCGGGGATTCATGAGTGTGAGCATTTGACTGATGTAGGAGCAAAGCATGTCGATCTCCTAAATCAGACAGTTCAAGAAAGCAAATCAAAAGCGACTGATATTCGAAATATGTTAAAAACTCTAGAGCATTCATCAGGGAGGCTACAAGTTCAATATCATAAGGCTCAGAATGAAATCAATGATACATTCCAGTTTTATAGGTCTATGCTAGAAGAAAGAAAGCAGGAACTACTTAAAGAATTAGAAAGTGTGTTCTCTGCTAAACAGATGTCTTTAAGTGTGTTTGGACAGAAGGCGCAAGACACAGTCGATAGAATTTATCAAGCTTGTGAATTTTATGACAGACTGACAAAACATGGAAGCATTGCTGAGTGTCTTATGTTCAAAAAGTTGATAGAATCAAAACTGCAGGGATTAACATCTTTCAATGTGGATGCAAATATTCAGACCGCTTATGATTTAGAATTTGTTTCCAATTATCAGGCTATTCAAGTAGGAGTAAGGAATACTTTTGGGTACGTTAGATCTAGTAGTGAAGTAAACCTTGGTCCGAGTAAACAGCCCCCAATAGCGAGACCTATTAATGGGATACACCTAAATGGAAACAGTTCATCGATAAATGGCACTGTAACATCGTCTTCGACAATTCACAATTCTGGTAATGGAAATATGAGCATTAATACTTTAAATGGAGTTCTTGACCGCCCTTATACCAACGGAATCACAAGTGGAAACACCCAATTTGAATCTAACATTATATCAAAAAGATTTAGTACAGCGAATTCATTGGGGCCTTTTTCGACTTCAGTTAGCGATTTGAATCTTAATGGTGTTAACTCTTATGAAAAGTGGTCAAATGGTGGTGCTGATATTTTCCAAAACGGCTCTTCTGACCATTATCCACTTTCACTATCAAGTCATGGAGATTCTGTTATTGATATTAGTTCCAAACTTCTATCAACATCTATATTTCCACCCAAATCACAGATTAAAAGACAAAAAATGATTTATCATTGCAAATTTGGTGAATTTGGCGTTTTGGAGGGGCAATTTACAGAGCCAAGTGGTGTTGCTGTCAATGCTCAAAATGATATAATTGTTGCAGACACTAATAATCACCGTATACAAATATTTGATAAGGAAGGACGATTCAAATTTCAGTTTGGTGAATGTGGAAAACGGGATGGACAGTTGCTTTACCCAAATAGAGTAGCAGTTGTAAAAACATCTGGAGATATAATTGTTACAGAAAGATCACCAACACACCAAATTCAGATATACAACCAATACGGACAGTTTGTCAGAAAATTTGGGGCCAATATTCTACAACATCCAAGAGGTGTAACTGTGGACAGCAAGGGAAGGATTGTCGTTGTCGAATGTAAAGTTATGAGAGTTATTATATTTGACCAATCAGGAAATGTGCTACAAAAATTTGGTTGTTCAAAACATCTTGAATTTCCAAATGGTGTTGTTGTAAATGACAAACAAGAAATATTCATAAGTGATAATAGAGCACATTGTGTAAAAGTATTCAATTATGAAGGGGTATTTTTGAGACAAATTGGAAGTGAAGGCGTCACAAACTACCCTATTGGGGTTGGGATCAACTCAGCGGGTGAAATTCTGATTGCTGACAATCACAATAACTTCAATTTAACAATATTCACTCAAGATGGACAGTTGGTATCTGCATTAGAAAGTAAGGTAAAGCATGCTCAATGCTTTGATGTCGCCTTGATGGATGATGGGTCTGTCGTACTTGCAAGTAAAGATTACAGGTTATACATTTACAGATACGTTCAGATTCCTCCGATAGGACTATAAAATCCTAAACATATCCATGGTATTTTTAAAATTAAGATTGTGTTAACAATATTAAAACCATTCCTGACACTTTGTTGGTGCATTTATTTAAAATTAGGAATGGTGTGTGTTCATTTCAGTTTTACTTCCTGGATAAAATATTTATTTTTACAAGTAATTGTCCAATTGTTAAAAGATAAACAAGTGTTGATAAACTGTCATTTTATTTATATAAATATCAAACAAATTAGAATTAGTATTTGTTTATATGTCAGACTTAGGATATAGGCACCTATCATTGAATTGGATTTTTTTATATATATTGTGACAAACATAAATGATTTATGTGTGACCACTTTTAAAATGTCACAAATTTGTTGTGCGAAAAAAGATTTATAAGATTTATGTGTGTTATTCATATACAGCTGGATGGTAGTCAAAAGACAACTATTTATGGAAAGGGCAGAAAAATCATTAGCTTACATCTCACTAATTGTTATTTGGATATCTCAGTCTAAACATAATTTTTAAAAGTTTCATTAGTGATCAGTCTAAGACTTTTAGCAACCTATGGACTGCACTTAAAATTCACTAAGTATTATGGTAGAATATAATTAGGGAATTTCAAGTAACAATCAATTATTACATCACACCTTATCTGGTTTGTGATTGGGATGACCCTAAAAATGGGGCAATATTTTTGTATTTTAGTAGTATTTACTATCCTTTGTTAAGATATCATAACTTTGTTACAAAAAATGAAATAAAATGAAAACTGGCGACACCAACATTGTTGAGCGATGTAAGAAATGCGCACCCTAGTCACAGTTAGTTGCGTTGTCTGCTGGTGCATTTCCTTTTAATGTAAAAGAGGATAAATTTTATATATGTTTAACTCTCTTGAATTATTTTATGTTTAGTTCATTTATTTCCTTTGTTGTTATTCTATTTATCTTTAGTTAGGACATTTATAAACAAAATCAGTTTTAGATGACAATAGATTGCTACAAGTAATTAAGTCTTGTGTTTTTATTATTATTATTATTATTACTTTTATTTGTTGTTAATTGCTGCATTATGTGGTATGTGTTCTGTGAATAAATTTAGTATCATAATCACATTACATTTCAGTATTTTAGAGCTGTAGTTTTGAGTTAGCATGTGTACTCCTAAATTATTTAATTTTGGGATGTATTTTGTTTTCTTCCGTTTTTCCACTTTATTTTTATTATTTTTTTACTTTTATTATTATTTGATTATTTTTATTTCATTTTACTCTTAGTAGTAAATCTTTTGGCTGTTCCTAAAACTGACTGTACATTTTTGTGTTTTCTGATAATTGAGGAGCAATGAGAACTAGTTTTTGATATGTGTATTGTTTTATGTGTTTAAACGCCTGTATTCCTTGACACCAACCATTTTAAAAAATTAGTTGTCATTTTGTATGAATATATATATATTTTTTTTTAATTAGAAGCAAAGAACTGTTCAGTGCAATAATATTAAGTAAATTTATTAAATTTAAAAATTCCCTTTTTAATCATTATTGTAAATCAAAATTTAGTTCTCTATACTCCTTAGTATTATAAACACATTTACCAAAACTTACAGATCAGTTTTAATTCTTTTGTTGGTTAGGTAATTTATACATTTTATAAAATACATCTTTTAGATAAAATTGTTAAAACCTGGATGAAGAAAAATTTATTTTACTGAAAATAATGGATTAAAATTCAACAATGATTGTTATCTAAACTTTAAAAAAATCTATAACACCAATAGTTGCATATACTTGGTAAATGTTGCATTTAACTAATTTAATATGTTTGACATTTTAAAATATGCGAGCATTTTAAATTATTTTAAGTTTATTATATTATTTCATAAATTTGTTTTCCTATTATTTTGTTGTAAATGTTCAGTTTTTTTAATATATGGAAGAAAAACGTTTTTTATTTATTTTATTTCATTTATTTTATTTCACTTTTTATGCATTGAAGGACTTGCATCACCTTGCTTATTCCTTATTTCCTACATTACATCTAGTCATAAATCTTTTACTTTTTAAATTATAACTAATATACAAATATATATTTTTACAAATCATTCCATTTAAACATTAATGATCTTTAAGATCACAGATAATACTGGGGTGCCTACTTAAATTGGAAAATTGTATATATAATTTTTTTAAATAAAAAAGTACCAGTAAATTTAAATGATACTAAATACGCATATGACATGTGTTTATATACATATGTTTATATTTATGAGGGTAAATACGACTAAGGGCCCAAAAAACCTTAACATGTTTATTTATTGGCAAGTTTTATACTTTTTTTTTTTTTGTGGTGTGTGCTTTTAGTAAATTTACAAAATTTTTATTCAATTTTACGTAAAATCATGAGTATGTCGTTTACAAGCAATTTTTATTTGAACTTCTTATATTTTAATAATTAGTATTTTAATTAATAGATTAAAATACATTTTATTAAGTTGTAAAACATTAAACCTGATTTGCCCTTTTCAGAAAAGGCAAAACATTGACTTAATGTGCATCTTCAATTTGCATGTGTTTTGATTTTGTTTTGAACTAGAGAAAATGCTCTTTCATGTCAATTAATATAGGGAACATTAGACTTTTTAGGAAGTTTTCTCCTGAAATTGTGTATTTTGTAGATATCTTACACTATTACATTAGCTTCGCTTTTAAAAATAGTTTTTGATGCCTAAATGCGACTTTGACTGTACTTTTCTGGTAAGAAATCCCTTGTCTTAAAAGCTGAGAATGGTCCAATAATATTATGGATATTTAAGTGGATATAAGTTAGCTAATCAGATTTTCATTTTCATTTCTGTACATATTAGCAGTTAAGTTGTGTTTAAATTAAGATATTTTTTAATAAGGTAAAGGAATCCTATATTTGTTGAGGTTATAAATGTGACATTGTTAGTATCATTATACTTACATTAACTTTAAAATGTATTTTTAAAAAAATTGTTTCATGTTTGCACTAAAACTTAAATATTAAGCTGTTGCAAGTGTTTCTCCATAAGGGATGATAATTTCAGTTTTCTCATCTTAACATTCAGTTATGCCTATATCGTACCATAGTTGTAAGAGCCCTTCTAGGGGAAATTGTCATGGTACTTTGCTACAACATGATGTTGTTCCCCCTAGTTAAAGACTGTTTTCAATTTGTTGAAGAATTCAATAAAAACATGTTGAAAACCTCAAATAATATAAGTTTGTTGGTAGTTTATAGTCCCAGTTTAAGGGGATTTAGAATTTTAATGTCAAAAAGTCTGAGATTGTGAAGTTTGAAAATTTATAATTTTAATTTTTTAACTGAATAAACTCTGTATAAGAGCTAAATTGAATGTATATATTTCCATACTGTCCATAGTTTATAGTAACTATTGTTTAAAAATATTTTCTGAACAACAATTAACAAATTATTGCAACCTACCCTATTATTAAGGATCAAAATTAGGATGATAAATGTTTTCTACTTAAAAAAGTAACATTATTATTAATTTGGAGAGAGTTGATTATTTACAAGTGTATTAAAGAGAATATTTTACCATTTTTGTACTATTTGACATCTCCCAATAATTGTGACCAACCACGAACAACGCGTTTGTCCCATATTTCTTAATTACAACTATTAGTGCTATATTACCCTATTTCTGAACTTTGATGATAACAAGTCTGTGATTATTGAAATTGCCTTCCCCAACTTTTTTCAATTCGAAAATGTTAATCTTCACTTGTTAGATAGCACTGATACCCTTAATTCTGAAAAAAATTCTGATCATAGCAAACTAATAGAACTATTACAATTCTGTGCATGTTCCTGCATTATTTCTCACAAGGTTACAAATTGTCTTAATATTGGTATAGTTCTCGTAGGGCTCAGAAAATCTGTCAAGCATTATAATAACAAATTAGTTTTTTTTTTTTTTAATTTTCTAGTGGGTTTGTTGATATAGTTATTTAAAGAGAATAATTTGCATTCATTGATTGCTAACAATCAGTACCCTTACGGATTGGATTGCTCCTAGTCTTATTTATGCAAAAGTAAAAATGTGAAACGTTAACGTTTTGTTATGCACTAATTGTTGTAATGTAATAAATGTCAGTTTTAAATTGATTACGTTCTTCAAATGCCAGTTTTATTCTTTTTATTACCCAAAGGATGTAAGCAGGGTAGCGAAAATTAATCTCAATTCTTAATATTCTTTAATGTGAACTCATTCTCATTGAAATGATTAAATAATGTGGTGACATTTTATCATTATTGAGAATGAATGACAGCTACGCGCTTGTGCCTAAGAGTAGTAGTGCGAGAGGAATAATAGATAATGAAAGGTTATATTTTTTAATTGTACCAATTTTTGTGTAGTTGTTGGACAGATTTTCATTTCTTAAGAGCTAAGTCTATGTGTTAAACAAATCTTCCATTCAGGCCTTTCTTTGGAAGTTATTATCCTACATAACGTCAATTGTCATTCTGAATCAGTTGACTTTGCTTTTAATTATAAATATTGTACTTAATATTACATTAATAATTATGCGGTTGTGCTATCAGGGGTGCTCAAATATGTTTGTGCTGTTTATTTTAATAAGTATTGGCACAAGCATTGTTGTAATTCAGCTGAAGTGCTCATATTGTAGACACAAAATTTTGTACCGTTATTGGTTGTAAAGAAGTTGGATTTTTGATAGTGATTTTTCTTTGTAATTAGGACTGTTTATATGGTTTAAACATTTGGATTCATTTGATTGATTCTATGTAGTTTGCTATTATGGTGATAAAACAACTTACCAAAAGAAGCAACTAGTCAGTTCAAAAATTGTTGATAACTTCCTTATAACANAAAGTAAAGCAAATGGGGACCATCAGAAGGAAGATGGTATTGATCCTTGCCTCAGTTGTGAGAAAGGATTATTGTTTCCAAATAATTGTTATTTAACGTTTGATCTCTGTGTATGTTTGTGAGTATGATCAAATATCAAAAGAATTGAAAAAAAGTTGAATTTGTCGACATTAATAATGTTATACCGTGTGACCAGCCAATAAATTGTACTGCAAGTTGCTGTCCTGCTGAATATTTTTGTCAAGTTATAGATTGTGTGGTGTAATGTTTAAGAATTGTTACTAAGTAGTTTGTAGTAAGTTGTCAGCGACATATCCTATACAAAGCATTTAATATTATATATTATTGAATGTGTTTTTTCTGGAAAATGTTTTTGGATGTTTGTAATTTCGTTAATGTGTCTGAATAATGTTGTACATGAAAAACAAATAAATATTGATAAGTTGATTATTCCTTTGTATTGATAATTATGCAATCAGTAAATCAGCTTATCATGGTGCACAAAGTCGCCTTACGATTAATACAAAAATACTTTTGTTAATTGACACCTAATTTCCTACAACAGTATTCAGGAACAACTTTTACATTGTTATAATTATATAATAAAGTTTAATATTTTTACATACCATTTTTTCTTCCTGATTAATTGAATTTGAGTAATAAATTGCCATAGAATATTGTTGTATATAAAATGTTTTCTATTTTTCAAAATATTTGTTTTAGAATTGGTTTATTCACTCAGTAAAATGTTAATATTTTGGCCTATATGTTCAATAACATCAAGACTGAGATTTGTATTGATATTATATTTTTCGGGCTAAAAATGATTACATTATTACATGATGTATATTATTTTTACTACTTTGTTAGTCAAATTATGGTTTAACGCAATGTTTGAAACCCTCGGAAAATTAAATTAAGTACTTTACTTTAGGTCCAAAGTTCAGTCATAACTTAAAGGCCTAAAAGAATTGAATGTTTGTGTTTTTCACTCAGAAAAAAGTAATAATAAATATTTTATCAATCTTTTATTATTTTAACTGGCACCTTTTTAATTTTTGTACTCAAATCTATTGTATTTTAGTGACAAGAAAAGCCTACGACATTCCGAATGCAAATATTTCAAACATATCAACACTAAATTTTTTATACTACTTTGAGTTTCCACATTTATATTTTTCAGAAATGTATTGAATTCAGTACAATAGGTTATATTTAATGTTGTTAGTATTTGGTAAAATTTATCCACTTTTTAACTTTTCAATGCGACCATTTTTGTATTAGTATGCAAATAATTATATGTATGATTAAACAATATGGATTACATTTCAAAATTACGTGATTGCTCATATATAATGTATGTATTTATTTAATAATAATAATTGTTTGTTGGAATAAAAGTAGCTGTTGTTAATAACAAAATTTTATTGATGGCTGTTAGTAACACAGTTTTGAATGCAGTTGTGCATCATTAAGTGTTATTATATATATTACATTTGTTAGAGGGTAAAATGTAATCTATATGTTTTACTAATATTATGAAAATATGTCGCTGATGTTTCTAGTAGTGATAAGGAATGACAAAATGTTTATAAATCGTTTCATTGCTTCAATTATACTGCGTTGACATAAATAAAATTAATATAAACATATTGGTTTTATTTAAAAGATAACCCAAACTGATGCCTTTGAAACACCTGCCTAATAAATATGATTTGCATATCATTAAAAAAAGGTTAAATATTTGTGACAAAAAAAATGACACTAAGTATGTTGTAAAGTAACAATCAACTTGGTTGAACTTATTCTCACTGGATTAGTCTTTCACACAGGCACACTGAAGATGTGGCAAAATGTGCCTGAAATACCAACACTGAGAATAGGCAAATCAAGATGATCGTTCTTTACCGCTGGAAAAAATCTCACAAAATAATTCCTTGCAAGTGGGCTGAACGTCCAACTACCCGTTGGGTATCACAGACGAGGGGTCAAACCACTTAACAATACTTTTTTCATACTATTCACAATAAAAACAGCTGGGATTTGAACCATAATTTCCAGTATGGCAGTATGGGTCTCATGCCCTAACCACTTGACTACTACATTATAATACATATTCTGTATGGATTTTAGAAAGAAATAAGATATTCATTCATTAATATAGTAGTAGATATTCATATATTATTCTCATAATCTTAATCTCACAATTTAATATTAGCCCTACAATTCTTATTAATTTAAGGGCTTTACATCCAACTGCCTTTCCTGTTCATTCCATGTTGCATGTGAAGTCAGAAAATTCTATAGCAATCACTTTGAAATAGAATCATTACAATCTACGTAACTCAAATTAAAGGAGTTAGAAATACAATTTATTTGCACTTTAGTGTGCTCTGAATTTGTTGAGTCACTGAAGAAGAATTAACTCAAGAAATTGATTATGACAATATTTTAATGTGAAAAGAAAAAGTAGGTATTTGTCTATTACGTACGAGTGGCAGACTGGTTGGTATGAAATGAATGAGAAATAAAAAATATATAAAGAAACTGAGCCTGTGTCCTGTTAATTCGGAGAAGCCAGATAAAATGATATTGACAAGTATTAATCCATATGGAAGTGATGGAGTGAGTGTGGTGTTCAATCCTTTTTAAAAAAAGGATTAATCCATATGTCTTGGCCTTCATTGTTACACTGTTCCTGAAGCCGTCACCGGCTCTTTACAGTAGATTAATCCATATGTGTTTAACATAATATATTATATTCATAATCAACCATATTAATTGAGATATTGACAATAGGTCAGACACGTCTCACACAAACCCCCAGGTGGTGGCAGTGAGACAAATGAAAAAAAAATGGAAACAAGTAATGATTATAAACTTATGTTTTATTGAACAATCTGCATGTTATCAGGACATCCAATGGAATTGGGAAAATGAAGAAATATCAACCTAAACAGCGAGAATGAAGATGAACATAAAGAGCCTTTAATTTCAATATTAATATTGAAATGAAAGATAAAGTGATATTTATTGATGTACTAATTTTTTTGTTATAGCTTCTATTTAATAATGTATTAAGTATATTTCACTATTATTGTATTGAGAAAGATGTGGTTGTGTTAAAAACATCAAATATTTTGTCACCCAGGTAGATAAAAACTAGTTTTTAGTTTGTTGAGGTAATAAATAATATAAAAACTTTATATATGTGTATATTCTCATCTTTCTTGTTTTAAGTTTTCATTTGCGCACACTGGGTTGAACTGTTTTTGAGAAACTAGGAAAGAGGTTAACAAAAGAAGGAAGAAAACAAAAAAAACTATTTTTAAGCAGACGAGGACGACACTTACAGAGGTGTCGAAACATATGAATAAAAAAAATACTCTGAGAGTAGTTTTAAATAAATAAAAATACAAATATCCCCCAATATTGATTTTCTCTGTGTGGTCTGCAGGGTGAATCTGTAAAATGGTGAATGTGTGACAAAGGGTGAAGAAAAAACATTAACCATTCAAAAGTATATAGTTACATTTGTTAAATTAAAACATGATTAGAAATTTCAAACAATGATTAAAAAAATATCAATCTTTGACTTACAGTTTAAACTATAGGTATTGACAGAAATGAAAGATTTTAAAATTTTCAATTTAAATAAAATTAATATTTACACAAAAATATGAAAAACCTCATTGTCCTGTTACTCTAGAACCATGTAGCATAACATTAAAATTTAAACGATTCAGTTAGTTATTGCTTAACATAGATTTTGATTTATGTTGTGAATTTATGCTTTTAATGATTGTTTTGAATAATATCATTATACTACAGGATCCTTTTAAAAAAATTACAATAATCAAAGTATAATAATCTCTTCTCAGCCTTCTTGTTCATACAAACATATAGAATTCATGGTTGTGAGAAAAAGTCCTGAAACAGAAAGTAAAACATTTGGATAATCAATACAAATGATGAAGAAGGTGAAGAAATGATTTAAATCTGTGAGCAGTACCATTATTTACGAAAAGTGAAAAAAAAATATTAAAATTTTTCCCCATAATAGTTTTTGATCATTGCAAAATGCATTTCTCTCGATGATAAATCTTTTTCTTTCTCTAAAATACTTTGAAGGTATAATCAAAGGCAGCACAACAAAAAAATTTCTTTTTGACCTTTCACTACTTCGCAGTTTTTGTTTGCTATATTTTTTATTAATCGTAAATAATTAGTAAATATGGAAATAATTAACCAAATTTGTAAATAATTATAATTTTTTAAGACACATTCTGATTTTATTTATTTCAATAATATGCTTTAAAAACGTATTTCATATATAAATATATATGAAATAATTGTTTTACAATTGTATTTAATTGTTTGTAATTATCACAAAAATAAATTTGATACGTAAGTAAAACATTTCAAGTAAATACAATGTAACTTTCATTTATATACTTCTCTAAAATATTTTTTTAAATTTATTAAGTTTATTAGGTAGAAATTAGATAATTTGGACAATTTAGAATTAGAAATTAGAAAAATTAGACAATTTTTTTCATAACATACAGACAAGCGTACGTAAATTTGAGTGCGTAAGCAGAGATATTGCTGTACCCAAAAATAAAAATAAAAAAGGCTATCTTTTAAGCAAAATTTTAATTAACGGTTATTTAAAACCACCTAAATAGATTTCCAAACCAGAAAAAAAATTGAAACAAATTTTTAACATAAATGTTCATAAAAATAGTTGACTTACCTAATAAAACACAATTTTAAATCCCATCTAGGTAATTTGATTTTTTTAAATTTACTTCATTAAAAAGGCATGTGGACAGTTCTGTTTAATCATCGTTTGAGCAACACCATTATGACCTGAAAGAATGGGCAAATTTCTTTGCAATAAGAGTGCAATATTGAAAATTTTAAAATATTTACACTATCCATATAAAACAACAAATCAAATCTTTATATCTTCTAAGTTAGAAAATCATTAACGTAATAGCAGGCAGAACGCAAGAACAAAAAAAACCTTTTTTAAGGATTGATGAGAATGAAAGTGATTTGCTGCCTGCGATTTTATAATAATGATAGCAAGTAAACCTAGACAGTATGGTCGTAAGTAGTACTAAGTATACAGCAGAGAATGAGACGGTGAAAAAATAAAAACTTACCTAAGACCAGTTCTATATATAATGCAAGTGCAATAACATGGATGGGAATTTCAGCCTTTTGTCCTTTATTAATCCATACCTACAATAATAGATATTATATAGGCATTTGATGAATATTCGCTGTTTCCGCACAAACTGGGTGGTTATAAAAACCTCTTGGAGCACACACACACACACACACGCACGCACGCACGCACGCACGCACGCGCGCACACACACACACACACACACACACACACACACACACACACACACACACACACACACACACACACACACAGAGTTTATATATACATAAACATTATCAAAAATACAAAAAATAAGAAAACTATATTAAAATAATTCAATCAACATATTTAATTAGAAAATAATTATGTAAAATGTTAAAAACCATTTGCATTCTAGTAAATTAGGTCTATTGTAGAACCCTTATGATTAAGACCATTCCTTGGAAAGTGCGCTTTTTCTTACAAAAATGAGCACTTTCTTTGGTGCTTCTTTGTGCACTTCACATGGTGCAAGAAATTACCTTATTGAGGTAGCTATACAGGCTAGTGCATATTTGCAAAGAATAAGTGATGATATCTCCAGTTTCTCTTGACAGTCAGCATGCTTCTGTCTCCATTCTGGTGTGGTTGGTAGAGGTCTACAATTTTCCTCAAATCTTGTCTGTCCAAAAGGTCTTCCTTTTGGGCAGATTCATGAATTTCTTGGCTTGCCTCGAACTGATTTGTCCAGTGCTTGGGTTTTTCTTACTTAAGCCACTTTTCTAATTAGAACTTTCAGCCCACTCTCCAGTGTGCCTAGTTCTCCTAGGACCATGAGGCAATTTATGCACTCCCAGACTAGTTTGGACCACACATATTTAGTGCTTTAATGGCTGCCTGACTCTCTGAAAGTATGTAGATCCACGCACCTTTCATTTTCTCTCTATCAACTCCTGTGCACAGTTGGATTGGCAACTCAGCTTGGAAGGTAGTTGGAACCAATCCAAGGGGTTCTGCTAGGGTTTAAGATGTCTTGCAATCTTACAAGAAGTCTTTGCAAGCTATTCAATTTATTTTGTGTCACCTTATGCAATTTTTTTTGGCCACAATACAAGTACTCCAAATGTGACGGCAGTTTGACCATTGTAACCATCATGGGGTTTATTTCCAAGTTTTTGCTCCCTCGGAATTATGCAATTCTTAGATCCTGGATTTTTAAGGATAATTACCCAGTTAAAGAATAATTTTGAGTAGATCCCATTAGGTTAGGTTAGGGTTAAGAACTGGTTGTGTTAGGTTAGGTTAGGTACGGTTCGGATTAGTGTTAGGAATAAATTAGATTACATATTCATTGTTGTGAGGAGAGGTTTCATAAAAAAAATTGAAATAACTAACCTCCTCACTCGTATTCTACTGATTCAAAGGTGGGTTTGATCATTTACCGGACACTCAATAAATGAAATATCAGAAGTATAAGTAGAAATATCTGACTTTCCAGAAAATTAACTCTCTTTTCTTTCCCTCCCTCTTTTCCCTTTATTAGCAAATCTCCTGTAGGGGATTAAGAAGCCCATATAAAAATAAAAACCATTTGCTACATCATAAATTGTAAACAAACTTATATTTGAATTTTGAGTATGAAGAGCATGCACATGTATGAGGTGAAAAAATGACCATTCAGTTTTTTTAAAGAAAAAGGGAGGGAGAGAGAGAGTGAGAGAAGGATAAAAAGATAGGAGGAGTTTATATGGAAAAAAGTCACCTTAACATCCATGTTTCAAAGTTTTTCTGAGAAGTGGAGAATTCACACAAGTATGAAGTGCAAGTTTTAAACGTATGTATATCTATCTGATAAAAATATGTATTTGAAATATATCACTTACATGCTTAAGGATTTCAGATGACTTTTTGAGATCTCCACGAATTGCAAGTACCACAGCTAAATTATATATAAGCACAGTCTGAGCAGTAGTTTGTGTCTTGGGTATCCATGAATACTTGTTTACCTCAGGAGCAAGATCTAAATCTTTATAATTCTTAGGATTCAGTATCTCAATAGCTTCAGGAAGGCGGTTCAACATAACTAAGGCTTCAGACAAATACAATCTTGACAAATATCTATAAAAAAATAAATAAATTATATACATATTAGATATTAATACATAAAATAGTTTAAAACTGCTTTACTTGTATATTACTGATATTGTCTGATCTTCAAATAACATCATTGAGTATTTATGAGCCTTTATAGGATCACCTATTGTTAAATGTATGTACGACAGGGCTGCAAGCACAGCATGTTTTAGCTTAGTGTCTGATTCTGACAGCAAGATAAAAGCATTGTTAGCACAAATGGTGGCAAATTCCATTGTTGGTAAAGGAACTGCATAAGACTGAGGCTCTGAACTGTAATTAAATTATTTTATTATTTTACTTTATTTAAGATTAGTTACTTGTACAAATAAAAGTGAGAAAACTTATATGTCTCAAAACTTAATAGATAAAAGAAAAGAAAGGATTTTCAATAAATTAAAGCTTCGAAGTTTGTGAATTAAGAAAAAGGAACAAGGAAAAATAGAACTCATAAAAGAAGAATAGACTTGAAATGTCTTTTTCATTAAATATCAATATTATATAATTACCTGTATGCAGAATCTTTATAAAGAGATGAATTAAGAACAATTCTCTTCAAATCACCTGCTGTTGCTATACTAGCAACAATATCTTTTCTTTTGTCCATGAAATTAAATATGTCCTCATTGCCCTTTAGACAAATAATGTGATAAATAAATTGTGTACAGTTATATAAACAAGTCAGTTGCTTACCGATTTATAAAGTGAAATACAACACTCTGCCAACCTCAACCAAACCAGAGGCGATTTATGCATGACTTGAACCGCTTCTGTTAAACAATCAAAAGCCTGGATTGGCTTTTTTGCAAAAAGTAAAGCCAGGCCGCTATTATACATTATCTTTGGGAAAACATTTGGCTGGAAGAGATCTCTTGGTCCAATTTTTTCTTCTATAAAAATATGTTTAAGTGAAAAGTGGAATATTAATAAAAAAAATCCACAAATTATTATTAATTAATTAAACATTTGCAATGGACAATAACTCCAATAGAGTTATGTTGAGTAAGGTTAGGTAGGGTTAGGAACGAGCTGAATTGCTGCCTCTTTGCCTGACATTCCTTCATGACCTGGACCTACCACAGCGTTAGGCTATTTGTACATTTTGGAGTTTTAAAGGTATTTAAGCAGTTCCAGAATAGGTTTCAGTTTGGTGGACCCTTGATATGTTTTAGATTTAAAATGGTTTTAGGGGAGCTGAGGGCCATGTGGTGCTCATAGTTGGTCTACTTTATGTCCATGCTATTTCCAATATTTGAGCTCATACCAATGCCACAGAAGTACTCTAGGTTTTTCTTTTAACATGGAAATATTTTTGGGATGGATAAATATTTTTTCCACAATTATTTTCTCAGAGGGTTCCCTTGGATTGAGTTATGTTAGGTTAGGTAGAGTCAGAGTTGGGTTATGTTAGGTTGGGTTGGGTTGAGCTGAGTTGAGTTGGGTTAGGTTAGGTAGGGTTAGGGTTTTCTGCTTCTCTTTTTGTAGTATATTTTTCATCTGGATTATAAAAACTTTGTAAGCTTTTGCAACATTTATAACCTAAAAATAAGAATTAAAATAAAATAAAAAAAATATGGGAAAAGCTTATTGTTTTTATAATCCAAGTTTTGGTTAGGCTAGATAGGGTTAAGGTTAGCGTTAGGGGCATGTTATGTTATGTATCCAAGATTCAATGTTTTCCATGAAGCAAAGAAAATATGCGTGCTTTAATTCACATAAACTGCTGTTTGAATAAAGAATACATGTGCTCCCTTCGATTACTCACACATACACACTTGAAATAATTTTTTAAACACATTTTACTATGACAATAAACATGCATGAGAGTTATATTTACTTATTAAATACTAGTGGACATGAACAAAAAGTCCATCTGCAAAGCTTGTCACAAAAACACAGTAAGCATCACATATTTTGTTTCATATTAAACCAGTTGTCTTCTACTTACTTTTAGTTGATTTCTGATTTTCTTCAATAGTTGTCTTAAACAGTCGAAATGCCTTCTGCATGAAAAAGCAAGAAAGGTAAGGTTTTCCCGAGTAGTGATATATCGAAGCTATATTGTTATAAAACACTAACGTCCGAGAGTTACCAAGTTTCCTAAATTTTTTGTACAGAAATATATTTTAATCATTACCTATAAAATTAGTACAAATGTGTATACTTACTGGAAATTATCAACATCCTCTTGGATTACAATGATCGTTTTCAAAGCATCTTCATATTCCAAATTTAAAAAATGTACTTGTGCCTTTGTCATTATTGTAAAGAAATTCTAAAAAAATATAACATGTTTTCATTTATCTATACTATTAAAGAGAAGATGTTCACTAATGTAAAATATCACCTTTCATTTTTATTATTTGTAAAAAAAAATTGTACCAAATGATTTTTGGCCTCTACTATTTTTACATTTGGTAATTATGATTTACATGTAAACACAAACTGTAAATGACCTTAGTTTATTTTTTCCCTAATATGTTCATCTCTTTTTCACAAACAGAAACATTTTGTAAAAATGTATTTTCATTTTTTTGTGGTAGTGTTTGTGCCATTTTACACTTAAACTGTCATATGTTGTGTCTAAATCCTGTTTCTTTAATAAAGTACAGTATTCTTTTCATGAGTATCATATTGAGGTCTATATATACATCTCAAGAATAACTTTACTAGGCACCATAGCATTTTCCTTGCTATTGCAGTATGGATCCATAGGATTCTGTTGTCTCTTTCTCTAGACATAGTCAACATTGGTCATCCATTAATTAATCCTTTTTTTTAAATACCCTTGTTGGCTAGGCTGACTGTCAAAAATAACAGTAATAGAGTTGTGTTGGGTTAGATTAGATTAGGTTAGTTAGGTAGAATTAGGTTTAGGTTAGGTAGGGTTAGGGACAAGCTGGGTTGCTGCCTTTTTGCCTGAAATTACTTCATGACCTGGAACCTACCACAGCATTAGGCTGTTTGTACATTTTGGAGTTTTAAAGGTATTTAAGCAGTTCCAGAATACTCAGGCTGGGTTTTTGTAGTCCAGTTTTCCAATATTTAAGTTTTAAAATTGTATATATTCTTTATTTATTTAAGTGGAGAGGTAAAGTATTATTACTGGTACTCTTGTTTCTAACTTCTAAATATGTATGTACATGTATGTGGACAGTAAATTATTAATAAATAATTAAATTCACTAATTTCATGGTCCGCTTGACCAATTAATATATTACAATTAAGGTTTTTAGTTGAGATAAAAAAGTCAATGGCACGAGCGGGATTCGAACCCACGATCTTCGGCTTGATATGCCGCTGCTCTACCAGTTGAGCTATCGTGACCTCGATCCACACGGACACTAACTTCCATGAAAAATGGCAAAAAGGAGGGAAAATTTAAAAGGTGGGGTTGAGATGGGAAATTAGTGTCCGAGTGGATCGTTATACGACGTTATACTTAAGTTGGCCATGGTCAAATTGGTATTTTAAGTCCGACAGTTATCCGTAAATATCGCATGTAACAAAAACCAGATATTTTTTAATTTTAGTTCTAAACATTATTATTATTATTATTATTAATTTTTAAGGGCGTTTTAACGGCTAAGGTCATTTCACGCCCTAACATCCAAACCTTCTATCTTAGGTTAGCTATATCTCTTCTGAGTGCTATAAAGCTCTGACTCCAAACATTCACTCGTAATCTTATTTATCCTATTGNTGGGAAATTATTTTGATTAAAGAACATTGCTTTAAAGTAACTAGTTTCTTTTTTTTTGTTTAATACCAAAATCCTGCATTATTTTCCGGACAACCCAATAGTTAATTGTCCCAATTGGTTTAAAGTGGTATTTTACTGTAACAAATGTAAATATACCTGTAAGGATTTTTAGTTTCTTTCTGTTGAGTTGAGACTGTATTAATCTAATTACAGTTGAACTTGAGTGCATAGTGTGGCCATCATACAAGTTCAGATTTGATTCTGATTTAACATGTTAGGGACTAACTTTAGCAACATATTGGACATCGAAACATGGGAAGAATTCACTAAAGATTTTTAGGTGGTGAGATAATTTTTTTAAAATAATATTTAGATTTTCAAGTCCACATTTTAAACAGTTTACCAATTCACTACTTAAACAGTAAGGAAATGTGTTCTAAAATATCTTAACTAGATTACTCACTTGGGCATTGCCTGCGTAAAGAATGTCAAGAGCTTTGTTACATTCTACATAGTTTTTTTCAACCAACAAACATTTTGCCTTGTAGTTGAGCAGCCTCGATTTGAATTCTTCTATTGAAATTACAGCACTCTAACAAAGAAAAATAAGAAAAAACAAATGATAAACTATTAGTTTAAATTTTATCAATAAGAAAAGCATACTTGAAAAGTAAAATCTGTATCGGGTTTCACCAATTTTCCCGAAAATCCAGTCGAAAGAAATTGGTTTTCGATATACGATAAATTGGTTAGGGCCTTTTCAATTTGTGCACAATATAGATTTAATTCCAATAATAATAAACAAACTTTAAAGGCTAATACTGAGTCTGAAAAAGTTTAATGTTACATAAAAAATATTATACAACATAAAAAGACAAAATTAAAACAATGAGTTCATATCCCAGGGGATTGAAGTGATGATATCTCAAATGATTGGGCAGTGGCGTATTGAGCCAAAGGTCGTGAGTTCAAGTCCCGCTCTAGACACTAATTTTTCATGTCAACCACAATTTACATAAAAATTAAAAATCAATTTGAATAAATTAGGTTTTTGGTTAAATAGGACCAACTAAAATACATATGGATTAATATAATAATTATTGAAGTAATTGCAATTCGCTAACAGCTCCCCATGGCCACTTCATGAGTCGCCGAGAATCGAATCTGATAACATGATGTTTGAATATACGGCAAATAGAAGGAAATTTCAAAAAGTTGTAAATTGAGATGAGTTGGTGTCCCGGGGGATTGAAGTCACGATAGCTCAATTGGTTAGAGCACCCGCTCATTGAACCGAAGGTCGTGGTTTTGAGTCCCACTAGTTACACTAATTTTTCATCTCCACCACACTTTCCATAAAAAGTATATTTATAATTAAATAATTACTTTGGTTAAATAGGACCAACTAAAATACATATGTATTAATAAAAAGGCAAAATTAAAACAAAACAAGATTACACTGATAAACTGAGACTTACCCATAGGCTGAATAAGCGAAAAGACTTTAGTAATGATTCCAAGTGCGATGTCATACTCTTTTTGATAGAAATACACCACAGCTTGATTGTAGTATAATACACAGTGATCCAGATCATCAGGAACTTCTGATTCGAGAGTGTTAATGTTCATCTATGGCAGAATAAAAACTATATTCATACAAGTTCATAATCTAATATTAAAATATAAATAAAATAAGAGTTAAAGTAAAGACATTCTTACATGAAAACATATCTGTTGCAGTGCTTGCTGATATTTGTCGATATTGCGATGATTTGAAATGAATAGTTCAAGGACAGCTTTGTTATGTACAACTTTGGCTTCATTAGGCTTTAATAACAGAAGATTGTTCAAAGATGACAGACTAGCAGCAAATTTCTTATTTATAAATTCATTGTACGCTGAGGATATTAGCTTCTGCTCATCAATCATTATTCTAAAAAAAATAAGTAAAAAATTGTGCATTTTGAATTAAATTTTTGTTAAACTTATTTGTACACACTCAATTTATTGTAAATTATATTATACATATGTTATAAAAATGGTAATGTTTGTTAATATAAATTAGTATGGATTAATATTTTTTAAACAAACAACTAATCTATTAAAATGTATATTCGCCTCTTTCTTGGTTTTCGCTGAGTCCTTATCAATCAATAAGTAGTATGTGTATTTTATTATTTGAAACTACTTTCAACTGTTTAGTTTTTATTTTTATGTTGGACTCTTCACCAAGTGTCCTCTTTAGCTCAAAAGCCTTGTATAAACTACCATATATAAGCTACAAGCTCAGTGAGTTTACATGCAAAGTTATTTATAGTTTTCATAAATAGTGCCAGTATTTTAAGTAGTTAAATGGCTAGTATTCTTAATATGGACAAACCAAACTTTTGTTTTTACCCTCAGGGTGTAAGTGTTTTTGGGAAAAAAAGCACATTTGTAACTATGTCGGGTTCGAATCCAGCGGTCCTGCATTCTCTCCCAGGACCTTTACCTTACAGTGATGAGCTCCGTGTCAATTAAGGTAACAGTTGCAACCACTGGCACCCCACTTGTTGGATAACCAAATGGTCAACATGACATTTAATTATACATATCACAGACAATCTCCCGATGCCAAACCCGGTTAATAGATATACGTGTTTGAACCTTTTATGCTTGAATTTCCAATAAATAAGGTTATCCCTAAGACAATTTAAAATATTACAAGTACTGGGTGTATGCATTTTTTTTTTTTTTAATTGACTTTCACTCTTATAAAGGCATTCCTTTCTTACCTGCTAGCCCGGTTAGCTGTAGGGAGGGAAAAGACCTATTGAAAAAGATTGTCAAGAAATAGGTAGTTGTTCCAAAAAGTCAGCCTAAAATTAACATTTATGGGTATGACAACGAAACATAAAATTCATTTAAAGCTTGCTATATGAGTTCGATCTCGGGCATAGAGCCATCAAAATTTACAGAGAATTTGTGGTGATAGCATAAGAACTGAACATGTGAGTAAACTGTTTCAGACTTTTCATAATGGAGTCTACATAAATCAGGTCTTTGTAATCACTAAGGACCCAGAATTAATATTTAAAAATGAAAAAAGTGAGACGTAGTAAGTGTAAGTTTCCTCATAGGGCTCAGTCATTCCTAGCAAGATTTGAAAATAAATTGCAGAATATTTAAGAAAATGTAGTAAAAAAACTGAATATTTTCCTGGCAAAGGGCATTCATAACAGAATCATTGCGCACTTTTACTAGCATATAGTGTTCCTACAATGTTTCACATGAGAAAATATCTCAACTTCGACCGAAACGAGAGACACCAGTTTATTGTAAGTACAGAATGTGAAATAAATGCAAAACTATTAGTTAAATATGTTGTTGTTTTTGTTTGTTTTTACTTTAAACTTATTAATAATTTTTCTATCTATAAGTCAAGGTTAAATATATTTTTTTACCCCTGTACATCCTAACCATTGTGAATTATCATGCTACAATCAAAAATAAAGAATGAAACACCTTTTACAGCAAGACTGGTTGTTATCAATTTGTTTAAGGTGATGAATTAGAAAGGTTGCAAACAAATGTGGTTATAGATTAAAAACCTATGTTGGAATTTCTTATTCGTTCAATCTGTGTCCTCTGATGTTGTGATGTTAACGTGACATCATTGGTGTAATGAATACAATTTTTTATAATTAACTAACTCGTTTTACAATTTGATAGCCTTAATTGATAATATTTTTTCAAATATCCAAAGAAGACATAATATTCTAACTTTTGTATAACTGTTTTGATGTTACATCATAGGTCACTAGTCGGTGCACTCAAACTGTTAAGTGTACTGTAGAAATAAAGTATAAACCTACCAACTGTGAACCACGTTTTACTCGTTTTTACCATTCCTAACCGTTTATAGAAAGCATACTCACTTGTGCTCTTTCTCTCCTCACTCATTCTCCCTTTTCTTTTTCTCTCTCATACACTCTCTCACAGGCACTTTCCCACTCTCTCTCTCTCTCTCTCTCTCTCTCTCTCTCTCTCTCTCTCTCTCTCTCTCTCTCTCTCTCTCTCTCTCTCTCTTATTTTTCTCTCACACACGACCACATAATAAGTTTTTCTTTCTTTCCCATCTTTTTCTCTCTCACTCACACACTCAACCACATGCACTCTCTCTTTTCTTTTTACCTCACACACACTCACCCCCACTAACTCATACTCTCCCTGTCTCTTTTCTTTTTCTCTCTCACACTCTTCCCCACCCATTCATACTATCTCTCTCTCTCTCTCTTTTCTTTTTCTCTCACACACTCTCCTACTCTCTCAATACTTTTTCTTCTTCACACAATCCCCCACATAATAAAGTTTTTCTTTCTCACATGTGCTCTCTCTCTTTTATTTCTCTCTCACCCACTCACACATTCTCTCTCTTTTATTTTTTCTCTCACACTCTCTCGCACATGCGTTCTCTCTCTTTTCTTTTTCTCTCCCACACTCTTTCCCACTCACTCATACTCACTTTCTCTCTCTTTTCTTTTTCTCTTTCACACACTCTCCCACTCACTCAATCCTTTGAGCAACGTTTCCCAATCTCACACAAGCTCCCACATAATAAACGCATAATAAAGTTTTTCTTTCTTTCCCACATGCTCTCTCTCTTTTATTTTTTCTCTCACACACTCTCCCACATGCGTTCTCTCTTTTCTTTTTTTCTCCTCCATCACTCATACTTTCTCTCTTTTGTTTTGTCTCTCACACTCTACCACATGCACATAGTCTCTCTTTTCTTTTTCTATGTCACACACTCCTACATGCATTCTCTCTCACACACTCTCCTACATGCACTCGTTTTTCTTTTCTATTTCTCTCTACTCTCTCTCTCTCTTTTCTTTTTACCTCTCACACTCTCAAATTTAACTTCTTTTGTTGTTTTTGTTTTTTGTTTATATTACTATTTAGTGAGTAAAGTTTTATTTGTAGATTTATATTGGTGATTTACAATTCATTATTTGTACTGCATTGTATTGAAAATTATGTTTGTTCACTTATTTTATTTTATTAGTAATTTCCTTTTGATTGCTCAATTATTATGTAAATTGGGATATCTATTTCAATGAGCAAATTTAAGTAAAGTTCAATGTAAAACAAATAGATGGAACATATTGACCGCTAAAATAAAGTTATTCGATGACACCCACATGTGCTCTCTCTTTCTCACTGTTTCTTTTTCTCTCTCACACTCTCCTACATTCACTCTCTTTCTCTCTCTTTTCTTTTTCTCTCCCACATTCTCTCTCACTCTCTCTCTCTCTCTCCCTCACACACACATACTTTTCCCCTTCTTCAGAATTTTCAGAGTACAGAAGTTCGCTTTATATAAAAATATATAAATTGCACTGTGGTTTTAATTATTTATTTCCAGGCAATTTTTCATTTTAAGCCAATTCTTAACTTCAGAACATTTAAAATTCCAATTTGAAATCACACTAATAACATTATTACTTGGCTTATACAGGGCAATTATCAAGCAGCCCTGACATGAAATAAATATTAGTTTATTTACATTAGGGATTTAGATTACTTGAAGGTTTAGTTTCTTGCTGTTAAAATAAAAATAAAAATTGTGTACCTTATTGAATAGTTTCCATGATGATCACTTTGCCATCTATCAAAAGAAGCAAATATCCCAAATTTATACAATTCCTTATACAGTGACAGGCAAAAAATTCCACACAACTTATTTTTTTCATTTTCTCGATAAAGGGAAATTCTGCCCTTAATTTGTCTCATTGTTTTTATCAATAAATATTTGTTTATGCTATGTTTTAAATTGGGAATATCACATTAGACGTAAACACACTTAATCCTTAAGCCAAAACAAGGATAAAGGATTTTTCAATATTTTCTTTGGTGATTGATCAGCCTTCTCAGTTTAAATATTTTTCTTTCAGTAGATTGGGGATGAGGCCAGGAAGACAGAAACAACATTTATTTTCTTGTCGAGCTATCGGCAGAATATATCGCCTTCATCAGGATTTTGAAAAAATCGTTATACTATATGAACAGGTACATGTGTGAATAATGGATAGTCGGTAGAAACATTCTCTTTGATGAGAAATATTAATTATCATCTCAACTTCACTTAACATAAAATAATTAATTAAAAGATATATAGATAGGATAAATAAGATTATTAAATTTACTCTCATCATCCATGATTCTCAATTGGCAGAGAATTTTGGGTGCTAATTTGAACCATAGTTTGAGCACCTACTAGTCAGAATTTTTTACTTATAATACCATACTAATTGAGTAATAACAGCTAAAATGTCCTGTGGCTCATTAATCTGCTGGACCAAAGCTCAACAAAAACAAGTTAGTCAAAAATTAGGATAGAATTAGCAAATCTATGCATCCAGTCCTGATCAGCTTCCTTAAAAACACCGTAAAATCTACCAAGGAGAGGCTACATTACATTCGACGACTTAGGACCTCCAAAAGAAGAGGCTAGGAAAAGCTCATACAGACTCCAAAAACAAATTAATTTGGGTGGGGGACTAAACAGTTCGGGCGTACATCAAAAACAAATAAAACCAGAACCCCATTACTGGAAATAGGGCTGATTATATGATCCTGGAAACATCCTATAAAGTTTTAACATACTGTAAATGGGGAAGAACAAATCAGGAGAAAAATAAGAATTATGCGGTATTCAGATGGCTCCAAAACCAGTGGAAGAACCAGGTCAAGTATATTCCTAAGGAAGCCCAAAACATGAGCATTCAAACTCATTAGAAAAATAGGCCTTGGCATTTCAAGCTGAAATAATGCTATTAGGGCATAAAAAATCGTAAAAGTGGTTACACTGATAAAAAAAATCGCCATCGAATCAGACAGCCAAGCCGAAGTAAAAGCAAGCAAATCACATTCAAAAGAGAAGGTGATTGCATCCAAAACCTGGGGAAACATTACATCCTGACAATATCTTGGGGGCCAGGTCACAAAGGAATTGTGGCAACAAGCAGACAAACTGGGCAGAGGTCTGCAAGACCACTTGAGTTACAAAAACAAAGGATATCTAAAAATTTATGAAAGCATCATAAAGTGCTAGGTGGATTGTTAGAAGTACCCAACTACATAGAGAATTAGAGATTAAAACAACAAGACATATTTTAACTAACTTGTGCAACTTAAAACCAGTGACAAACTACATGTTGGAAAACAAAAAACCAAGCACACAAGACTGTAGCCACAGGACATGCTTGAGAGCATTATGCTACCTATGATGATTAATTTAAAATAATAATAATGTCTCGTGTATTCAATTCCTACTAAATATATTATTCCTATTAAATATTCAATGTTTTAAATTGATGTAAATCAAGTCTTACCTCACACCATCTTTTATTGCAATCAGATAATTTTGTGGTTTGTTTTCCTCTTCTTTCTGTGGTTTTTGATTTGAAGATTTCTGAAATTTAAATATATATAAATAAGTATTGAAAAATTTTAATCCTAAAGTTTACAAATTTAGTAAAAGTAAAACGTTACAGCTCATAAAGAAAGTGGCTCTCAATATTTTACTTAGTCTTTAAAGACTGCTGACTGAACACAGCCTATGTCAGAGAGAAGAAGAAACAGTGGAACATATCCTCTTGGTGCAAAGGTGAGATTCCTACTTTTCTTTTGCACTACAGTCTTTGAAGGACCCCAGGTTAGTAATTTGCCTCCATTCATCCCTTTCACCTGTTTCATTCTCCATCTTCTTATCCCTACCTTCCTGAAATCTTCCACCATATCCTATAGCCATCTTCTCCTCAGTCCATATTCATTCTTCCAATATGACCCAACCAAACGAGCCTTTTCCCCTTATTTTTTTGCACAAAGTCTGGCGATGAGCACAACTCACTAACCTCCCTATTTGCATTTATTTTCCAGAACCCCGTTTTCCAGTTTAGGACCAAATATTCTTCTTAATACTTTTCTCTCCCAAATTTTAATCATGTCGCAGTCACAGTTGCTCTAGCTAAGTGACCATTTATTACAAATTGTTTAACATGGGAGTTTCTACAATAATGGTGGAATTAATTGAGCAATATTATAAGAACACAGAATCTGCAGTTTGGACAAAGGAAGGGACAATTTTTTTCTTGCCAACAAAAACGGTGTAAAACACGGATGCCCATTATCTTCTCTTCTCTTTGCATTTTTTTTTCTTTTTTCCATGAATATATAGGAGGTGGTACATGGATTAGCAATCTGAATATAAGATGCCTGCTTTATGCAGATGATATAGCCATTTATGCAAGTGATACAGTTATATTACAAAGGATGATAGATAGTGTTAACACCATAGCTGTCCTTATTTTTTTTTCGTTTACTTCCCTATTAATTTTAATCCTTTTTTTTTCTCTTTTTTAATTGAGAAAATCTTCGAAGTAAAAGAAGAAAGGATCCATAATTTAGTTTTAATGTTTTTTTGCAATAAGCATTGGAGAGTCTCTCAATTGTTATTGTTTTTACCTTGGGTACTGGCCCTGAGGGTCAAAGGGCCGCCGCCGGCTCAGTCCATGATCGTTCACGTTTGAAGATGATCATTTCTCTAGAATTTTGTCGATCGGGGATTTTCATCCCTCGCACAAAATGATCCATCAATTATCATCATCATCATCATTATCAACGGGATCGGGGTAGCGGATTTTTTCAACCGAAAAACGGTTGGCAGACTCTTCTGGAGACTGAATTTAGTCATCAGCTTCGTTCATCGTGCGCCCCTTCAGTTCTCATAGGAGACGGTGGTTGAGGAATTCACGACCGTCTCGTCAGGATATCGCAGTGAGTCGTTCCAGTCTGAGTAGTGAAAATCCGGCCAAAAAAGGACATTTCGCCTACCTCGTGGAAATTTCATCGTACTCAGGTGGATTCATATTTAACATGGATCTGATTTTCTAGGACATATATTATAATTTGATTTATTTCATAAAAGAAATCAAGTTATTTTAAGGAATTTAAGTTAACTTTAACCTGCAGGTACATATATTTGTTTGCATGCTAGAGAACACGAAAAAAATTTTTTATTATTTTTTTGTATTGTACAGGGAGAGATTTGTATGGTACAGAGTTTCTCCATTCAATTTCCCTTTTCTCTTTGTTGATTGCTTCTTGTCAAGATCATTTCTTCAATAAATTCGTAGTTTTTCCTAATATTTAAATTTACATCGTTTCTATAATCTTTACTGCTTTCCTTTCCCCCCTTTTCTCCAGCAACGGTGAACGGCATTGTTGAAACGGAGGGGTGGCTGTGTAAGAAAGAGCACCCCCTCTCCAACATAAAGTGGTCCTCCGGGCCGGATCTACTGTCATTTCTTGAGGAGGAGGAGGAGGTAAGAAAAAAATTTTTTTTTGTCGAATCCATTTCCTTTCTTTTTACCCATATTTGTTCGAACATGGATGCTGAATTTGAAGCCCAGGAGAAGATGGAGGGCGAGTTAGACGCCCTTAAGGATGAGCTGGCGGATCTGGCCGTCAATATTCTGGAGACAAACCTCTTGGGAGTTCAAACCCGATCGGATATCAGGCAATCCCCCTTGTTTATTGCCCGCTTATCTCGCTTGGATTCCACACAAGACAAATTTTTAGCGGTTTTTAATCGAATTCAGCGGTATTCCAAATCCTTGAATATGCTTTTATTGGATTCAGAATGGCTCAAGGCTAGGGTGAGATCTGCCTTTTATGAAGCCTTGTCATTGGGTAATACCACCCAGTTCTGACCAGGAGAGAAAGATTTCCAATGGAAATACCAATGAAAATCACAATAATTTACGACTCCCAATTATCAATATCCCCTCCTTCTCATGGCATATTTGCGATTGACCCTCGTTGTTCCGTGACACTTTTCTGTTGCTTTTCATGAGAATGAGAGTTTAAGCGATATAGAGCGATTCCACTACCTTAAGTCATCGTTGGAGGGGACCCGCCGTGCAAATTATTGCGACCATTGGACTGTCAGCTCAGAGTTATAGATAGACAAGCTTGGGAGGCACTCAATAAGAAATACGAGAATAAGAAGTTACAAGCGACATTTCACTTGATGAATATCTTTACTTTCACACCAGTCTCCAAAAATTCCCTCTCATCTCTTGAGTTATTTGCCTCTCAAGTGATGGAAAACGCAACCTCATTTTTTAAGCTCTATTTGACCGATCCTGCTGGTTTCATTTTATTTTTAACCACATTCACTATGAGATTATTGGATACTCAGACCCGTGAACGATTCGAATCAGAATTTGGGTCTCATTCTGAACCTCCCACTTGGGCTGACTTCTCCGACTTCGTTCATAAACAAATCATCCAACTCCAATCTTCTTCATTGACTACCACCGTTAAACCCCAATCGAGTTCATTAGATGCGAGATATAATAAAGGACCCAAACAGATTTCATTGTCAGTTAATGACTTGTCGGATGCTATGACGTGTCCTATATGTAAAAATCCTCTTCGAGTATTTGATTGTCCTAATTTTCGTCCCCTATCCCCATCTGCTAGATTTGAAAAAATTAAACTTCTGAAGCGCTTGAATTGCCTCGCTTCTGCTCATTCCGTGAAAGACATCATACCCTACTTCACTTTCCATTTAAATCAGACATTCCCAATACTTCCAGTCGAACAGAAAAACGGATTCTACAATACTGAACACACAGTCGAATTGCCCCCGGGATTCTTTTACTTCTCAAACCACTCAAGACATAACCAACCCATTCGAAGATCATTCCTCTAAATCAATTCAGCTGGATTTTGATTGGTCCCATTTCTCCGAAACCATTGCAAACTTGTTCCACTCCATCAGACAATCGGATCTAACACAATTAATATCCAAATTTTGGGAGATAGAAGAGATCTCACATGTATCACCACCCAATAGTCCCGCCCAATAGTCAATGCGAATCTTATTTTCATGAAACCCACTCCCGAGATTTGTTGGGTCGTTACTGCGTACAACTACCGTATAAAAAAGAACTCCTAGGTCTAGAAGATCTCAAGCCCGTAGCGTTACATCGCTTTCGAAAGTTAGAGCTACACCTAGCGAAGGAACCTGAATTGAAATCCAAATATTCCTAAGTTTTTCTTGATTATCTTGCAAAAGGTTATCTCTCTCCAGCAACCCAACCAGGGCATTGTTATTTGCCATATCATGGAGTAATCAAGGAGAGTTTTACCACTAGTTTACGTGTAGTGTTTGATGCTTCGGCTTCAGGAGGTCGAGGCTATTTAAATGATTATTTGCACACGGTCCCAAAACTGCAGCAGGATATCAGGGAGGTCTTGTTAAAGTTCAGGATCCCAAGAACTGCAATGACCGCTGGTATCCATCAAATGTATTTACAGATTTGGGTTGCCCCCAAACATCGGATTTACTAACATCTCTTCTCTTGATTTTAGGAAAACGATGCCGTCCAGGAATATCAATTTGATCGACTCCCCTTTGGTCTATCGTGCTCACCTTTCTTAGCCCTTCGAGTGATTCAACAGCTGGTTTCGGATGAAGGAAAAGATTTTCCACTCACACCGAAGGCCATCCTCCACCATATGTACATAGATGATACACTTACAGGGGCAGAGACTTTGGATGAAGCTCTGGAATTACAACGCGAGTTGATAGCTCTTGTATTAAAGGCAGGTTTTGAGCGGAAGAAATGGAATACTAATAGGAAAGAATTATTGGAAGATATCCCAGAGAACGCGATCTAAAGGGACCGTGTCCCTATCAAATTTGGAGGACCCTATAATTAAAATTCTCGGGATGGAATTGGATCCACAGAGAGACATCCTGTCATACCGGGTTCACACTAAACCAATAGTCAGCACGAAGAGAGGTATAATGTCTACCATAGCCCGAATGTATGATCCATTGGGATATCTAGCCCCAGTTATTTTCTGGGCAAAAACTATTTTGCAACGACTCTGGGAAAGTCATTTGGACTGGGACGAACCGATACCACCCTCCCTTTCTCAACAATGGGAAAATTATTTCTCCGCTCTTACAACACTACGGGAGATCAAAATACCTCGTTGTCCCTTTCTTAAGCCCCCTTCGGATGTCACAATCATAGGATTCGGTGGGATATGGGAGGCATGAAATCGCTAAAGTATCATTTGGTCCGAATATTAGAATCTCAACCACTAACGTTTGAAGAATTAACTACCATTGCCAGTCGAGTGAAAGCTATGTTAAATTCGCGACCCCTCTGCCCCATGTCTGATTCTGTAGAGGGTCATGACATCCTGATCACAGGCCATTTTCTAATTGGTGCCCCCTTAGCCACTGCTCCTGAACCCCCCCTCTCTCGATGGCAATTCCTACAGAAATGTAGCTCCTACGAGTTCTTTATACGGTAGTTGTACGCAGTAACGACTCAACGAATCTCGGGAGTGGGTTTCACGAAAATGAGATTCGCAATGACTATCAGAACTATTGGGTGGGGATACTTGTGAGATCTCTTCTATTTCCCAAAATTTGGATATTAATTGTGTTAGATCGCTGAACTTGAATAAATTAATGACAAAAAAAACACTTGTGACTGAAACTCTGATCAAGCCCCAACTAATAAAATTCAAGTATTTTTCATATTAAGAGGATAAATTCCCAAAAGTTTGTTGACAGAGGAACTAAAGTTTTTTTATTTATTCTAATTGCTCTAATCCCTGATTATATTTTAGTAAAAAATAATAACTTCAAAATATTGGATTATATGTTATTAGATGTTTTAAAGTAAACTACATCAATGCAAATAAATTTGTAGGTTGGTCGTTTCAAAAGAAGATGAAACAATGTATAAGATGAAACAATTCTGATTTCCTTCCCATCATACCTCCATTGTTCATGCTGAGACAATTTGAGGACCATAACATTTGATTTGTCTAAATTAACTGTGAGGTCCACAATTAGCAAAACTTGTATATTCTATCTGTTGGAGAGGGGGGTGCTCATCTTTCTCGCACTCCAACTCTAGACAATGATGGAGATTGAACAATAGACTGATATTGGTTGCTAGGTCATAAGAGGCAAGCCCTAGTAACCTAAACATAGTACAAAGACATGTTTTAAGCATACAATCTGAATATTAATAATCAATAATTATATAAATTAATAATATAAAACAGTTAATATTAAGCTCTGATGGCCCTAGTGTAGTATCAATAAAAAGTAGTAAGTTGGGTTATTATTCTGGATACTTGGACTATCTGTGTGTATATATATTGTATGACTTCAACTTTTTTCCTTTATCAATAAAATCCATCCTACTATTCAAATCATAGCATAAATTATAATTACAATTATGAAAAACCGAAGGCACAACACATTTGCTTTTGTAAGTGATTTTGTTGCAATGTACTAAAATTATCTATAGAATTCTACTAGTTACATAACAAAGTAATTATTTACCTTAGGCTTTTCAATTATCTGTTGTCGTGGCATGACTTTTGTGGTGGAATCATCAACAGGAGTTGTCTAAAAACAAATAAATAAATAAATAACTATAATAATTATTAAATAACTCTTCACATGTATACACTATACAACAGGGCAAAAGCATACCAATACATCAAAGCCAAACAAAGACAATATTCCCTATGTTAGTGATGACACCAATAAATCTACCAATAGCATAACTACTACATTTACTCCAAAACAAACCCCTAAGCCCACTGGAAGCAGATCCCAATCCCAATCAAAATGACAGCAAATCAAGCCTTCACACTTGTACAGTGGAACATAAATGTCTTCCATACGCGTCAAGATGATTTGAAGAAAAATTTTGCTTAGAGATTTTCAACCTAAAATTTTTTGCCTTCAAGAAACACATTTTAAAGAGAATCACAGAATCACCTTTAAAAATTTTGATGTATTTAGAAAAGATAACATTTCAAACTCTATGGCATTGGGGGGGGGGAGCAATATTTGTGGACTCGTCCCTCAACTATAAATGATTCAATTAAATACAAATTTACCGGCCGTTGCTATTTCACTTCAGACCCCATTCAAATGCACAATCTCCTCAATATATTTACCCCCTAATCAGCATTTAGCCTCACAAGATATTGAAGACTTATTTTCGCAATTACCACAGCCTGCAATAATTGTCGGAGATTTTAATGCCCGTAACATGGCATGAGGATCGTCAACAACTAACTCACTTGGAAAAAATACTCAAACGAATCAGAAGTGATTATAACCTAATTCTGATAAACGATTTAACCCCCACACATATATGTGGCGTGACCGGCACTTTTCAAATTTAGACAATTTTTTTTTTAATTTTTTTTTTTTTTATACCAGTGACTGGAGGAGTTCCCTCCTGAGCACTGCAGCTGAGCTGTACAGCTTATTGTACTTTATCCATGGCTCCATATTTTGGGGGAGGGCTTGCATCACAAATGTGAACTTGAGCCCCCATTGTACCGGTGTTCTTCCATCAAAGAAACTCATTTTTGAAGGGGGTTGGGACCAAATTCAGGGTCGCTGAGATCCAATCCCGCCCCTTCCATTGATGAGTGGTTGGGCGCGGGCGTTTTCTCCAGCCTGGGACGTGGTCTCGGGCCCTGGGCGTCCCTTGTCACGGAATGCACAAAAAGAAAAAATAAATAAAATAAAAAGCCTAAAGGGCGACGGCTCGGAGGATCTGGCTGGTGACAGTGCAGGCAGATCCTCGTCCCACGAGCTGTGTAAAATTCAAAACTGGAACTCGCCTCGCATGGCCCCTTTTCCCGGACCATTTTTGGGACTCCCCTGCGTACTGCTTCTTTGGGGTGCAGCACCACTCTCTCCATAACACGAATCTATGTATATTGATTAGGATGTTTAAAAAAAGGAAAAATAGAAATAAAAATAAATAAATAAATAAAATGAACTAAAAGTAAATAAAAATAAATATATTAATATATCTAACTTAACTTACAAATTAAGACATGCAATAAGTTTTTTTATTAACATATATATTTTTTTAATTACTTACATCTATTGGTTGTTTTCGCCTTGATCTTCTGCTACTACTCTGTCTTAGCTAATAATAATAGAAAATAAAACAAAATTAGACCATGATGATTGACAGTGTAAAAAACTAGATGTAAGATATTAGCAATTGTTGTTTTGTTGAAAAACATTAGTAAGTGTGAAAGCTTTGTACTTCCTCTTCATTGGTTCACTTTAGAGAGCACATAGGAATGCCACCTGATATGAGAATTGTGCTTGAGCTGGGTCCTCTGATCTGATTCTGGTTGGAAACAGTAGGTTTTATTGTGTACAGTACAGCAGCATGTATTGAGAGTGAATGCATTTATTGGCATAAATGTGTTGTGGAGAGGGCCAATGGCAGAATATTCAGTACCCCCATTGACCCTCAAGTTAAATATGTATAGAGGATGATGGAGTACTCCACCACCCTAACTGAGAGAATGATATTTGAATTTAAGAGTGAGTGAGAGTGTGAATGGGAGACTGATTATGTTGGGGGCTGAAATTACCTAGCTGTTGATAGCCCCTGAAGCCCAAGCTCGGTGGCTGAAAGGATGAGACAAGACTGAGGTCTGACCCCGGACTGCCAACACCCGAGGTGGGTGAGTCTTGTGGCCTGCCGGTAATTTACTTTAAATTACAAAAGCTGGAATTGCCAGTGAACTGGGAGAAGTGATAGGCTCAACTCTTACTTGCTTACATAAAACAGTAATCAGTAATATAAGATATTACATGTATGTACATGCATGTGTACAGAACTGAACTTACGACTTTTCTGGGTTTTGGCAGTCCACGGTCAAGCCTTGATCTTATCCATCCCACCACCCAAGTCATGCTTGAGGGGCTATCAAAAGTTAGGTCATTTCAGCCCCAACAAATCCAGTTTTTAAATTTAAACACACATTCTCACTTATTCTTACATACATTCTTTGTTATTTACACATAATTCCCTCAATAATGGTGGTGGAGTACTCAATATTCCTCCATTTACCATTTATAAATAATATCATATGGAATCATCACATAATCACCCGAACAAATACACTCTCATTCAACACTGACAAAAAATTAACACAAGTAAACTCTGTCAAATCAGTGGAAACTGCTTTGCATTCACTGATAGGCAGGATTGAGAAATCATTACTTAATAATGAATATACGCTAGGCTGCTTCTTCGATATCCAAGGGACGTTTGATAATGCTGATACTTCTTGCACTATATCAGCACTAGATAAATACAATGTTGACCATCACCTTACTAGATGGGTGAAGACCTACTTGGAGGGAAGAATGGTCAATATGTGCTTAGGTAGAAGTACTCTCAGAATTAATGTCCAAGGAGGCTGTCCACAGGGAGGTTGCTTGTCACCTCTTTTATGGTTAATTACAGTAAACAGTTTAATAGAACTTTGAATAATTCAGGTTTCTACAGTCAATTATTTTCAGATGATGGTACCATAATGATCACCGGTAAGGATTCCCTGGCTCTTTCACTACTGATGAAGGATGCCATGGGATTGCTAGCTGAGTGGTATTGTGATAAAGGTTTATCAATTAATCCAGCTAAACTGGAATTGATAATGTTTAGTAGGAGAAGAACATTAGATAATTTTAAAAACCCTAAATTTCAGGGCATAGAATTAAAATTAGTGGATTCAATCAAATTCCTTGGTGTGACGCTTGACAGGAAACTTGATTGGAAAGGTCATATTAATAATATATACAGGAAAGGCACAATATCTATGGTACAATGTAGGAGGATTGTTGGTAAAACATGGGGTCTCAAATCATGGATGACAGGAGCATTTTCAGCTACACCCACCCTAGCACTTGAAATCATAACCAATACCACACCACTTCACATTGAGGTTAAGGTCAGAGCACTAATCAGCTGCTACAGATTAATTAGCGAGGGCAGCTGGAATCATAAGTGCAATAACATAGGTCACTCGAAAATCTCTCAACTATTGAGTAAGGTTAACGGTCAATTATTAAGTGTTAGTGATAAAAAGATTAAATCCCCTTCGGGGAAAAAGCACTTTCAGGTAGTCACCCCTTGTGATTATAATTATAGTCTGGATGATGACCATCGTAACATAGACTGCTACACAGATGGATCACTTATCAAAGGTAGAGGGAGTGGTGCAGGAATATACATACCAAAATTAGGAATCAGCATCTCCTCCCATCTTGGCAATAACACCTCCGTTTTTCATGCGGAAATCTGGGCCATCAATGTGTGTTGTAGAACACTTATGGAAAATAAAATTATCGGAAAAGATATTAAAATCTTTTCTGACAGTCAGGCTAGTCTTAGAGCATTACAAAAAGATTTGTCAACCTCACGACTGGTGGAGGAAACTATAGATCTTATCAATAGGATCTCTTTCATCCCTTGTTTGTATCCCTTGTTTGGATACCAGCACATAAGGGACACCATGGCAATGAAAAGGCAGATGGCCTAGCCAAAGAAGGTTCTAATACTGCATTTGTCGGGCCACAACCGGTGTTACCTAACTCTATGAGCACAGCGAAAGAGAGTATCAGTAACTGGGGCATGAAACAATTCCTTAGGGAGTGGAATTTATCCCCCGGACACAGGCAATCGAAAGAGTTTGTTAAGGCGATCAAACCAGCTGAATCGGAATACTATATAATAAATCAGCCATATAGTGTACTCAATTACTTGCTGTTGCACTCAAGCACAATTCTCATATCAGGTGGCCTATACGCTCTCTATTTGGAGCCAAGAAATGACAACCTTCGATTATCACGCATGCACGCACGTTCTCACACGCGCGCGCCAAACAACCTTTCCCTACATTCCGGAGGTCAGATATTGATTTTGGTTGTTTCCTCTTGTAATTTTTATAAATAAGACAAGCAAATATTTCATTCAATTAGTGGATTGAGTGGTTAGAGCTTTCAACTCTTATTTGCCACACTATTTTAATTGCTTAGAGTATGAAAACTATATTGTAATGTGGTTTGGCCCCTCATCTGCAACACACCATGGGTAGTTAGACATTAAGCCCTCCTTTATCATAGGAATTATTTTACTTTATTGCATTTAATTTTTGAAATTTTAGATTTATTTAATGATTCTGAACTAAAATCGGATTGGAATTTGAAGATTTCGCTTTTTGTCGAGTCTTACTAGTTTCTTTGTTTGTTTATTGGGATATATATAAAAAAAACATAGATATATAAAAAAAAAAAAAAAAAAAAATAAAATAAAAAATAAAAAAATTAAAAAAAAAAAAAGCGCAAGAGCACATCATATTTTACTATAGTTTCTTTATTTTTGAAAAACAGCTTTATAAAGTAATAAAGGTTTACTATTAATGTACAGCAATGGAAATAAACGATTTTACTTACACGCTCATTTTCTGCAATTTTTTGTTCCGATTTCTCCTTTTTGCTCTGTTTGTTTTGTTGTTTTTTTGTCAGGGTTTCAAAGCCCATTGCCTTTGACCTCTTCTTCTTTGCCATGTTCTAAGAGTGAGAGAGAGAGAGAGAAAAAAAATCAACTGTTTAAAATATAGAATTATTGTATACTAGAATGAACTAATGGCCTGTAATATTTCGCTGAATAGATTTGATTTTACTAAAATATAATCAGGGATTAGAGCAATTAGAAATAAATAAAAAACTTTAGTTCCTCTGTCAACAAGCTTTTGGGGAATATACCTTTTAATATGAAAAATACTTGAATTTTATTAGTTGGGGCTTGATCAGAGTTTCAGTCACAAGTGTTTTTTTGTTTTGTCCTCAATTTATTTCGAGGAATATATAAGAAGGAAGCTCAGTGTAGGTACTGATCCTCATCCTGATCATTATTGAATTTAAAATAATTTTGAAGGCTGATTTTACATTGTTCCTATTAACCAAGCTTTTTTGCTTTTAAAGCGAGGCCCTATGCAATGGAGAAAAAGATGCTGCTTAATTTCTTAATGTGGGAAATTTGGCTTTTTTTTTTTAATTCCTGTTAGTTGAATTTATACAGGCTATTTTTGTTGAATTTTTTTGTTGAATTTGTTTAGAGGGAAGTAATATGTTTCTTGGGTATATAAAATCAAATCTAAAGGAAGATTTTCAACAGGGAAGTCGACCAGAAATAAAAGAAACACTCTGACCAAAATTAGGCCTAATAAAACGTAAGCAGAAAATTTGCATTTTACTGGTCTGGTCTTATTTCTGGTCGACTTCCTTGTCAGAAAATCTTCCTTTGCGTTTGATTTTATCTATCAAAAAATATAACTTCCCTTTAAACAAATTCAACAAAAATAAGCTGTGTGCAAGTTCAACTTAATTAGGAATCAAACACAAGATGTTCTGACAAGGAAGTCGACCAGAAATAAGCCCAGACCGGTAAAATGCAAATTTTCTGCTTGATTCCTAATTAGTTGAACTTGCACAGCTTATTTTTGTTGAATTTGTTTAAAGGGAAGTTATATTTTTTGATAGATAAAATTAAACGCAAAGGAAGATTTTCTGACAAGGAAGTCGACCAGAAATGAACAAAACGCTGACCAAAAGTAGGCCCAAACCAATAAAACGTATTTTCCACAGTGATTGACCAAAAAGAATCAATTATATTTTCAATTTTAATGAGGCAAATAAAAATTACGTTTTAAGTATGTAAGACCTTTGTTTAGTTATAGTTGTTAAGAAAAAGTAGCTAACTAAAATTAATCTTGACCTTTTAAGTAATTTTTTTTAAATATTGAATTAGTTTATGTAAAGATGTATAAAAACTTAATTATCTTAAATAAATTAAAATATACTTACGATTCAGTCAAAGATAAATGTTCTTCAGATCAAACGTCTGCAGCTTTTTTAGCTACTTTATAAAAATATTAAAGATAAAGCAGCGAATAGACTTTAAAATTTCAAAGTTTTTAAATTTGTTATTACTATTTCTTAATTTTTAAATTATAAGAATAAAGAACCTGAAGGTTAGAACGGACGCCATTGAACTTTTGAACGAGAATAGGCCGTTAAAAAGGACGCAAAAAAAAACACGGCAAAAGCAGCGACTCCTAGATATCTCTTTCCTGTTAATCTATTTAAGAAATGGTTATTATTTCTGAGGGTATAAAAAGTCAGAAAGAAAATAAATAAAATTTTCTAACCGATAATAATTGTATGAGATAATTTTTTATTTTTTAAAAAACTAACTTGACAGAGTCGTAACAGATCGATGAACCTCTTTGTAAAACACCAAGCATTACACGCGGGAGGCCTCCATTTTACAAAATTTATTCATATTTGTAATATTTTACCACTCCTAATTTTGTGAATATGGAAAGCTTTTCAAATTCTACTTGCATCAAGCTACCAGCTTAATTTTATAAAAATCTATAAAAATTATATGTTCAAACTATATTTGGAAAGACGTTAGATAAAAGTTTTGGTTGAAATGAAAAGATTAATTAATTGAAAGAAGTAATTTGGTCAATCAGACCACTAAATATAATCGGGTTAGATAAAAGATTATTCTTTTCGTCTCGTTGTCAAGATGTCCTTAAATTGTTGCAAATCAAATCATTTCCAAAATGTTAAGGACAGAGTTGTTTGTATAAGCGTATTAACTACTAAGGATACGGTTGTTTAAGAACGTGGCGACGTAGATGTATAATTATTCAGAAATCGTGAGTTAACAAATACTTGTACATTGATAAATGTAAACAATGTTTGTAAATCCTGAAGATGATCTCAATAAAGATCGAAAAGTTGGCACGATAAAGAAAATGTTTTTCTGAAACTTGAACACCAGACCGCATCTCACGATTTCTGAATAATTATCGATTAACGGTCACAATCACCACACATTTCTACACGTAGTTATATAAGTTTTGAGGATTAAAGCTTTTGAAATTCAAAGGTGTGTGAAGTGTCGAAGTAGATGGGCAAGGGAAGAAGTTGAAGTAAGACTTTCCCTCATCATCGTGGCTTAAGGACAGAGTTGTTTCCTTGACATAACACAAAACAAAGCTTTAACAATTCTTTTTTATCTTTTTGTTTTGTTCTTGTCCTTCATTTTCCTTTGTTTATTGTTTTTACATCCAATGTAATGTTCCAATAAATATACTGGACTTCCATACGCCAGAGAAAATGTCAGTTGGACAGTAGAAGATAGTGATTTATAAGATAAGTCAATATTTTATTCTTCAGATAGATGAGTCTGTCCGATATTGTGAAAAACAGAAAAATCGCCCTGGTTTAGTGGTTACAAAAAGCTGAACCAAGTGAATTCCAAGACCGGAAGAGGTAATCCGTTGGAGTAAGGTCTGGAGAAAATGGTGGAAGAGCACCTCCCATCCAAGGTGCAGAATTTTTTTGCCAAATAGGGCTTCTTTCCCAATAACCTCGAGGAAAATCAAGTATTCTGGGGCATATGTGGAATAGAAAAACGAGATAGTTGGTTAGCATAAATGCACATTTTAATAGAAGGAAAAGAGAATCATAGAAAATACTGAGAGTTTATTTAAACTATCCACAATAGCTTTAGCCCTAAAGCAATGCCCCAAAAGTGTGTCAACCGTGTATGGTCCATCTCCAATCGGTCATCTAGGAAAGTTCCTGATACTTATAAGCGCTGATAATGATTAATCAATAACTGAAATAACCACTTTATTGTCGTTTTGGTTGTGAAGTAAAGAGTGAAAACCAGCCGGTTATCCATTCGTGAATGAATCTTCACTCGTGTGACACGCGTTAGTGAGGGGGGGGGGTGCACGATTACAAGGTAGGATGACTGGTGGAAGGAGGTAGCATAGCTGTTCCTTGCTGGTTTCCTTTCAAGTCATGATTGAATTCCCCATTCTCATTCACTATCCGCAATCGGCCTACTTCTATTTGAGGAACCAGCCAATAACACCGTCTCATGGAATTTCCGGAGTTGGGCCAGCATTGCTCCGCAGCATATTGCCGCAAACTCGGTAATAAATTTCTTTGAAGATAAAATATTTTGTACACTTTATTTATTTATATATGTCAATTGACAAAAGGAACCTTAAAAAACAACTTTCTTTACACAGTAAGACAAAGTAAATTATTTATCTATAAAAAAATTAAATAAGATATAGTATAATGAGACAAAAACAAAACATTCAATGTTAACAAAAAGCCAATTATTGTTTAGTTATAAGCAACTTTGTTGGTCAATAAAAATTAAACAAAATTGGAAATCTCCAAATATAATAAATTATACAACAATATAAATACATTTAATCTGTTTAAATAGTGTAGCCTTGAATTGAACCTCTGTGAAATATGGTCAGACTATTTGTGCAGGAAAGTTTTTTTTCCTGAGAACTAGAGATCAAAGTCTCCCTTTCTGTTACTACACAACCAAAAGGACAATAAAGTAGTATTATCAGATATTGATTGATTATCATCAATACGTATATGAATCAGGAACAGTGCTAGAAACACGGTTGACACACTTTTGGGACAAAGTTTTAGGGCTGGCATTCTCATTCCTTGCTCGCTTGTATTTTCCTTCTCGCATTTTCTTTTTTTTCTAATTGATTTTTCTGACGGTGCAGAAAGTTCTCATGTCTATTAAGCTTTGCGTTTTGAGGGAAATGATTATCTCGTTTTCCTATCACACTCACTACACCAAAAAACTTGATATTCCTTGAGGTAATTGAGATAGAAGCCTCTCCATTTACATTAATAAATTGCATTTACATTACACAATTCGCTCACAGTTACTTGATATTCCTCCTAGTAATTGGGAAAAAAAGCCCCTCCATTCGTGCTAATAAATTACATTCACACTGTCCCTGAATACTCGATATTTCTCATGGTTATTGTGAAAAAGACTCTCCATTCACACTAAAACATTACATCCACACTGTCCCTAAGCACTCGATATATGTCGGTGTAATCAGGGAAGAAGCCTCGGTTCACGTTAATAAATTATATTCACACAACACTTCTTTTACACGAACACTCCATAAATTGCCACACGAACACTCCATAAATTGTCACTTGCCTTTTTTTTCTTGAGAACTTACCTTTTTTAAAATGTTTTTGCATTTAGAAAGTATGATTTTCTTCACTGTAAGAGCTTTTAGGTTTTAAACAGTTACTCCTGAAGACTAGTTACGGTTGTCATAGAACCCCATAATCCATGATAATTGGGAAGAGACCTCCATTTACACTAATAAATTACATTCACACTGTCCTAGAATATTAGGTATTCCTCATGGTAATTGGAAAAGAAGCCCCTCTGTTCCTCTGGATTATTTGGAGGAGGAGATAATAAATTACATTGACACTGTCCTAGAATATTAGGTATTCCTCATGGTAATTGGAAAAGAAGCCCCTCTGTTCCTCTGGATTATTTGGAGGAGGAGATAATAAATTACATTGACACTTCCCATAGTACACAATATTTATCGTGGTAATTGGGAGGAAGCCCCTTCTTTCATGCTAATAAATCACATTTACTCATCAGATTTCATTCACATTGACCCATATTATACAATATTCCTCCAGATAATTTGGAGGAGGAGGAGGTCCACTATGCTTGGTAATAATTTACATTGACACACCAGACGTCAGTCACACTGCCTTTGAGTACTCAATTTTTCATGGAGTGATTGGGGAAGAAGATCCTCCATTCACGCTAACGAATTACATTCACACTGTCCCAGAGTACTCAATATTCTTCGCATTAATTGTAAAGAAGCCCCTATATTTATGCTAATAAATTACATTCACGCACCAGACTGTATTCATACTGTCCAAGAGTACTCGATATTCCTCGAGTCCTAAAGTCTCCCTTTCCTCCACTGTGACCTAAAAGGTCTATTGTGGAATTTACCCTTCTTTATTTTCAAACCTCAAAAAGTGCACTACCCTTAAAGGTAGTTTTAGCACTTTCTGGGGTTCCTCTTCACTTATTTCTTTCAACTTCATCATCATCATCACCATCCTTAGTGCTTCAACCCATTTCTGGTCATGGCTACCTCTTTACTTAAAATTATGCCAGTTCCAAGGATATGTTGCTTTTTGTGACAACTAAAATAGAAAGTTTCTACATTTTTTATATCTGTTCTTAACCATTTCACTTCTTGAATAGCTGTTATTTCAGTCCGATATTTTCTAATTTGCTCAAGGAGCACATTCTTTGAGTTTGTATAGTGATAAAATTTTCTGAGTCTTAATCATTAGTCGGTAGACGTAGGTCATAACCGTTTAGACAGTCCAGCTTTCTTTAGTTCATCTTTGGGTTTTCTAATCAGATAGGATAGGGCTTTGAGCATCAGGATGTGCTCCTCTGGCTTCTTCAAGGGGAAATGTTAACACTCCTCTACTTCCTGAGACGTTGTAAGGTTGTAGCCAGGGATCCCTCCTCATTTATCTAAGTTGGGACCAACAACTGATAGACTCAAGGCTGAATTTACTTATTTCTTTAGACATTAATATTGCCTTTTGGAAGAGGCGGTACTATTTCCATGCTAATGATTTACATTCGCAAAGGACATGTTTTGATTTTTCAGACTCTTTATGACAGAGTTGGCAGGTTTCATCCTATGGATATATGCATGCAACAGTGGCAATCTCAGTACCACCTCTGTTATGTTAAGTTTTGCCTATGTTTGTAATTCTTTTTAATTGAAGTTCATTCTAATTAATTGAAGCTGAGTCTTCTTTTCTAAAGTTTTTTGCCACCAGAGTAGGACTACATGAGTCCAGAGATCAAATTGTTGTATATAGCCAGTAGGCTATTTTTGATTTATACCCCACGTTATATTACAAAATCATTGACCCACACATGTAACAACCTTTGCATTTTGTACAGTTTTGCCTATATATTTCTTCCTTCTATATGGTAAGGTATCCTAGCCTATATAGCTCAACAAGCATTAACACCAACAATCACAAGAGTTACAATAATACACTCCCTTGGGGGCATCTTTGTTCTGGTATTATTATCATTGATCGTTGACCCAATTTGGCTTATATTTTTGACTTTTTAACATTAATATTACCCAGTTAACACTCAATGTTTCGTTGAGTGGTCTGCTATTCATCATCACTAGTCTGTAAGTAAAGTAATGATAAATTATTGCACAAAAGACCAATATTGGTCATGGTGCATATGGTCATAAAGAGCTCCTTTTAACCTTTTCAATGGTAAAATTGTCAAACAAGGAGGGCTTAATAAAAAAAAATTGAGGTCAGGTGAGTATATCAATTCACTTTTTTGGAAAGGATGGTTCTATGCACATACTAGGTTTTTCCAGTTTGTGAGTAGAACCATCGTTTCTAAAAAGTGAGGAAGGCTTAATGTCCAATTACCCAATTGGGTTTAGTGAGCAAAGGTCCAGAACCACTTTACAATACTTTTTACAAAATTCTTCTCAAATATAAGTTCAAGGGCAATGCTGCAATTCGAACGCAGAGCCACTAGCATGGAAAATAGGAGTCAGACACCCAGAACATTGGCAGATCAAGCCACTGTAGCCTGCTACACTGTTCTACATTTTCACTGTCAGTTTTAATACAATCTATTTAAATATTACAAAATATTGTTTATTTGAAAAAGAAGTGAAAAAGTGTGAAAACTATGATGTTCAGGTGAGTGGTCTGCAAGGTGAATATTTCAATCACGTTTCATTGATTCTCATTATCTCCACATGTCAATTGTTGATATTAGTTTAGGTCAGATATATTTAATCACTAGCTTTATAACTCGAAATTGTCCAAGTGGATAATAAAAGAGTTATTTAACACATTGTTTTGAGTATACATATTGCTATTGCTAGGTAGAGCATATATATAAATGAAACGAACACAATTGAATGTTGGCTATCAATGATTGTATTTAGTTATGATATAGGATATGTACATATGCAATATTATTTTTGTTTCGGATTGCATTGCATTAAATTGTAATTACTGTGGTATTCAGCGTTAAATTTATTGCAATGCTCTTGGATGTACAATGTTTTTGGTGATTCCATTTGGCATATATACAAACATCAAATCCCTTGGTTTCTTGGAGCATGCAACATTGTTCATGAGAAAACCATGGATTATTCAAATTCAGTACACATAATAGCAATGATTGACCTTGTGATTTGTTTATCGTTACTGCAAAAGTCAGTTTAATTGGAAATTGCAATCGTTTGAATTGAAAAGGTACTTCCGTTAGTATCATTGGTATATGTTGAATTAGCACATCCTCTCCTTTGAATTTTAGTAAGAATATTAATATATATTGAACAATATGTTGTCACATTGGTGTCACTTAAAACAACAGTACAAAATGCGATTCTAAAACAAACCCCTTACAAAACTTCACTTCATAATACAAAATCATCTGTATTAATATTGAAAAGTAAGAAACTACCAAAACATTTAAAACTAAACATAGGGAACTTCACAATTTTTTACTTTATAAAAGTCAGAATATTAAAAAAATCTAATAGCCAAAACAATAGCACTATCGCATTTCATTTTAATTACTGAGTTCTGTAAAACAATGTTTATTATTATTTTACATAATTTATAATTGTTCATTGTTATAATTGTTTGAATTAAAATTATTGCTTCGATGACATTGTTTTATAAACTTACAATTTTTGTATCTTTTATAAATTCTGGAGATGCCCATGAAGTTTTACTGATGGTTTCCATGTTTCATCACCCCTAAACTCTTATCTTCTGTCTTTTTACTGACTTGATATACAGGGTGAATTGCTACTCGTGCTACAAACTTCTCCAGTAGATTCTTCACCCTAAAATGAACAAAAAAGTTCATATTGTCCATGGTCCGATTCTCAACCATTTCAGAGTAATTTCGCTTTTTATCGATTTTGAAAGATATCACGTCCTGGCGTCGGAAAATCGTGATATCTTTTAATCTAAACATTTCTCTGAAAATCTAATAGCACCGTTGAAATTCCCGTTAATTTTTCAATAAGAAGATGACGGTGGCAAAATGTTTGGGCTAATTTTTTGTGTTTTATTTCAGCCAGAACTACAAAAAGAGTGGAAAATTGTGTAAATCGGAAAGTGTATAAAGTAATCCAGAGTTTCTAATTTTAGTCTCAGAAGGCAGCAAATTTGAGGAAAACTACCTGATTTAATAACGCTTCCAACGCACTCGTCATTTTCTTATTTAGTGGTTGTGAGACCAAGATGTTGATGACAAAAAGAGAAAAAATGGTGGTTCAAGGATTGCTAATGTTTGAGAGTGACTTGCTACTCGTGCTACAAACTTCACCAGTAGATTCTTGACCCTAAAATGAACAAAAAAGTTCATATTGACCATGGTCCGATTCTCAACCATTTCAGAGTAATTTCGCTTTTTATCGATTTTGAAAGATATCACGTCCTGGCGTCGGAAAATCGTGATATCTTTTAATCTAAACATTTCTCTTAAAATCTATAAGCACCGTTGAAATCCCCGTTAATTTTTCAATAAGAAGATGAAGGTGGCAAAACGTTTGGGTCTTTCTTCCTTGACCTTCTAGCTGTTTGTAAACTTCTTAAGCATTACATACTAAATGGGCATTAAATTAAATTAAAAAATTTCAATGGAATTATGATTTTGATTCTCTCTAAAAATTAACGGGGATTTCAACGGTGCTTATAGATTTTAAGAGAAATGTTTAGATTAAAAGATATCACGATTTTCCGACGCCAGGACGTGATATCTTTCAAAATCGATAAAAAGCGAAATTACTCTGAAATGGTTGAGAATCGGACCATGGACAATATGAACTTTTTTGTTCATTTTAGGGTGAAGAATCTACTGGAGAAGTTTGTAGCATGAGTAGCAATTCACCCTGTATAATTAACAGTAACTGTCTTTCCAGTTTTTTAATTAAATTTTTAATTTGTTAACAACTTAATTGGTCAAGCAGACCATGTAATTAGTGAATTTTTAATTTGTTTTTAATTATACAATTGTTTTTGTTAAATAGACTTTTTGCCGGTGAAATGTGATGCATGTACAGAACTTTTTTGGTAAGTACTGTTAAGTTAAGTAATCACATTAATTTTTATAAATAAACAATAATGTTAAATCATTTTAGTCATGAGCATATGTCATATTTGAAGCATAATTGCCCAAAATCGGATGCTAGAAATGTCCAGGTACCCGTATGCCCATTGTGCAATGCTCCCGTCCCGTCTAAAAGAGGTGAAATGCCTGATATAGCAGTCGGTGCTCATATTGACCGGGATTGTCAGTCAGATCCAGCCAAAAACCGGAGAAAGGTTAGTTTCTTTTTTCACAACTAATTATTGCACAAAATAACATAGTTATGAAATCAGTGTAGCATTGTAACATTATAAATTTCATTTCAGGTTTTCAGCAATAAGTGCAACCTGAAAGGGTGTAAAAAGAAGGAACTGTTTCCTGTCATTTGCAAGGATTGCCACTTAAATTTCTGCATTAGTCATAGGCATCCAACTGATCATAATTGCAACATGATAAAAAAGTAAGAATTATTTTTGTTTTTACTATAAATCTTCCTTGTCAGGAGTGGAGTCACAAGGCAGCATCCTTGTCTTCTACTATATTCAATATATATGCGCCCTGAATACCAACATTCCTTGCTATATTCAATCCTTTCCTTGCATCTCAAATTGCACAGCTGCCTCAAAAATCCAGGCAGTATTTTTTTTTGGGGGGGGGGATGCAGACACACAACTTTTACCTTGTGTCATGCAATGTCCGACACTATTTTGTCATCATCTCTATCCCTACCAAAAACATAATACATTATCGAGGCTAGTTTTAAGATAAACGTGACCTGTCCTCCACACTAGACATACAAGATGAGAATTATTTAAAAAAATCTTGTTACTACGGTCTAAAATCCTTCATAAGATGCTCCCTATTATGTATCCAAGCTCCACACCAATGAACAAAATTCCATAACTCCATAAACACGCACACTTTATTCCATGAAATGGGAATTAAACAAATTCTGCTGTTTATGTAACTGTTACCTTAAAAACGACAATAGTTCTTAAAGGGCACTGTAAACATAATCTCTGAAAAACCTTAAACAAATAGATTGTTCTTGCAGATGATAAATGTTTTTAGCCAAGAAAGTATAACAAAACAAAATCCACAGACAATAAAGGGGTGACAAATAATACAAATAAAGCCAACAAAATAAAATATATACGGTGAAACTTCCGTTCACAGACACAGCTCAAACGGACAAATCTTGCCATTAGTTTCTTCACATTGAAATCTCTTTTAAAGTGGACATTCCTAACATACATACAACAGACATACTAAATTTTTATTTTTCACCCTTCACTTCACTTTCACCATTCGCTTCCCAAGAGTAGAATATTGAATATTTCATTCTCCAAGAGTGCATGGGGTGGTTAGGGATCAGTCCTCATCACCATCACCATCAGCTACTGGCAAGGCTATGGAGTTTGATTAACAACCTGATGCTGGCTAGTGAGGAAAAAAAGAGGGAGTACAATGGATCTACTCAGGTCGAGGTGCAGAAGGCCTTGTGGAACCACCTCTTCTCCCTATCCCTACCCTTAAGAGTGTCCATTATGGGAAAGTTTACACTAAATTAATGATAAATTTAATAAAAATACTTTCTCATATAACTTCGCTGTTTAATACAATAAACAATTTCAATTAATTATACTTTTATTTAAGGTCTTGGTTGAGATGACACTAACTTTTTCATCTCAACCAAGACCTTATATAAAAAGAATAATAAATTGAAATGATTAATATGGACAATTATGACCACTAAACATGTATGGAACAATAAAAATTTTTGTAATTAACCCTCACTATTTTTTTCAGAGTAATTAGAACAAATGGACCAAAACAGAAGCATTCAAGCAATGTTACAAATTATGTCGATGTGGTTCAAGGCCAAATGGTAATGTCCAATTAATATATATATATATATATATATATATATATAAAGTTTGTCACAAGTAAAAACATTTATTTTCTAAATTTTGCATATGTACCTTATGCTTACATTTATTTTTTATTTTATTTTATTTTATTTTTTTTTATGAGGGTTTGCAATAGCAGAGGTCATATCAACCCTCGGGGTGCTAATGTTTTTGAAAAAAAAGCCCATGTATAAGTATGTCGGGTTCAAATGCAGGGCCGCTGGATTAGAACCCGGGAATTTTACCTTACAGTCAACAACTAAACCATTGCAGCCATTGTTCATTATCTATAGTTGATACTCAATACTGATCAGAATTCACTAAAATTCTACAGTTCACTAAACTAATTAGAGTTCCTGTCTCTGGTACTTAACTCCGTTCAGTCGTGGCCCGAGGTTCTGTCGGCTCCCGTAGAAGTATGCCTTCTTCTGGGCCTTCGTCCTGTATTTACACCATTACTAATACCTTTTCAGAGTGGGTATATGATTAAATAACTAAATTTTGCTTCAAAACACAAGAGGGGATATCATTCGAGATCTGGTATTTTGTTTATTTAAAATGGTGGAAAAAATAATGCGTTTTTGATAATTAATAGACTTTTTTGCCGCAAAGGGAAAGTTGCAGCTCAGACTGCTAAGAAAATTTGTGATGTGTACAATGTATGTAAGTTGTTTGCTCAGTTCAAAAGAAGAAATTTTTATTTGGAAGACACAAAACATTCTGGTCATTCTTCTTCTTCTTCATTTGATAGTTGCTAGATATGCTTGGCAGAGTAACATATGGATTCTTCACATTTTGACTGACACCAATTTCAATAAAACTTTTTTTAGTGATATTCCGATATGGGTTCTGCCCAATGTACCTCATGAGCCAAGAAAAACAATTTTAGATGTAAAAATGACAAAAAATTGCTTTAACAAAGCTACCACTCACAGCTCTTTCAATAAATTTGAATAAAATTTTAAGGAATGCAATTTCCTCCTAAAAGACAGTATAAATGACCCATTTTTAAAAAGATTGATAAGTGAGGATAAAATGAGGGTCATTTACAACCATCTTAAGAGAGGGAAATCCTGGGGAAAACAGCAACCTTGTCAACCTAGCATTTTGTGGGATTGGAAGGAGTGCTGTATGATCTTCCGCCCAACCAAATTGTCCTACACACTATTGGTGAAATTCAAATCAGCACTTGACCAAAAGCAACCAGCATTGGGGCTAATCATGAGGGGATTGTTTTCCACCAGGATAACGCTCACCCTGATGTGTCTTTGCAGATACATCAGAAATTGTTGGAGCTTAACTAAGATGTACTGACCCTACCCATTGTATTTGCCTGACATTGCACCTTTAGATTTTCAATTACTCCTACTCTGCAAGTTTCTATTAATGTAACTTTACTACACTTGAGGAATGCTGAAACCCATGTCACTCAAACATGAGAAATTCTGGTTGGACGGAAGTACAAAATTACATGGATGATGACAAGTTGTAGAATAAAATGGTACATTGTTGATTATATTTGTTTACAAGTAGCTGAAAAAAAATTATGACTTACTACCTAGAGGAAAGAAGTGTCCCCCTTACCCAGTTTGATAAGAATATTACCTTTGCTCTTAGCTTATTCCCCCACCTTTGTTCCCTGCTTCTCTCAATGTCCTTACATGGTGCAGTTACCACCACCTTGTCGTTAAAAGATTTGGAATGCTGACCATTCAATCCAAGTCTGTAGAAGTCCTTTGCCTGATTTGCACATTGTTTTGCCAATTGGGTGTACTTTAGAACTTCGTTTAACTATTGTACATGAGGTTTTCTTTATGATGTAAAGATTGTGATAATACTATAGGAACCTACAGTTATATATTTATAATTTATTATGTGAAATGAAGTTGTTTAACCCTGCCTCAAGGAATATCGAGTACTCTGGGGTGAGTGAGTGCTGTCTGGAGAGTAAAAGTATGTTATTAGCGAGAATGGAGTGGGTTTGACCCTGCCCCAAGGAATATCGAGTACTCTGGGGGAGTGAACGTGACCTGATTTTTATTTATCAGGTGTACATACATGTACATATATGTATTGTATGTTTTATGTCTATTCTGTAGATGACAACCTGGGGTATAAACGAGAGGGGCAGCATTTTAAGATATCGACTTAGTTTTTATACCAAAGCAGAGAGTCAGTAACAGAGTAGTAAGTAAGGCTAAAATGGCTGCAGGCTGAAAAATACATGTGAAAGACCGAAAAAGAAATAAAAACATGTAGAGGCCTGGTAATGACCTTAGTGGTTTGTCACCACTTCTTAAATTATTATTATTACTACTCGGTTTGTATAGTGAAGGTTGTATTCTTACCTCACATGTATGATTATGTTTTTGTGAAAATACAAATTTTATTAAGATATGTATAGTGTATTAACTGTATGTATATATTTTATTTTATTTATATATTCGATTTCAGAGTGAAGATGAAGCTCTTGCTCATGCTTTGGCTTTGTCTCTTGAAGAAAATAACCATCAGTCTTCTTCAAATAATAGTGAACAAAGTACATTAAGAAATGGTGGTAATTCATTGACTGAATGGAAGAAAAAACAAATCACCAAACCTTCAACATCCACTCATTCCGAATCGTGTTCAATTTCCTAATAATACTCTGATAAAAGCAATCTGTGATGCAGAAAGTGGTAATAAGTAAGTCATTTTTATTTATCAATCTGGTGTTTTAAATCTGTTTAGTACAAAAATATTCATAATTACTAATTATATTAGTTTTATTTATGAGAGGGAAAATCCTGTCCAACTATTTTTGTCTTAGGCTTAGAGTGAATTAATTGTATCAGTATGAATGTGTGTTTTCTTGTACATGCTTGTGCTGTTTTATTTTTTATTAACATAAAACATTTTTGTATTATAATTATTATGAGTAAGAAAAATATGATTCAGGTTTTACTGTATATATTTTTCTTCACAATTGTATTATTTATTTTACTAAGGTAGTTGGACTTCTAATAAATATTTGCCATAAGGAGTATCTTTTTATAGCAGTGATTGTGCAGTTTTGTCAATATTCAATTATCAAAGTGCTGAATATTTTTTGTACAAAAATTAAATTAATATTGTTACAAACCTAAAGTTATTTCAAGTGTTCTTAGGTTGAAGGAGTATGTAAGTGAAAGTATTTTTTTAATATATCATAAGAAATAATTCACTAGTTTTCGTGGTCCACTTGACGAATTAATATCTTTCAATTAATTTAGGTTTTTAGTCGAGATAAAAAAGCCAGTGTCCCGAGCGGGATTCGAACCCACGATCTTCGGCTAGATACACCACTGCTCTACCACTTGAGCTATCGTGACCTTGATCCACTCGGACACTACCTTCCTATCTCAACCCCACCTTTTGAATTTTCCTTCCTTTTTGCCATTTTTCAAATGTCGTCTAATCTATTTGATTCTTGGCGACAAATGAAATGGCCACGGAGAGCTTTAGTGAAGGTATACTTCATTTTAACTTTTTAAATTCGCTAGTTTTCGTGGTCCACTTGACCAATTTATATCTTTCAATTAATTAAGGTTTTTAGTTGAGATAAAAAGGTTGAGATAGGAAGTTAGTGTCCGAGTGGATCGAGGTCACGATAGCTCAAGTGGTAGAGCATCGGCGTATCTAGCCGAAGATCGTGGGTTCGAATCCCGCTCGGGACACTGGCTTTTTTATCTCAACTAAAAACCTTAATTAATTGATAAGAAATATTTTTATCAAATTGTTATTTTACATGCACGTAATTTCTGCTCTGGTTTAATTAAGTTTAAGCACAGTTAAAAAGTGAATTTACTACAGCTTTATTGTGTGTAACTTGTGTGAGTTAATTGAACTTTTCAAATTAGTATATATTTTTTTTAATATTTCTCTTTTTAAAAACTAGCTAAGCCTGATTTTTATGTCAAAGTGTGTTGAAGACTTTAATGGGACCACATAAGGTTTAAGGATATTCAAAATTGGAAGAAAACATTGCCACAGGATGCATTAGTCCAATTTTCAAGGTTTATATTCATCTGAGTACAGTTTTAAACAAATCCTTGGTTTGTAAGAAGTTATATTTGACTTGGACAACCCATTTTTGTTTTAAGTGCTTTATATGATGCAAATACTTTGATCGTTCATTGTTTCATATTACTCATGTTGTTAAAGCTTCAAATCAAGACAATAATATCATTGTACCTTACTTATTCAGCCCGTCTAAAAAGTTACGCTTTCTTATCACAAATTTTTACAGCATGTATAATAATCTAATTTAGTTTCTTCTTTATCAAATTAATCTTATATCTTATTTTAAATGAATATTCCCAGTTTAAATTAAAATTATTGTATGCTTTTCTCATTTAAAGACAGTGTTAGTAATATACATAGTTACCATTTTGTTATTGTTTATGGTGATATTTATTTTTATATTAAAATTATTGTGTAATAAAAACTAAATGTCTATTTTCTAATGACTATTTTGGTTACAACTATGTATTTCTATGTTTACGAATTCACTCTACTGTTACATGGTTCATTGATTATTTTCCCTTCTTTTTTTTCTTTGTAAAAACCATTTTGGATTGAAATTAGTTTTAATTATTATAACACGGTTTTAAAATAAATGTGTTGGCAAAATTTTGTATGTTTCTGGAAGGAACATTTTTATTTTATTTTTTTAGGTTTATTCATATTATTTAGAGAAAAGGTAGCATATTATTTACTACATAATAAACCCTAAAGAATGGACATTAGTCCGTCTGTTTGGTTGGTCTTTTTGTAATGATAGACAAGAAATCATTTAATCAGCAACACTTCATACATATTTCTTAGGCTATAAAAATTCATAAATAATCAATATACAATTAAATAATTTAAAGTATAAATAAAAATACCTTAAATTACAAATATTTTAAAAGAATTTTAAATTAGTGATTTTAGATTAGATTTTAAATTAGTGCTGACTCGCTAAGGGAGACCATCATCCCAGCTCTGAAACCAGGGAAGGATGCAGTCCTCGAGACTTTGGTGGAGAATAACATACTCAGACCAATTGCCTGCACAACCTATATACTGGACCCCAAAACCGGGAGACTGACAGCGGAAAGGATTTTGGCTAGGCTAAAATCCTCAATCTTTAAGTTAAACACTTAAACCTACCCAACAGGAGAAGGGTACCGTGTGGACCTTCTCCATAGACAACGACTCCTTCCAGGAACTCCAGAAAGTGGATATCTACCCCCTCCTCAGAATGGGAAGAACATATTTTAATCCAAGTCAGAGCAGCCCACAAGCTCATAAATGGACAATGAAAATTGAGGGAGAAGATACAGGCAGATGCCATATTAGGCATGCCAATCGATGCCACTACTCCAAAATACGTTTTACTGAAAAGTAGAAGGTACTGAAGAACGAAAAGAATGGGCTAAAGGAACATCGCTAGAGGCAAACTCCTACTGGTATTCTGACGGCTCCAATGCCGACAAGGGCACGTGAGCTGGAGTCTTTAGGATGAATCCAAAGACTGAGCTCATGGTAAACCTAGGTTAATATGCTACAGTTTTCCAGTCTGAAATCATAGCAATTGAACATGCACCAGGTAAATAAAAAGGCTAGGACAGATAGATGTTGAGGATTCGGTTCGGTTCGGATTCCTAACGGGGTTTAATTAACTAAAGTGGACTGTACTTTTAAGAACATTATTATTAATCAACAGAGAGAAAACAGCAATTAGGTTTAGGCTTTTTTTTTTATATAAAAAAAATTAGTCAAAAAATGACAAGAAATGGTGTCACAGCCTGGCGGTAGCAATTTGAAGTAAAACTTTAATCTTCTTCAGCTTCAACATCCCGCCCACCTTGAAGCACAGTCTTCAATCCATCCTGCGGTTGCTCCTCAAGCTGGTCAACTGGTAGAGGAGCCAACTTGGAGATAGGCCTTTTGTAGTAGCCATCAATGGTCCCGACAGTAGGTACTCTGAGTAGGACTGCCCATCTGGTCCAGGATGAACTTCGATGATCCTGCCCATCTTCCACACCAAAGGGGGAGAGTTGTCAACTATTAACACCAGTTATCCGAGTTGCAGATGCAGGTCGGCTGCGTCCACTTTCTTTGCATCTGAAGGGATGAAAGATACTCGCGTTTCCAGTGTTTCCAAAAATTGTCTCGCATTAGCTGCAGCATCTTCCATCGGGCTTGGTGATTTTTACGGATATCGGAAGTATTGGTTTCTGGCAATGCAGTCGCTGAATCACCAATCAGAAAGTGGCCAGGGGATAGATAGGTTAGAAGGATAAGAGGAGACAGGGGTCGAAGGTCTGGAATTAATGCAAGCCTCTATTTGGACAACGATGGTGTACAGTTCTTCAAATGTTAAAGCCGAGTTACTTACTATCCTTTTGAAGTGAAATTTAAAAATCTTAATATGAGACTCCCATAGCCCACCAAAATTGGGAGCATTAAGTGGAATAAAGCTCCATTTAATGTGCTCTGCAGACAAAGTATTAGTAATAGTTGTGTTTGCTAGAAGAGATCGTATAAGTTTGGCCAATTCATTTTTGGCACCAACAAAGTTAGTTCCATTATCGGAATAAATTTCTGAGCATTTGCCTCTTCTGGCCATAAATCTTTTGAGCGCAGCTATGAAACTCTCAGTAGTGAAATCTCCTACTACTTCCAAATGGACAGCAGTAGATGCTATGCATATGAACAAGGCTACATAAGCTTTAGTGACAATTGCCTTCCTGGGTTTTAAACATCGGAGAAAGAATGGACCGCAGTAGTCAACTCCCGTTTTGTAAAATGGACGACACACCTCCACTCTAGCCTTAGGTAAGGAACCCATTAATGGTATAAACGTCCTTGGTTTTACTTTGAAGCAAATTATGCAGTGACGGGTTATTTTTCTGGCTAAGTTTCGGCCATTCAGAGGCCAGTATCATTGTCTAATGGAGGCCATCTATGCTTGTGGTCTCAAGTATAAATTATTTTATTATTGAACCATTAACTCAACTATCCTGTTCTTGTCAGGCAGAAGTATCGAGTGCTTAATGTATGAATAATCAGAGTTGCCAAGCCTTCCGCCTGCTCGCACCAAACCATTCTCATCAACAAAGGGGTTTAAAGGTCGAAGCCGACTGCGTTAATGAAACCTTAGTTATTCAAATCGTACCACTCATGAGAAAAATGTACTATTGGGTTGTCCGGAAAATAATGCAGGATTTTGGTATTAAACAAAAAAAAAGAAACTAGTTACTTTAAAGCAATGTTCTTTAATCAAAATAATTTCCCATACTCTCAATACATTTCTCCCAACGTGTTGGTAACTTATTAATTCCGTCTGAGTAGAATTCAGAATTTTTAGAATTGATAAAGTCAATAAATGCATTTTCCAGTTCCGTTTGATTTTTGAATATTATGTGTTGTAAGTAGTGGTCCAGGTGTCTAAAAAAATGGTAGTCAGTAGGCGAGAGGTCCGGAGAGTAGGGTGGGTGAGGCAAAGTTTCATAGCCAAGCTCCAATAATTTTTGTGACGTTACACGTGACACATGTGGTCGAGCGTTGTCATGCAACAAAATGGGCCCTTTCCGATTGACCAAAGAGGGCTTCATTACTGCCAATTTCTGATGCATGGTATTAATTTGGTTACAGTATGATTCAGCATTGATGGTTTCGCCAGGATTTAAGAAGCTGTAGTGTATTAAACCAAATGAAGCCCACCATACCGTAACCATTACCTTTTTTTGATGAGTTGGGGGCTTTGGAAAATGTATTGGAGCTTCTCCTTTGTCGAGCCACTGTCCAGAACGTCTAGTGTTATCGTAGAGAATCCACTTTTCGTCACATGTAACAATTCTGGCCAGAAATGGGTCATTTTTGTTTCGACAAAGAAGTGATGCACAAACATCAAAGCGCTGATTTTTTTGGCGATCGTTTAATGAGTGTGGAACCCAATTTTCGAGTTTTTTCACTTTTCCAATCGCCTTGAGGTGGTCAGCGACGGTCGTTTTACTGACTTTGAGTTGCTCTGCAAGTTCTCGAACAGTTGTTTTGGGGTTTTCTTCCACCACTGATCGCAGAACATCATCATTAAGAGAGGAAGGCCTTCCACGACCTTCTTCATCTTCAAGGCTGAAATCTCCCTCCCGAAATTTTTTAAACCACCTTTGCACAGTGCACTCATTAACACAACCCTCGCCCCAGACTTGGTTAATGTTTCTAGCCGTTTGGGCTCCGCTTCGGCCGAGTTTAAACTCGTAAAAGAAAATCGTACGAAATTCTCGCTTTGACATTATAAGGATGACTGAATTATTTCCAAGTAGCGGAATGCTACAGAGGTAAACAAACAATATCATTTGGAAGAGGATTAATAAGTGTTGACATTCATACAAATGAGTAATCCTGTAAACGTAAACAGAATATTTTATATAGATTTTTTTTAATGAAAACTTAAAATCCTGCATTATTTTCCGGACAACCCAATATTTGCACCAATTTTACGATGAGAAGTTCAGACTTGTGCATCTCTTCAGCTGATATGGATTTCCACATTTGGAAATTTTTTCTTTCTTTTCTACATGGTTTGATAAACCTACACATAAAGGCGATAACCCGTTTTAGCTTGAGGAAACTACTAAACTTATAGAATGCCTCTAAGTTCAAATTACAAGAAGTGGCTAAACAGGAAATGGTGGTCTTTTGATAGGGTAAAGTTGTTGGCCTGTAGAATTCTGTAGGTGTTAACCAACTTTCTTTAGGATTTATCAACCAGTCAGGTCCATGCCATCAAGATTATGTCTGGATAGCAGTTTTAGTGTGATTCCTCTTGTAATCAAATCTGCTGGATTTTCACTTCTCCTAACATGTCTCCAGCATTCAGGATGTATCTGCGATATACGATTGGCAACAAATGTTTTCCAGTGGCTGCTGGCTAAGTTGATCCATCCTAAGACAACAGCAGAATCAGTCCAGCAGATGGTGTGGTTTATCTTGATTCAGAGAGCTTGGATTACCTGCTGTGTTAAGTTAGCGGCCAATGTGGTCCCACACAGTTCCAGTCTTGGAAGTAATATTTTTTTTAGCGAAGCCACTCGGCTCTTGGATGTCAAAAGATTCGAAGTGACCTTGCCACCATAATTGACTCTTATATAAACTCAGCACCCATAGGCAAGCTCCAAGGCTTCAGCAAATGTATGGATTTCTATATGAAAAGGCTCATAGTCATCTAGAAACTTAACGTGACGCACCTGGGTATTTGCAGGGTGGGCATTTCAGCAAGACTAGAGCTATATGCATTTCATTCTCTCTGAAAATCATTAGGGAGTTGTTTGTCCCAATCCAATTCTAATTGCCAAAGTTTCTGGATAAGCTTTGCCGTTATGACAATAGGAGAAATTAACCCTAGTGGATTTGTAGAAGTAGGGTTGGCAAGAGAAGGCTCAGCAGCCTGATTCATATTGGCAAGGGAGGGAAACATGTTGCTCGGATAGATATCTTTCAGCCTTTCCGACGCACTCATAGTACATACTTTCAAAATTATCCTTTTCCAATTGTTGGGCTTCCTGGAATTCCGCGGTTTGGTCCAGCATGTCTAATTTTAAGCTGTTTACTCAAATTCAGACCAAGACTCCTTAATTTTACCAAGTCTAGCTTTTAATTGAAAAGCATCTTCATTATCGTAATAATATGTTTTACATTTTGTTAATCTTGATTTGATGTAACCTTTTTGAACATTTAACTCTTTTAAAATAGTCATTGTGAACTTTACTAAATTTAATGGTTAACAAGTAAACAAATAACGAATTAATAAACTATTTAAGCGATTAAGCTTAATTAATTAAATATGAAATAGCTTAATAAACCTTTGTATATTATGTTATTATTAATCAACAGAGAGAAAACAGCAATTAGGTTTAGGCTTTTTTACATAAAAAATTAGTCAAAAAAGGTTAACAAGACCAAGAGGAAGTAATGGTAGCAATTTGAAGTAAAACTTTAATCTTCTTCAGCTTCAACAATAGCCACTTCTCTGGCAGTCAGGCAGCACTAAAGGCCCTAACCTCATGCGAAGTGAAGGCAGAGTGTTTGGAACTGCATGCAGGCCCTGACAGAAGTCAGTGACACTAATGAACTGACCCTGGCATGGGTCCCAGGGCGCTCAGGGCATAGAGGCAATGAAAAGGTTGACATGTTGGCCAAAGAGGGGGCCGACATGGACTCTGGGTCCTGAATCCTACTGTGGCTTAGCATCCTGCCACAAAAGAGGATACATGTTAAAATGAGTCCAAAGCATGGTGGAACAATACCTCAGGTATGAGGCACATGAAGAGATTCATTCATAGAAGGACCAAGGTCAAAACTTACAAAAGAAATACTGGAAGGCGACCACAACGAACCAGGATTCTGGTTGACTCCTGACAGGACATTGCCACTTAAGAAAGCACATGCACCGGATAGGAGTACAGATAGAAGAAACACTGTGAAAATACTCCCAGGAAGAGGACCGCAAAACATATTTTATGTTTCTGTGAAGTTGGTCTATGTAGGTGCAGCTTCTTGCAACTAGGACGGGAAAAACCGCAAGCAAAATCTTACACTAAGGAACCACTGGCAAAGCTATGGAGGCTGATTAACAACCTAAAGCCGTCCAGTGAGTTATAAAAAAACAGGGGAGCACATTAGATCTATTCAGGTTGAGGTGTAGAAGGCCTAGTGGTTGCCCTTTTATTCCGATCCCCTACACTAAAATATATTTTGTATGTTTGAAGACAAGGCATTAAAACAAACATATTTTTAAAAATAACATTCCCTTACAACATAAGCAACAAATTAACAAAATAAATAACATGATGCCATATAAATCCAACAGATAGGGTAGGAGGATAAATATACAAAATTAAAACTAGGTCAAGGCAAATTTAAAAAAATATATTTGTATAACAAAACTAACTAAACAATTCTGTGTTTACATGCAATTTTATTTTTCTGGAATTTGTAATACAAAATGCAAATGCAAAAAATTTTGTTATCTACAAATGTGTCAAACTGCAGCTGACAAAGAATCCATAATATTATCATTATGTATTTAAACAACAATAACTATTTCAATAATAAAACTAGCACACAATTATTATTAAAAATATTTAAGGAAAAACAAACAGAAACTATAAGTTGATAAACATTTTTTTATAAATGACTGCTTAACAAAATAATGACTTAATAATTATTATATGTAAGAGTAAAACTTACAAAAATTTTAAATCGAAATTCAAATAATCAACACGACATCACAGACAAAAAATAAAGTCCCCTTACACAAGCTTCACGTAATGCAGATTCTTTGTCTTTTTGTAAGCCTAAAAATGTCCATGTTGATGATGATGTTCCAACAATCTGGATAGACACCATATATTCTGCAAAAAAAAAATCAAATAGCATGAATACATTACATTCACAAACTGGTACAGAAACGACAATATAATAGGTTATTAGAAAAGATAAATGGTGGAGTGAGTATTTTGTTCAATATATATAAAAAGATAGTTCCTACTCACAGTTAGTAACCGACTGAACTGTGACTGAAATTTTTCTGTTCTATTTACTTTCAAAATAAATATGTTCTAGACTGGAACAATGTATATATTTAAAAAAATTCAATTATTAGTCGGGTGATGTAATATTATATATTATGCAGGGTGGGTAACCAAGATTTGAGGGGTTAAATGCCTGGGTAGACTTGTACCCCATACCTAAAAGGTCCGGGACTTGGTCAGTTTACGTGTCCTGCATAAATCTCTTGGACCTGTTCACAAACCCCAAGATTTTGGACCATTTAATCTTGGGGATGTCCTCTCCTTCAAAGATTTCAAATCTAGACCTAGCATACCTATCACACTCTGCGAGGTAGTGCCTTGCCATTTCTTCTTTTATTTCGCAAAAGGGGTCTGGTAGAATACCCCAAACTAGAATAGAGAGGTGTCTTCTCAGTGGGCAGTGGCCCGTCAGAATACCTATCAGCCTCCTAATTCCCTTCCTTGAGTTATAGAATAGCCAGTTCGATTCTGCTGGTTTAATCACCTTAACAAACTCTTTCCATTGCCTGTGTCCGGGGGATAAATTCCACTCCCTAAGGAATTGTTTCATGACCCAGTTATTGATACTCTCTTTCGCTGTGCTCATAGAGTGAGGTAATACCGGTTGTGACCCGACGCAGTATTAGAGACTTCTTTGGCTAGGCTATCCGCCTCTTCATTGCCATGGTGTCCTTTATGTGCTAGTATCCAAATAAGGGTCACCTTGTTCTCAAACCTGGAAGAGATCCTATTGATAAGATCTATAGTTTCCTCTACCAGTCTAGATGTTGTAAAATCTTTTTGGAATGACCTAAGACTAGCCTGACTGTCAGAAAAAATTCTAATATCTTTTCCCTTAATTTTATTTTCTATAAGTTATTCTACAACACACATTAATGGCCCAGATTTCCGCCTGAAAAACGGAGGTGTTATTGCCAAGAGGGGAGGAGATTCCTAATTTAGGTATGTAGATTCCTGCACCACTCCCTTTACCTTTGATAAGTGAACCATCTGTACAGCAGTCTATGATGCGATGGTCATCATCCACTCTATAATTATATTCACAAGGGGTGACTACCTGAAAGTACTTTTTCCCCTAAGGGGTTTTACCCTTTTTATCACTAACGCTTAATAATTGGCCGTTAACCTTACTCAATAGTTGTAAGATTTTCGAGTAGCCTATGTTATTGCTCTTATGATTCCAGCTGCCTTCGCTAATTAATCTGCAGCAGCTGATTAGTGCTCTGACCTTAGCCTCAATGTGTAGAGGTGTGGTATTGGTTAAGATTTCAAGTCCTAGGGTGGGTGTAGTTGAAAATGCTCCTGTCATCATCAAACAGCCTAGTCTTTGAAATGACTTTAATTTATTACTATTCCCTTTATTTTCTAGACCTTTCCACCATATTAAAGTTGTGAACAATAATCTAGGTAGAATAATTGCAGTATATAGCCTTTGGCTACCCGTGGTTTGAGACCCCATGTTTTACCGACAATTCTCCTACATTGTACCATAGATATTGTGCCTTTCCTGTATATGTTATTAATGTGACCTTTCCAATCAAGTTTCCGTCAAATGTCACACCAAGGAATTTGATTGAATCCCTGAAATTGAGGGTTTTTAAAATTACCTAATGTTCTTCTCCTACTAAACATTATCAATTCCAGTTTAGCTGTATTAATTGATAAACCTTTATCACAACACCACTCATATAGCAATCCCATGGCATTTTCCATCAGTAGTGAAAGAGTCAGGGGATCCTTACCTGTGAGCATTATAGTACCATCATCTGAAAATAATTGACTGTAGAAACCTGAATTATTCAGAAGTTCTATTAAATTGTTTACTGTAATTAACCGTAAAAGAGGTGACAAGCAGCCTCCCTGTGGACAGCCTCCTTTGACATTAATTCTAAGAGTGCTACCACCTAAACACATATTGACTATCCTTCCCTCCAAGTAGGTCTTCACCCATCTAGTAAGGTGATGATCAACATTTTAATTATCTAGTGCTGATGTAATGCAAGAAGTATCAGCATTATCAAATGCCCCTTGGATATCGAAGAAGCAGCCTAGTGTATATTCATTATTACATAATGATTTCTCAATCCTGCTTATCAATGAATGCAAAGCAGTTTCCACTGATTTTCCTGGTAAATAGGCATGCTGATTGGGATGTATCATTGTATTAATTCCACAATCATGTCTAATGTATTTATCTAAAATTTTCTCTATTATTTTTATGAAAATATAAGATATACTTATAGGTCTATACGATTTAGGTAATTGATATGAGGCCTTACCTGGTTTGGGTAAGAAAATTACCCTTATTCCCTTCCTGCATTTTGGTATATGTCCCAATGCCAGATTACTCCTTAGGAGATCCCACATTACACTCAAACGAACTAGGTAAACTAACTGTTATTCTCAACTCATCCAAGTTCATCAAGTCAAAGCTAAAAGGGTAGGTTAGGTAGTGAAATATACTTATTTCACTACCTAACCTACCCTTTGACTTTGGTGATTTGGCAGTCCAGGGTCAGACTAACACAAAATCCATCCTACTGCTAAGTTAAAACTCCTGGGGCTGTCGACTGCAGTTTTTAACCTAAACACATCCATCGTGCCATAGTCTCATTCATTCTTAAATATATCATTTCATATTAAAAAATTAAATACCATTCACTCAAGTAGTGATTTTTTTGTTTTTGTTTGGGTATTCCCATTACCCAGATTGCTAGATAACTTCTAGATGCTTGATGGAGTCAGCTACTGAGGAACGGCCACGAGCAACACACTGCATGCAATGCCAGAGTGCGATGCCACCACACACACCCCCGATTACTAGACCCTGCACAGACCTACTCTTTTTCAAATCTCAATTTCGGCATCTCTGACATGCTCAAACTTTGGTATGCATCTTGTCTACCCTCTACTGTAAGAGATTCCAGATTAGTATGCCCAGCAATTCCCAGCAAAGAGTAAACTCTATCTATCCAGTCCTTCCTTCTATCTTCATATTCAGGACATTCCAATCAGCACATGTATCAAATCATCCTTACACAGTTTGGGGACTCTTTCATACCTATCCTTTGAGCACCCCATAATCCATGATCCATCCGGATGCGAACTAAGGTCATATAATTTTTTTTTAGAGGCCCTACACCCTTGAAACCATGGCATCCTTGGTACTCTAGGGAATCTTGTTTGGTACGTCAGTCCTCGTGTGGGTGTAAAGCCTCTTTTGTTTTTGAGCTAAGTTTTCACTGGGGGGAGGTAGTTCTTCTCTTTTGGGACAAATTGATAGGGGTTTTCAGCGAGGACGCAGGTTGGGGGTTGGGTAGTTCAGGGAACAAAGGAGTAGTTTTAAGGGAAGTAGAGTGTTGCAGTGCTCGATATTTGACCTTCATTCTTTACATATATTTTGAGACCTCTAATAATTATCATCCAACATAAACCAAAAACTAGCATGTACATCACAAAAAATGGTTAAATTTGTTTTAGTTACCTAACAATAGTAATTAATTAAAAATGTCAGGTATATTTTAGGCCTCAACTTCAATACCCTAACCTAGAAAGAATTTACACATTATAACTAGTCTAACTGCGATGCAATATCTAACATTGGGTACATAATTTATATAGTGTATAATAGTATAGGGTTACATATATAGTATATAGTATAGGGNTTGTGGGATGTTTCAATCCAAGTAATATTTTCCTGAAGGCCAAGTTCATTTACTATTTCGTTGAAAAGCTCTGATGGTTTTTCTACATTCCAAAAAAATTCTTCTGGCAAATTCTGATAAAGAATAATACATAATTGTTACTGGTAACTAACAAATATAGGAATAAGATATTTAATTTATTAGATTAAAATAATTACATTTATATTTTTGATACAATATCAATCATTGTAAAATTACCTTTACTTTATCTAATGCAGGAGATGGTTTAGTTTCTGTATATTGAATTAAGGAGTTATACAAATCACCTAGTTGAAGGCCTACTTGGCCTGTATTTGTACATCGGTGGTGTGTTTTTTCTTTCAACTTCTCAATTACAAGCGCATTCAATTTATTGATATTCTCTAGCTGGAAAAGTAAAATGTCTTTTATTAATAAACAACTATTAATAAAATAATTATTAAATTTTATTAATAATATTATATAATATGCTTCCTGTTCGCTGGCCCCCGGGCCACCGCTGCTCCCTTTTTTTCATTGCCTTTTCATCCCCTCGTGCAAAAGCTAGCAGGTGCTAGCTGCCGTGGGGCAGCCCTGGGGTTAGCAAACAGAGGGAGTCCCCGCTAGTTTCATATTATATTTTTTTAAATAAGTCAAAAAGAGCAACTCCAAATATTGGGTTGTAAGGAAAATAATGCAGGTTTTCATATTGTATTTCCCCCCTCTATATAATAAACTATTTACATTTGATGGATTATTGTTTTGTACAAATGTCATCACTTTTTAATCATCTTTCAAACAAGAACGTTTGTTTACCTCAGTAGCATTTCATTACTTTGGAATAATTCAGCCTGTTTCGGCAGCTTGCCTGAATGAAAGAAAATAAAATAAATTATTTAATTGAATAAATAAAATTAGAAAAATACAAGATAAAAGTTACGTCTACTGCAGAAAATGTGAACTGAAAATAAAATAAAGAAAGAGTAAATGAAACCTAATGAAAAAAAAAAAAATTAATTGTGGGGAATCGACTTATGGAGGAAAGCAGAGAAGGAAAAAATCGCATGCGGGACACTCACCTTCTGGCTACTGCTCGATGGCAATGGGCTGGATGTTGGAGTTCGGGCCCGAATCCACACCTGCTCCTGTTGGTAAATTGTCGTTGAAGCCAAGGGACAAGTGTCGAGGGATGACGATGAGAGAAATAGCAAGAGTTGAGAGAAAGAGAAAAAAAAAGGTGCAGAGATATTGGCATGGTCAAGCCCTGAATGCCTACTACCTTGCCTGCGGCCCCTCTCCAGCCCCAAAAAATGCCCGACCCAGCCAAGCCAAAACACCCCTCCCCCACGAGATAGGCCATAAGCACAAGCCTTCAAAAGCCACAAGAATTATGAAAATGTAGAAATTATTAATTTTCCTGGCGTAAACACAGACTTTACTAAGATGTCAACGTATGATTTTCATGTAATTTTGTTTTACGAGTTTAAACTCTGTCAGAACGATGTCTAAATGGCCAGAAACATTAATGAAGTCTGGGGAGATGGCAGTGTAAGTGAGAGCACCATTCCGAGATGTTTTATAAAATTTTGAGAGGAAGACTTTAGCCTTGAAGATAAAAAAGTTTGTGGAGAAAATTTCTTCCCTAGATGATCATGTTCTACGAACTTTAGTCAATAAAAATTCCAGAACAACTATTCTTGACCACGCAGAGAATCTTTCAGTTAGCAAATCTACTGTCGCTGACAACCTTAAGACAATTGGAAAAGTTAAAAAGCTTCAATGTATGATTTTCATGTAATTTTGTTTTACAAGTTTAAACTCGTCAGAACGATGCCCAAATGACCAGAAACATTAATGAAGTCTGGGGGTAATGGCAGTGATTTCGAGAGGGAGACTTTAGCCTTGAAGACAAAGTTTGTGGAAGGATTTCTTCCCTTGATAATCATGTTCTACAACCATCACTGACAATCTTAAGACAATAGGACATGCCGTCTCAGGTTAACCATTTCCACGAGGTGAAACAAGGTGAGGCAAGTATGCAGTTTATAACTGTTAATGTTAAATAAAAAAAGGGGGGAAGAAAACACTGTTGGGAGATCAAAGAATTATTTAGTTGACAAACCCCCTTAGAGTTTTTTCATTTTCGCTTCAAGAGTTCCAACAGTCCCATTCTGGTGCTAATTTCCTTCCACGCATCCTTTCTGTTATTCTTGTTCTGATGAGTTTTATCTGTAACATCCCGCAAAAATCAGTAGCTGTGGTACATTGGGAAAAGTTGAATGCACTACTAGAGGGTGTAGGGAAGTTGCCATCACATTGGGAAAAGTGACAGAGTGATGGAGGGTATTTTAATTAATAAAAAATGTTTCCAATAATTTATTTAATTGTTTTGATTTTATAACCATAAACCTGCATTATTTTCCAGACAACCCAATAAATAAGCTTAAACTAAAAACTTCTGCACATCTCGATTTTTGGCAGGCCTGTTTCATTTTACATGCAGTCTTCAACTAAATTTTACAGTAACCTGAATGTTTAATGTCCTGTTGGTCCATATGGCAGCAACCAATTCGACGAGGCCACCATGGTTACTGTTAACTTTCATTCACTTGAAATATTCATACTCACATTTAATGATCTTAGATTTAAGCCTACAATGAAATTTAATAACATTTCCACTCGGAAACAATATCGCCAGCGATTCATAGCCTAACGCTTTCATAAAATAATCTTCCCCTATGTAAATGCACAACAATGCACTAAATAGACAGTTGCCATCAACAGGTTACTTCAATTTTAGTCAGGCTTAGCCCTGAGAAGGGCTGATTTTTTAATAGCTAATAAATAATAATAAAAGGTTGATTAAAGCAGCTTAAGTTTAGCCCTGGGGGACCGCGGTAGCCGAGTGGTTAGCATGAGAGACTCTCACGCCGCGGTCGTGGGTTCGATTCCTACCGTCGCCTCTGGCCCTTTTTTCACGATAACCCCCCCCCCCAATTTGAACACATATATAAGAATTCGTCACCATGGCTAATATGCATAGATCATAAGGCAAAAAAAAAAGTTTATAGATAGAATTACTCGTAAAATTATTGATTACTAAGCCCTGAAAAAGGCTGATTGGAATTTGATTTCGATATGTTGTCAGTCAAATCCGTAATGAAATACTGAATATCTGTTCTTTCGAAAAAAAGAGAGAGAAAAAGATGGAAACATCCTTAACTTCATGAGTTGTAATACATTTTTAGCCAATTTTTTGTTATCTATATATTTTTTATTCTACTGTTCTTAAATAGCTGTTTAATACTATGTAAACAATTTTATGTTATGTTGTTTTCAAATAAGGCTTATTTTGTAGAAAAAAAGTTCCTCTTTTCAACAATATATAATGTGACTTCTCAACTCAGACCCCCCCCCTCTTTGACTTTCAAACCATATTTGGCATTCTATTATTTTCAAACGCCCAGTAATATTTAATTTAAATAATTAATGATAATTAATATTTATAAATTGATAAAACTTCATTAATAAATCATAATAAAATAAGGGGGTGCAGTAATTTTGACATTAAAAAGTCACTTAACATTTTTTTATTGAACTAGAATTTTCGTTTTAAGGATATGGAATTTTGAGAAAAAAAATATCAGTTATCCACCGCTTTTCCTAACCGAACTAGATGGAAATTTCCTGAATTACCCATTGCTTTTCCTCTTATATCTTGTGTATGGCTCGGTCGATTTTCTTACGTCCAACGTTTTTACGTCCGTTTTGAACCGAATTCGATGGGAAAGAAGTCAAAACAATTTTCTGAGTTACCCATCGCTTTTCCTCCTATATCCCATGGACGGCTCGGTCGATTTTCTTGCTTCCATACTTTTTACGCCAGTTTTCAACTGAACCAGATGGGTAAGTAGACAAAAAAATATCCTGAGTTACTCTACCCTTTTCCTCTTATATCTCGTTGATGGCTCGGTCGATTTTGTTACTTCAAACGTTTTTACGTCCGTCGAACCGAATTAGATGGGAAAGTAGTAAACAAATTTCTGAGTTACCCATCACTTTTCGTCTTATACCTCGTGGACGGCTCGGTCGATTTTCATATGTCCAACATTTTTACATCCGTTTTGAACAGAATTAGATGGGAAAGTAGTCAAAAAAAATTTCTGAGCTACCCGTCGCTTTTCGTCTTATACCTCGTGGACAGCTCGGTCGATTTTCTTACGTCCAACATTTGTACATCCGTTTTGACCTAAACTAGATGGGAAAGTCGACAATACAAATTCTTGAGTTACCCATCGCCTTTCGTCTTCTATCTCGTGGATGGCTCGGTCGATTTTCTTACTTAAAACGTTTTTATGTCCGTTTTGAACCGAATTAGATGGGAAAGTAGTCAAAAAATTTCTTGAGTTACCCATCACTTTTCGTCTTATACCTCGTGGACATCTCGTCGATTTTCTTACTTCAAACGTTTTTACTTCTGTTTGTGAAAAAATGTGAATTTATAAAGGAAAAAGGGGAGGATAAGTCAGAAAACATTTTCGACCAGTTTCACATATAGTATGGTTCAAAACCGACGTAACAACGTTGGATATATATAATAAAAACGACCTAGCCTTCTATGAGATGTAAGAGAAAAACCAGAGGATAATTGATAATGTGTGGTAATTAGTGACTGTTAATCGATTTCTAAATAAATAATTGATAATAATTTTTTTTACCACTTACTAGAGATATAAGGGGAAAATGGGAGAGTAACTCAGGAAATTATTTTGACTACTTATCCATCTAGATCGGTTCAAAACGGACATAAAAACGTTAGATGTAAGAAAATCGACCGAGCCGTCGACAAGATATAAGAGGAAAAGCGATGGGTAACTCAGAAATTTTTTTGACTACTTTCCCATCTATTTCGGTTCAAAACGGACGTAAAAACGTTTGAAGTAAGAAAATCTACCCACCCCCACAACGAAATAAACAGGAATATGTTGCTTTACTCTCTTGTCCACATATGTATGATTCCAAAAAACCCAAGCATAATCCTACAGCACTCGCTACCCATCATTTTGAACACCAACACAATTTCGACTTCAAAAATCCCAAAATATTACATACAGAACAAAACAAACATAAACGTAATTTTTTAGAAATGGTTTATATCAACCGAGATAAACACAGCATCAATTACAGAACAGATACATGTAAACTCAGTCGCAGCTATGCCAATATCATTAATCAAATTCAATATAGATAACATACATACATCATTACATTACATTCCACACATCAAATACTTTTCATAGTCTAATTGTCCAACTATTTAGCTTTCCTTTTCCTATTTATCCCTTTCTATGTAATCCTGAAAGGATAATCTGGCCGAACCATTACCAACACATTGTTTCCCTTCGTCGGCTCTTTTAACCTCAAAGAAGCCGACGCCTTATACAAAAATGTCTTTTTTTCTATACCGACTTCCTTCCCCACCCCTTCAAAATCCAACGTATATAAACATAAAACAGCAAAATTTCATTGGCACTCTCAACTGAATATAAAAAATATATTTTGCATTGTATAAATTCAATTTTCCACATCCTAAATGTACTTGTTAAATGTAAACAATGTTTGTAAATCCCAGGCCCTGAAGATGATCTCAATAAAGATCGAATGTTAGCACGATAAAAAAAATGTTTTTCTGAAACCTACATCACACCAGACCGCATCTCACGATTTCTGGATAATTATCGATTAACGGTCACTAATCACCACACATTTTTTTTAAGTTAGGCTATTACGTAAATTAGGTTATTAGGTAGATTAGTTAGTGAGGTAGTAAAAAACAGGCACTTTGAGCTATGGACATATTTACTGAAAGCTACTTTCTACTACTCAGATATATCCTATTCTTAAACTGAAAACTATTGCACATAAAACTAGTATCAGAAGGATTTTTTATATATACCTCATTATTTTTTTCCAAGGCAGGAACTTCTTGTAGGCAATCTTTCAATTTTTCAAGCATGGCTTGAGCAGCCAACTGCTTTGCTTGCTTTTTGGTCTTAGCTAGTCCTAAAAATATCATCATTTAAAATACCTGAACATGTGAATGACTGAAAATACTGAATTACTTGTGTCGATAAGATTTTGACTAAATACACAACTGTATTATGGTCATTTATCCTATTCTGTTAATTTTTAAAAGAAAAAAAGGAGTATTGTATGTGCAATAATGAAACTACAACATACCTTCAGTTTTGAAGGAAGAAACAGAACAAGATATGCAAAATATCTTATCATGAGGTAATCCTTCATCTCGTGTTAGTGCGTACACTGGCATGCGCAACAATTTGTCTGAACAAAATTCCTGCAGACTTCCAACAGCATTATCTTTGATTATTTCTGCATATGGATGCCGCCTAACACAAATAAATATTTGTATACCATTCTAATAATTTTATTTTTACAACAGGAAAACAGTACCAAAAAAAAAGTTTTACATATTATAAGAATATACAAATGTGTTTTAACTTGTTTAACATATAAATGTAAAAGCCATTTTATCATAGTTTGAAGACTACATTTTAAAAAAAAACACTTTATAGTGTAAAAAATTACCTGTGCATGCTTTATTCATAAGTAAATTAATAATTTTTTTACTACTAAAAAATTATAATTAATTATTTTTGTCATGTACATATTTATATATTTTTTATATGGAAAACTGAAAGAATTCTAAAAATTACTAACAAGGGGAGGCTGCGGTTTTGGGATTTCACTGATAACATATTATGACATTATTAAGAAATTTTTGAGTGTTATGTCAATTATTTCAGCTCTTAGAAAGCATAATTTCTCTTTTTTCAGCCCTAGTCAACAAGGTTTATATTTTATGTATGTGAGAAAAATAAGGTTAAAAAAAACCAAAAATTCCCCAAACTGTTATTTTATACCATCCATTATAATTTATTTCAGAGGCCAAATTTATGCCAGTACAGGTAGTTTTTAGAGTTCTAAAACTCTATAAAATTTTCCTTATCAGTGGAGTAAGTATAGAAATTCATTATTGATTTTCACAAAAATTTCTACCTAGTTTTTTGGACTACAATATATTTTTTTTTTCTCAGCGCTTAGGGCCAATTGGGGCTTGGACATGTGGATAATATTTTTGACCTATCACAAAAAAGTTTTATTTAAATCAGTCATCCCACATCCGTAGCCTCGCCTTATAAGTATTATTTCTCTAGACTATCTTTAAAATAAAAGTATTTTCAATACTTCAAAACAGAAAGTATTCCAAAATATACTTACACTTCATCCACGACACTTTCTTCCACTAGATGTTGTAATTCTGAATCCTCTGATTTAAGTATTAGAAGGAAATTACGAGCAGCATCATGTTTAGCTTCTTTTTTTGATTTTCCATTTCCAAATGCTATGGGAAATCATTTCATTTACAATGATTTGTATTCACAATTTTTATTAATGAATTAGTTGATTAAATATTAGACAAATTGTGAGATGAGGCAAACTAAGATAAACATTACCTATTTTTCCGATTGCACTGACTTGAAATTTAAATGTAGGCTGGTGCGTACCAACACCGTTGTGAATCAATTCAAAATTTGGTACAACATGCCTTTTTAAAAGAAGTTCCTGAAGCAAAGTCACAGGTGTTTTACTGTTCCTAAAATAAAAACAATTATTAAAACAAAAAAATTATTTATTTGTACAGCTTTACTTTTGTTAGTTTTAAGTAAAAGGATAACATATAGCTACAGAAAGTACTGGCAAATAAATGTTCTTAATATAAATAATAATAATATCAATATTATTTATATATATTTTAATGTACTACCCATTTGGAGGGCGTCCAGGAGTGTTAAGTGGGTGAAGTGATGGCCTGAAATAAAAATAACTTCAAAAGAAGTCGTTAACTCACATTATTACATAAAGCCTAATTATTTCAACTTTCAATTAAATCAACCCTAGAAAGTAAAAGTAATAACAAGAATTGAAACAATCCATTTTAACTACTAGGACTGAACATCCTTTTTAACTTTTAGGATTGAACACCGCACACACTCCACCATTCATCATTTCTAGAATTAAAGCATACAATTTTTTTGGACACAAGAAATCAAGAAAGAAAATGTGTTTGCTATTTTGCAAGTCAATTGGACTTAGTAAAATTGTGATCAATAAAGTCTAGATTTTGTACTTCTTCAGCATTGGTGGCAACAACAGTTGAATACATGTTGAACTGGCACAGGATCACTTACTGGGTCTATTTCCATTCGCTGGTTTTTCAGTTATTCAAACGCATTTTGGCATTGTGCCTTTTCAGTGCGGAAGAGTTCTCACGCGCAAAGCCAAAATGCATTTGAATAACAAAAAACCAGCAAGTGGAGACAGACCCAATAGTAACCCTGTGCCAGTTCAACATAAATTCACCTTCAGACCAAAATCTATCATCAACTCTAACAGCTGAATGGTCAACACAGCGACTCATTACAAGAAAGTCCCAGTTTTGAATTTCGGAGACCCTGGAGTTGATTAAAATGTACTTTCAAAAGGGCTTTTTCAATGTGAAAACACTGGAACCCCAGGTCGATATGACCTAACGACAATGGACACCCCAGCCTGAATGAAACACACTTGTCGTTTTTATGCTAATGAAAACAATGTTTAATTTATACAATTTTTACATTTTACTAGACTCATAAACAACCTTACCTTGAATGTATTCCAACCATAGTTATACTCATTTCCTACGGAATCAATGCTTTTCAGGTAATTAGCACAAGAATTAAGCTAGTAAAACTTAAAATAAACAAGACAACCACAAAATCAAACTAAAACAATTTTTTGAATGTATTTAATACTCATTTTCCTATGGATCGATTCTCTTGAGTTGATTAGTGAAAGAATTAAGATTATAAATCAAAAAATAAGCTAGACAAACAAAAACAAACTAAAACAATTTTTTAAATGTATTAATACATTAAAACATACTATGGATTGAATCTAATGAGTTGATTGGAGCAAGAGTTAAGTTCATAATCCTTAACAAAGCTAGACGACCACAATATCAAACTAAAACATTTTTTTTTTAATTTTTATTGTTTAAGGGATGTATTTATACTAGTTTCCGTTAGAATCAACTTTCTTGAGTCAAATGAGCTTGAATCTTTCCTTAAGCCAAATGTCATAAGTAACAAAAAGCAAATCCTTTTGTCATAGAATGCTTTACCCCACAGAAGAATCCAGCAGACTTGATATTCCATGCCACAGTGAAGAACAAGCACAGTTAAAATATTTACAGAACGTTCACTATTTTTCGTGATCCGCTTGACCAATTAATATCATACAATTAATCAAGGTTTTAGGTTGAGATAAAAAAGTGGTAGAGTAGCGACGTATCAAGCTGAAGGTCGTGGGTTCGACTGACTTTTTTATCTCAACTTGAAACTTTGATTAATTGTATTTACAGAACAATTTAATAAACTTTATTTTATCAATGCAAGTTTTCCTTTGCATTTCTAAGTTGCTTATCATTTTTTTCCCTCACATTTCCATCGGTGTACTGCTTATTGGCCGAAAGTTGGAGTTGCAGATCCTCCTGAGAGGAATCTCTGGGAACTTCATAGTTAAAATTACTAGGGACCTACATATCGCAATGGGACAACAAAAAATAGCATACTAATTCTCCTTGATTTTACCAAAGCCTTTAATTCCATCAATCATTCATCAATCCTGTTCAAACTGGAATCCTTTTCCTATAATACCATCCTGCCTTCGAGCATGTACCATTCCTAATGGACACACACATCCTCCTTTCTCCCCTAAACTTCCCATTGAACATGTAATGAATACCCCCAATTCTAAAGATAATGTCACTTGAAAACAGAAGAATGTACCTAGATATGTTATTTTTGCATAAATTAGTGAATGGTTAATAGTCCTTAATAGTTAGAATGTATAAACTTTAATGTTCCTAGGCTCAATATGAGCAACTGTATTCATTGTATACAAATATGGCTATAACAAACTATATGAAACATAGCCCTTGTAACTGTTTAATGACAGAAGGGAATTTGTTACGTTTTGACTGTTCTTTTGACAGCATATCAGACCTAAAAAAAGTTATTGTAAATTACATTAAGGTAAATCACTGTAATGATTAAAAGTATAAAATGTATAATTGTGGAAATTTCCTGTAAATTGTGGAAAAATTGTATGCATGTTACTGTACATTGTATTTTTCTTATTGGGGGAAAAAAGGATTTGTACGAATGTGTATGAATTTATATTCATAAATTGACAATAGGCACATGCAATACAGAGTGTCTGACTGGTATGCAAATAGAAGAAAATGCTTGGTATGTATCTATCCCCTACAGATAACAAGAATCTTCTGTTATATGGTTTTTGTTGTTGACTAAAGTTTACAGCTGCAAGACATTGTGCTGTTAACCCATTTTTTCAGGGTGGTGCAAAATTGCACCATAAGAAATGTTTACTTTCGAACACTGGTTTCCCCCTTTTATTTCCTGGAAAAATAATGTTTAGTGTTGATAATTCTAGTTACTACAAAGGGGGGCGGACCTTAAACATTAGACCTCTAATGTTATGATTCCTTTTAGTCTAAACTCTAGTCATCTTTCAATTTCTCAATTTCTTAATATTATTATTTTTCTTGAGCAAAGTATGGGGAAAAAAAGGAAGTAACTTTTGAATTAAAATTTATAATTCATTTTTAACTGTTCTAATGTACTGCTAATAGATCAATAAGATAATATGATCTCCATTAGTTTTAGTTAAGAATTTTTTCAAATGAATTGCATTTTATGCACCACCGGGCACTTGCAGATACATATTTTTTTCTTTCATAGGATCTACCGAACTATGGACGAAATCTTGAATGCACTTCAAGAATTAGAAGAAAAAGAAAATTTAAAGTTTAAAGAAGCAAATGAAATCAACGTTTACATTGCCCCTCTCCCTAACAAGTTACGACACCGATGAAGATAATGCCGATGAAGATGAGGGAGGTACTGTAAATAATTTGAATGGGCATCAGTTGTTAGCAGATGGTGAATTTGTTTTGAGCAGCAAAGAGGGAGATTTATTAAGGTTGGTTGAGAAACATAACACCCTTTTAGAGTATAGTTCCGCAAGTCCCACAGCAATTCATTCTCCCAACATAACTTCCACATCACAATGTCCACAGAAGAAACTGAAGCTAACACAGAAGCATCTAACCTCCAAGATAGTAATGGAAAATTCTAGAAGAAAAGAGTGAAATCTTACAATTTTTGGGTAAAAGATGATCTACCTTTCTATAATATTGGTTGCAAATTTTTGAAATTCCGAACTCACCTTTGAACCAATCATGTAGACCGATGACTCCACTAAAACTGTTCAAGCTATTTTTCAATGATAACTTCTAGAAAGAAATCGTGAAACAATCCGTGATATATGCGGTACAAAAAGGAAAATGGAATTACCAATTTTCGGTTTAAGAAATTAAGGCTTTCTTGGGAATTTTGATTTTGAGTGGATACTGCATTGTCCCACGAAGGCGGATGTACTAGGACGAGAAACCTGATGTGCATAATGCCGCATTTTCTTCAACTCTTTATAGAAACAGGTTTGAATAAATTATGAGATATATCCATTCAAAGAATATTAACAGACTCAAGAAGAACAATAAACTTTCAAAAGTGAGACCTTACTTGGAGCACTTGAAACTTTCTCTCAAGAAATTTGCAGTTTGGTAGTCAAGAGTTCAGTATAGATGAAGCGATGATTCCATACTTTGGTCATCATGGTCTAAAACAATGTATTAGGGGAAAGCCAATATGTTTTTACTACAAGGCAAGGTGTCATAACTTCAAACAAGGCTATCTGGTGAACTTCTAAATTTACCAAGGTGCTAAGGGTGCTGAAAATGTTTACAAGTAAGATTTTGGATTGGGTAGTAGTGTTTTATTAATTTTTCTGATAGTTTGTTGAAATCATGATGAATTTTCAGCCTCACCATGTATTTACTGACAATTATTTCACATCCTTGAGTGCTGCAAAGGAATTCACTAAGAGATCAACTGCATTGACTGGAACAAATAGGACTGACAGTATTGGAAATAGCAATCTAATGGATGTATCTATTATGGAAAAAAAGCCAGGGGATTTTATGATGTGTACTATGAAAAGAAGCATAGCAACATTTTGCTCTGCCGATGGAATGGCAACTCCATGGTTTCCTTATTGTCTAATTGTTTAGCAGTGAGCCCCACCAATTTTGCAACAAGATATTCAGCCACAGAAAAATAAGAAAATTCAAGTGAGCCAACCCCATGTGGTTAGGTCCTATAACAAAAACATGGGAGAAACTGATCGCATGAATCAAAATGTATCAACATACCGAATATCTCTAAGATCTAAACAATGGTGTTAGTCAATATTTCTATGGGGAATCGACATTTCTTTACAAAATGCATGGATCTTACACCAAAAATCAGTAAGAGCAAGATGTAAGCAGTCATTAGATTTCTTGGAATTCAAAAGAAGTGTGGCAAGAGAGTTAATGGAAAAAACACAACTCCAAGGATCAGAACAGGGAACATTTCATCAACCGTGGCTAGTTGGACTTCAAGCGGAATCAGGTATGACAGCTTAGGACATTTTTGGACTCACAAACAATCTGCTGTGAATTTTGCCACTACCATACTATGATGAAATGTGAAAAATGTTCATTGGCCTTGCAACAAAAATGTTTTGCAAATTTTCAGTCGAATAGTTACTAGTTACCTATCATATAATATTTTTGTAATCACCTAACAAAAGAAATAAAAATTTTATAAAACAGTGAGTTATTTTTGTCCAACCTAAGGGCTGAATACATTTTCATGAACTTTTTGAAGCAGGTTATAACTATAAAAGCAAACAGTACTGTTCAAAACCACAATTTTTTAAATACTACAAGGACACTAAAGAAGCTATATATATATGTTTTTACCAAAACATTGGTGGGCATATATGGGTTAATTAATTTAGCCCATTATTATTTTAATTTTAAGGTTTGCTTCTATTTCACTGAAGACATTCAGAGACTTTACTGAGTGTATGTTCCACAGTGAAAATTCCAGAAACAAGTTACTACAAATAAACACTGTGCCATTGAAATAAAAAGGCTAGGAACACATTCCACGAAGATAGCCATTTTTTCCAATAGACTTAAGGCCTTAGCCTCCCTGGCAGAAATCGGTTACACCAATGAACTGGCATGGACCCCTGGTTATTCGGGAAATAGAGGCAATGAAAAAATGGACATGGTGGCTAAAAAAAAAGAAGCCAATATGAATTCTCTAGGCCCCAAACCCTAGTGTCTTACCATCTAGCCAACAAAAAAAGGACACATCCAACAATGGGTCCTTGAGTCCAAAACCTGGTAGGAAAAAAACAGGCATGAGACACACAAAGAGATTCATAGAAGGGCTGTCTTTAAGATTCACAAAGAAACTACTGGAGGGTACTGGTTGGACTCCTGACAGGCACTGCCGCCTAAGGAGGCACATGCACAAGATAGGAAGTACTGACAGAAAAAACAGTGCAGATACTGCGAGGAAGAAGAAGAGATTGCACAAAATGTTTTATGCTTCTGTGAGGGTCTATGTAGGTGCTGCGACTAGGATCCTACACTAAGGAACTGGTGGCAAGGCTATGGATGTTGATTAACAGCCTGAAGCTAGCCAGTGATTTATAAAATTAGAAAAGCACAATAGTTCTACTACTCAGGTGCCTTACATCCACCTCTTTTCTAATCCTACTACCAATAAAGTTGTAAAAAAAATGGCATTAAGTCAAAAAGATGGACTTGGCCGTGAACCACACAGGAAGTTACACATCTGTAAACCGCGTGTCTACGGCAAATGTTGTTTTCTGCTGTTGACGAGTGTCTTTTCCACTCGAATGGGTGGAAAAGTATCAGAAGCAATAGTTAGAGACAACACAGACATGGAGAGCAATCCTTCCTTACCGGCAGCACCAATTTGGAGCGCTGTGAAAGAGAGACAAGGTTGCTCCCCCTAAGGTACAGGGTGATAAGACGAGGGATTCACCCTGGTTAAAACTTAAAAGCAAAAGAGGTAAGAGAGGAGGGCGATCCAGGCTTGAGCACAATAAGGATCGCTCCAATTCTCGAAAGGTTGGGTCCACATCCGTGTTTCAACCTGTCTTCAGGGACAGGTTCAAACCAAGACGAAACCCTCAGGTAAGTACCATGGATTATTCATGAGACCTCTCAGGGTGTCACAAAGTAATATGCAGCACAGTAAGATTGTCACGGCCGAAATCGGTAGGGACATGACTGTGCTGCAAACGTTGATTAGGGATGGTTAGGGATTTCTGCCAATAGTTAATTGGGTAACAGAGTGGAGGGTGACACCAGGTAAGATCTCCTCAGATCATTGTATCATTGATTTTAAAATCTCAGGAGAAGGTAACAAAATAAGGTTTAGGAATCCAAAACTAACCAACTGGGAAACCTATACTAATATTATTAATAATATTACAGGTTGCATACCTACTCCTTCTAATGTAACAGAGCTGGAGCAGGTTGCTAATATCATTATACAGTTCATAAACTCTGCATATGTAGAAGCGTGTCCTGAAAAAATACTACGCCAGAATTGACATCACTGGTGGAACAAAGATCTGGCTAGTTTAAGGAAAAGGGTCAAAGCATTACACAAAAAAGCCCTGCAGTGGAACTCTGAACTGTACTGGAGGGATTATCTCTCCACGAAGAAAGATTATAAAAAAGAGTTAAGGAAAACTAAGCGTAAAGCCTGGAGGAACTTGTTTAGAAACAGAAACAATTAAGGAAAGTTCTCGTATTTTTAAACTTCTGGAAAAGGATTATATTAATCCTTTAGGTTTATTACAGGATGATAATGGGGTGTACACCACATCCTGTAAGGAGACCCTGAACCTGATGGCTAGAATTCATTTCCCCAGGTCAGACTCTTCCACTATCCCAGCCGAGGTTGAACTACCAACACCAAACTGGGATAAGGCTAATGAGGTAATTTCCTGGGAGGCCTACAAATGGGCGGCACATTCCTTCAAGAAATACAAGGCAGCCGGGGTGGATGGAATATTCCCTGCCCTCCTTCAACAGGATACACCATTGGAACATATACCAAAATGCTGGAAGGAAATAAGGGTAATTTTCTTACCCAAACCAGGTAAGGCCTCATATCAATTACCTAAATCGTATAGACCTATAAGTAATCTTCTATTTTCATAAAAATTATAGAGAAAATTTTAGATAGATATATTAGGCATGATTTGAAATTAATACAATGATACATCCCAATCAGCATGCCTATTTACCAGGAAAATCAGTGGAAACTGCTTTGCATTCATTGATAAGCAGGATTGAGAAATCATTATTTAATAATGAATATACACTAGATTGCTTCTTCGATATCCAAGGGGCATTTGATTATGCTGAAACTTCTTGCATTGCATCAGCACTAGATAATTAAAATGTTGATCATCACCTTACTAGATGGGTGAAGACCTACTTGGAGGGAAGGATGGTCAATATGTGCTTAGGTGGTAGCACTCTTAGAATTAATAATTATTCAGAAATCGTGAGATGCGGTCTGGTGTGATGTAGGTTTCAGAAAAACATTTTCTTTATCGTGCCAACGTTTCGATCTTTATTGAGATCATCTTCAAGATGATCTCAATAAAGACTGCATCTCACGATTTCTGAATAATTATCGATTAACGGTCATTAATCACCACACACTTAGAATTAATATCAAAGGAGGCTGTCCACAGGGAGGCTGTTGTCACCTCTTTTATGGCTAATTACAGTAAACAGCTTAATAGAATTTCTGAATAATTCAGGTTTCTACAGTCAATTATTTTCAGATGATGGTACCATAATGCTCACAGGTAGGGATCCCCTGACTCTTTCACTACTGATGGAAAACGCCATGGGATTGCATTATGGTTGGTGTTGTGACAAAGGTTTATCAATTAATCCTGCTAAACTAGAAATGATAATGTTTAGCAGAAGAAGAACATTAGGTAATTTTAAAAACCCTCAATTTCAGGGCATAGAATTAAAGTTAGTGGATTCCATCAAATTCCTTGGTGTGACACTTAACAGGAAACTTGATTGGAAAGGTCATAGTAATAACATATACAGGAAAGGCACTATATCAATGGTACAATGTAGGAGAATTGTCGGTAAAACATGGGGAATCAAACCATGGGTAGCCAAATGGTTATATACTGCAATTATTCTACCTAGATTCTTTATCGCAGCTTTAGTATGGTGGAAAGGTCTAGAAAATAAAGGGAATAGTAATAAATTAAAGTTATTTAAAAGACTAGGCTGTTTGATGATGATAGGAGCATTTTCAACTACACCCACCCCCCATCATAACCAACACCACACCTCTTCACATTGAGGTTAAGGCCAGAGCACTAATCAGCTGTTACAGATTAATTAGCGAGGGCAGCTGGAATCATAAGTGCAATAACATAGGTCACTCAACAATCTCACAACTATTGAGTAAGGTTAAGGGTCAATTATTAAGTGTTAGTGATAAAAAGATTAAAACCCCTTCTGGGAAAAACCACTTTCAGGTAGTCACTTCTTGTGATTATAATAATAGTCTGGATGTTGACCATTGTAACATAGACTGCTACACAGATGGATCACTTATCAAAGGTAGAGGGAGTGGTGCAGGAATCTACATACCAAAATTAGGAATCAGCATCTCCTCCTATCTTGGCAATAACACCTCCGTTTTTCAGGCAGAAATCTGGGCCATCAATGTGTGTTGTAGAACACTTATGGAAAATAAAATTAAGGGAAAAGATATTAGAATTTTTTCTGACAGTCAGGCTAGTCTTAGGGCATTACAAAAAGATTTGTCAACCTCACGACTGGTGGAGGAAACTATAGATCTATCAATAGGCCCTTGTTTGGATACCAGCACATAAAGGACACCATGGCAATGAAAAGCAATGCCTAGCCAAAGAAGGTTCTAATACTGCGTTTGTCTGGCCACAACCGGCATTACCTCTCTCTATGAGTACAGTGAAAGAGAGTATTAATAACTGGGGCATGAAACAATTCCTTAGGGAGTGGAATTTATCCCCCGGACACAGGCAATCGAAAGAGATTGTTAAGGTGATTAAACCAGCAGAATCGAAATGGCTATTCTCTAACTCAAGGAAGGGAATTAGGAGGCTGATAGGTATTCTGACGGGCCACTGCCCACTGAGACGACACCTCTCTATTCTAGTTTGGGGTATTCTACCAGACCCCTTTTGCGAAATAAAAGAAGAAACAGCAAGGCACTACCTCGCAGAGTGTGATAGGTATGCTAGGTCTAGACTTGAAATCTTTGAAGGAGAGGACATCACCAAATCACTCCCCGAGATTAAATGGTCCAAAATCTTGATGTTTGTGAACAGGTCCAAGAGATTTATGGATGACACGTGAGTCGACCAAGTCCTGACCTTTTAGGGATGGGGCACGAGTCTATCCAGGCATTAACCCGTCGGGTCTTGGTCGCCCACCCTGCATAATATATATATAAGTCAAAAAGATATTTTTCTTTTTTAATTGTGAGCCATTAGTTACAATGGCAAGGGGAAGTCTGGCACTTAGATAGCACAAGCATAAATAATAATTATGTTGATAGTAGAAAAGTTCACTTACATTTTCATGCTACTATTAATTTTAAAAAAATCGTTACACCAATACACGAAATCGTCTGAAGCCGTACGTTCTCAAAAGAAGCCAGATGAATCATAACAAATGGAAGTGATAACGATAAAATACAAAGTTAACGACTTTCGATGGTTCGAACGAGTCGATGGTTGAAACGGGACGTTGAAACAGTTTGAAAGGACGTCAAACTGGTGGAAGCCCGCCGGATTTTCAAATTTTGGTGTTTCCACGTTCCTAGTATTTAAAGTCGTATACGTAAATAAATAAAAAAAACTGGCGTATTTGAAGTTGTACGGTTGAATTGTATTGGAACTGGTTCTAGTTGAAATGACGAAAGTCGAACAAATCCGGCATGCTTTAAAGTGAACGATATACACTTCCAAATGTATAATAAATAAACAAAATTACCATAAAAAATTAATTGGATTGAAAATTCTGAATTTTTTATGGACCGGCAAACTACTCGGTTATCGCCAGCACTGGCTTTAAAGGATTTTTTCGCTAAAAACGATGGCGCAACCAATTTTAAATCGATTTTAAAGAATAGCAAAGTTACGGCACAGAATGGCACAGAACTTGTTGATGACATGGTTACTTGATTCCGGGATTTTCCTGAGAATACTATTTGACAAACCCAAAAGAAAAGAAAATTGTTTTCTTGTCGTCTTTATACTCGATTTATAAGGACGGACCTCAGTCAACTAGTGCAGCAATTAAGCTCATAAACTCTAAAATAAGTTAGATTGGCGCAAGAATTAAGCTTGTAAACTCCAAAATAAACTAGATTGGTGTAAAGATTAAACTAGAAAAACATTAAAATAAGCGAGACAAACCTAAAAGAAACTAAAACTATTTCATTTTTATTTATTTGTTTATTTTGTATTTTTTTTATATTTTTTTTGTCGTCTTTATACTAGATTCGTATAGGACGCACCTCAGTCAACTAGTGGTATTATTAAGCTCATAAACTCTAAAACAAGCCATATTGGCGCAAGAATTAAGCTTGTAAACTCCAAAATAAGCAAGATTGGTGCAAGGATTAAACTATAAAAACATCAAATAAGCGAGACAAATCTAAAAGAAACTAAAACTATCTTTTTTTTGTCTTTATGCTCAATTCATATAGGATCGACGCACATCCTTCGGCTAGCACTAGAATTAAGCACATAAACATAAAAATAAGAGATTGGCGCGATAGTTAAGCTCGAAAAACATCAAAATTGGTAAGACACACCTAAAAGAAATTAAAACAATTTTTTGTCGTCCTTATACTTTATTCTTATAGAATTGACTCCCTCGAGTCAATTGATACTGTATTTGAGCTCATCAACATAAAAACAAGCGGAATGGGTGCAAGAATTAAACATGAAAAAACATCAAAACAAGGAGAGAAACCCAAAAGGAAGGAAAATATTTGTTGACGTCTTTTTACTTGTTCCCTATTCAATCGACGCACCTCAGTCGACTAGTGCTAGAATTAAGCTCATAAACTCTAAAATAAGCCGGATTGGCGCAAGAATTAGAATTAAGCTGCGAATACGTGACAAGACAAACAGGTTGGAATCACATGGTTAACCAATTATGAAGCAGGGTGGCAGAATATTTATGGTTTAACTACATATTTAACTACTTATGTATTTGGAATAGACTAAATATAGCCATATGGCTGAATATTTGGTAGAATTCACTAATTTCGTGGTCCGCTTGACCAATTAATATATTACAATTAATTAAGGTGAATCTAACAAGTTAAACAATCGATCCACTCGGACGCCAACTTCCCATCTCAAGCTCACGATAGCTCAAGTGGTAGAGCAGCGCGTATCAAGCCGAAGATCGTGGGTTCGAATCCCGCTCATGCCATTGACTTTTTTATCTCAACTAAAAACCTTAATTAATTTGGTAGAATTTTCAAAAAGATTATTTTCTGTCATAATAAAAAGAGGAAACTTTTGCCTACTTGTTAGATTTCATGGGTTTAAAAGACCTTTTACTTAGCAACACTTTTACGTCCCTATCCAAATCCAAAAAAATAATTGAATTAAGAAATTCTTAAGATTAATTAAGATTCTGAACTACCCTACAGCACTGAAAGTAACAGACCGAGATTGCTAAATGCTAAAGCATTATCAGATCGTGGAATGGAGGGGCTTATCCCCAATTGCCCCGAAGAATATCGAGTACTCTGGGTAGTGTGAATGAATGTGTGTGTAATTTATTAGCGTGAATGATAGCTTATCTCCAATTAACCCGAGGAATATCAAGTACTCTGGGGTAAAGTTAATGAATGTGTGAATGAAGCGATTTATCCCCAATCAACCGAGAAATATCGAGTACTCTGGGGTAGTGAGAATGTAGTCTGGTGTGTGAATGTAATTTGCTAGCGTGAATGGAAGGGTTTATCCCCAATTACCCCGAGAAACATCGAGTACTCTTGGGTAGTGTGGTTTGCTAACCAGATGTACAAGTTGTTACTTTGTTTCTGTGTAATTTGTGTTTGTTATTTGTCTTTTTTATTCACAAATGACAGCCTGAGGACCAGAGAGGGTAGCAGTAGCAAGACACAGAAAAGAGTGAGTTGGCTACCTTATAAAATATCGAAACTCAGCTGGAGAAACAGAAAAAGAAATTAGTAGGATTAATACGCGAGAAAGATAAGAAAGGAAATGTAAAGCCAATGAAGAAAGGACTAGCGATGGCCAATGTAATTTGCCGGCCCTAAAACTTAAAAAAAGAGATTATCAGGTGAACATCCTGTAGTGATTAAACAAAAGAGTTCTGACTGATCTTCAGGCACCTTTTCCCGATGATGATGATAAGTGGAATTCTAGTAAATGAGGGTTTTGCATTTGTCAAGCACTACATCCAACTAGATTATACTTTTCATAGTTCCTTACTGTTCAACTAGGAATTGACTGTCATTGCTGCGGGTCTTCTTGGTACGCTAGGTTAGAGCAGTTTCGCATTCAAAGATACGGGTGGCAGTTTCTTCATCCTCATTGCAAAACCAACAAATTGGGTTATTAAATATACCCTAATGTTTTCTAAGATGCCGGTGACTGGTCCCTCATCACTGCATTGAGTTTTACCCTTCTAACTGTAAAATTTGTAAGTTTTGGTAAGGGTTCTTTGATCCTAAGTTTACTATGTCTGACGGCTATAAAGGATCCCGGTTTGAAGATTACAGGATCTGCTGTTGTCTGTTGATTTCGAGTTACCTATACAGTTTCAACCAGTCCATTTTTGTTCTAGTTTCACTGCTGAACTCCTAGCTATACTCAAAACCATTAACATCGTTTATGTCATCTCAATATGTTCCGACTCTCAGTACTCACCATACTAAAGAACATACTAAATCCAGACATCCAGGGTATTTCTGGCAACGTTGGCATAATTGAGAACGAAAAGACAGACAGAATGGCAAGAGCCTCATCTGGAACTCCCCAGGATGGGTTTCAATTCAGTGACTTGTGCCTTCACTTAAGGTAGTTCTTCTGGGAAGCTTGCAAGCGTGAATGCCTGCACAGGACTCAAGCTACTTACAATAAAAATGAGAAATCCATCACTAGACCCCCGAAAAGATCTTCTAACCCGGCTTCGATTCGGCCACACCAAAGAATAAAATGTGTTACATATTATTACATGATTGTAATTTTTTTATGACATTTAAAAAACAAAAAGAGTTGCTGTGAAGATGAATATGTACAGAAAGTAAATTTCCAACTATATCTAAATGACAACTTACCTTCTTAAATTATACGCCGCACCATATGACACCCTTAAGTCAGGTTTTTCCGACGTTATTGAACTAGAAAAGGTAGACATAAGAGCTGATGTATATGCGTGTAATATGAACAATAATTTGATCTTATTCAAAAATTTATCCAAATTTAAAAAAATAATGTGAGCCCATTTTAAATCTATTTAGTATCTTAAAATATTACTTACGGTTGTGAATGTATAACCGCATCTTTTGCTATCCCTGAGTCACTGCTTATCGATGATGGTAAACTGAAAATCGAATTTTTATATCATTTTTACGGCTATCAACTATAAAGAAATATCTAAACGTTAAAATTGAATTGATTATCGTATTTAAAATACTATTTACGGTTGTAAACATTGAAGCGCATCGTTTGTATATACCTGACTCAGTCCTTTCCCTTGGCGTTTGAACTGAGATACGTACATATTTTAAAATTGCGCGTTTTACGTCATAACAAATCTCAATTTTTATCCCACAATTGAAAACCTAACCTAAACCTAACCCAAACTCACCCTCCATGTCGCGAAAATGGTCATAAAAAGAAAAATTGTGTACTAGGTCTAAAAACAGAATCATGTTAAAAAGACATGATCGACAAATAACACATAGCCCATCCATGCCATGTCAGATGGCGGACAAACCATGCGAGAAAAGGTGGAACAAAAGTGAGGACGCTTTGAAGTTCGAACGTTTTGCCATCTTCCTTCCGAGCCCTTCGCAATAAAACCCAATCCTATATCCGTCGGGCCAAAGCACTCTCCACCAGTCCTGATCCTAGAGCAAAATGGAAGCTCCTTCGTAACATTGGCTTATGTCGCCCACCCAACTCACCATCTTCCTATCCTGTCTCCCCTGAAGAATTAAACTCCCTCTTTGTCTCGCCCAACTCTTCTTCATCAATGCCTGTCCCCATACCCGCTCCCTCTGGACCCTCATTCAGTCCGTCTAACTTCTATTTCTCCTATCTAACCCCAGCCGAAGTCCTTGAGGCCATAACCAAATCCCACTCCAATGCCATTGGAGTTGATGGCATCCCTATCCATTTTCTTAAACTTTGCCTCCCAATATTACTACCTGTTCTACTTCACATCTATAACTACTCACTCCAAAACTCCGTTTTTCCGACAGCCTGGCAAAAAGCCCTTGTCCACCCTGTCAATAAAACCCCCAACCCATCCTCCCCTACAGACTACCGTCCCATTTCCATCCTCTCAAACCTGTCCAAGCCCCTAGAGAGATTAGTCCAAGCACAAGTCTCCAGGCACCTTGAACAGTCCCATCTTCTCAACCCCCACCAATCTGCCTTCCGCCAAGGATATTCCACCCAATCAGCACTAATAAAAATTACCAGTGACCTCCACTTAGCAATGGACAAACGGAAAGTTACTATACTTGTCCTTCTTGATTTTTCTAAAGCCTTCGATTCTGTCCCTCACTCTTCTCTCCTGTCTAAACTCGAATCTTTTTCCTTCTCCGCAAGCACCATCCGTTGGTACCACTCCTACCTTACCAATCGCCACCAAGCTGTTTCCCTTCCCAATGGTCTTACCTCCTCCTTCCTCCCTCTAAAATCTGGGGTGCCCCAAGGTTCTAGCATCTCTCCTATCCTTTTTTCCATTTATATCAATGATCTGCCCGACTCCATCCAGTCCTGTAACTATCACCTATATGCCGATGACTCCCAAATATACATATCCTTTCACCCTTCCGATCTTCACTAGGCCATTCTCAAGATCCAAAAAGACCTAAACTCAATCAACGAATGGGCCCATAAAAATTCCCTAGTCCTCAACCCCTCCAAATCCACCGCCATAATTATCGGGTCCAGGCAACTCCTCAATTCCCTCCCCAGCATCCCACCTCTCATGCTAAATAACCACCCCATCCCCTTCTTCTCCTCGGTTAAAAACCTAGGAATAGTCTTTGACCAAAACCTTTCCTGGCATTCACACATTTCCCGTCATTCCATCGCCTCCCTCAGCCTGTTCCGTCGGTCCTGGCTTCTCTTACCTTTCTCCACCCGCAAACTCCTTGTATCTTCCCTTATACTTCCCTTCTTCGATTATAGCTGTTTGGCATACGGTGGTCTCTCGGAGAGGGAGAACGCGCGTTTGAAGCGTATTTTGAATTGTTGCGTAAGATTTGTGTACGGCACCCCACGGGGATCCCGGGTGTCGGGGTTGTATTTCCAACTTTCCTGGATATTCCCCTCCTTCCGTGCACAGTATTTCCTAGGTTGCTTTCTTTTCCAGTCCATCCACACTCATCGTCCTCCTTACATCATCCAATCCCTCCAATTCAACTCCTCACATCACACTCGTAAGACCCGCTCATCCCCGATCGACCTTGTCCTTCCGCAACATACAACCCATACCTTCGAAAGATCCTTTCTGATCCGAGCCCCTAAACTCTGGAACTCCCTTCCCCTTTCTATTCGTCACGCTGCCTCCTTTTCCTCCTTTAAATCCCATCTTTATAATCACCTCCTCTCCCTCCAAGAAGAGACCTCACGATTACATTTATTATTTTTGTTTAATATTCTCGTAATTTTCTCTTCTGGTCTGCCTTACTGGCATACATTGTGCAAAGATTTCTATCTTTTTTTTTTCTTTTTTTTAAATTTGTAACTTCATAGGAGGTACTTCCTTTATTTTATCTCTTGTAAATTATTCTTAGGGGACACCAGTCCCAGAATAAAGTTATTTTTCTTCTTCTTCATCTTTCTGTTAGTAAGACCAGAACAGGTAATAATCCTGGAGAATATTTCCAGCGATTTTTCTCACTTTGTTTACATCATTAAATTATTTCAACCCACCAGTGCGCAATTTTCATCTTAAGATTAGTTGTTCTAGTTAACAATTATTTCATTATCTTTCATTATCGAAAGACTCACGTAGAAAAACTTACACTGCTAAAAGAAAACTTAAGCAATAACAGACAAGGGTTGCACAAAGAGGCTGCCACAGTCAAACGTTTATCTCTCACGGTAGATTTTACTTCACAACAACAATTCTGAACATGGCGAGAGCACACGACAGCGAGACTAGGCAGATGAAATCTGGATTCCGGAGACATTTGCATTGGAAGAAAATAAAATTGCAAAGTACAAGTACGATTTAGGGGCAAAAACAGAAAACTAAACTAAACTACTCAACCGAGTACTCAAAATCTCAAAAGTAACTCAAAATTAAACAAAACGACGACCTACAAACCTCAACAATACAGGCAAGTATGAAACTACTCCACGGCCTATAAAAAAGGACAAAAAATGAACTGAAAAATTAAAAATATACAAACATAACAAATTCAGTACTAAAAAAAAACAGATCAAATTATTTCATAACGTTACAAAAATTAAAAACGAAAACCGATGATCACAAAGTATAGAGGGAACAATAAGAAAACCAAGACTAAATCGATTCAAAAGTTCGATACACACTTACCACCTCTCTTTTCAAAATGAGGACATAAGGGAGACTTGACATCACAAAAATTACCCAGACCCAACACTGAAGATGGCGAAATAGAAGATGCCTCACCAAAATGGCATACGTACGTCACAATCTGTGGGTTGCGTGAAATGTACATGGAACTCGACGAAAAAAAAAATTCAAAACTACCACAACCCTCAGCAATACAAGCATAAAACGACTCTACGACGTAAAAAAAGGACAAAAATTAATCTGAAAACGTTGCAAATGCAAACATAACACATTTAAAAATAAAAAGTCATAACGGCCATACACATAGTTTGTATCATTTAAAACAGTATAGAAACTAAAGAGGAAAACAGACGGAAAAAATAAAAAAGCCCAGACCTTATTCACTAAGACACCTCCCACCGACTCATAAAATAGTCTAGACTTCACAAAAATCACTCTGATCCAACACTGATAAAGGCGAGGCGAAACCAAGGATGCTTTTACAAAAATAGCATATACCTACGTTACCTGTAGATTGCGTGGAAATGTACATCTGAAAGGACGAGAAGAAACTCATAGAAAACTACCACAAACCCTCACCAATTCCGTCAAACATGAAACTACTCCACATTACGTACAAAAAGGCCGAAAAATCAACCTCAAAATTTGGACATATTCAAACATAAGACACCGACCCACGATTTTATAAAAGGAACTCGTCTTCACAAAAGTCACCCTGACAACACTGAACATGGCGAGAAGCCGAAACACGCCTGATAAGCTGATACTCAGACCAAATCATTGATAACAACCAGATTTTAAAAAAATCCAAAATAAACTTTGTGACAATCCTAGACCGTCTTCATTTTTCGACGGTGCATCTTACTCAACTGATCTCAAACAGTTTCAACTGTCCTCTTGTACAGTATTAATTTTATTATATCGAAAGTTATATTGAATTGAATTCTTATCATGTTTAAAATATTACTTACGATTGTGAAAATAGAAGCGCATCTTTGGATGTATCGGAGAGAGTCTTTTCCGATGACGTTGAACTGGAAAAACAATACTAGTATGGTTTAAAAACATTTTTTGTTTAACACTTTTTTTTAACAATTTTAATGTTTAACAATTTTATCTGACTAGAAATTGTTAATGACTTCTTGCGTTCATATCATAATCTAAAATGCTACTTACCAATTTAAATCCGGATGCGATTCATTGGATATGCCGGAGTCGTTTTTCAATGGCGTTGAACTGGAAAATGAATAGCAATAAATCTTCCAAATACAATATTTAAATTCGATGCCTAAAAATTGCTACTTACCATAGTGAAAGTTGAAGACCATCGTGGGATAAACTAGAGTTTGCCGATGGCGTAAAACTGAAAAAACACCATGCCATAAAAGCTAAAGTTATACGTATTGTTTATATTAGAAATACATTTGTTATTTGAAATGATTATGTCCATTATTTATGATACAGGTTGTCAAATGCAAGAAATATCAAATGAAAACCGTCGGAAAATTTTGATTGTAATAAACTAAATGGATTATGATAAAAATGGTACCGAATAATGGCAACACTTCGACCTCCCTTGGACAAACTAAATGAGAGACTAAAAGCTAAATGAATTTAGAGTAGCTCTTTTTAAAAAAAAATGAAATGCTTATCAAATTTACAATCCATGAAAAACCAGCTGTTTGTCCGAAAAACAGTCGCTACCTCCTTTATGAAAATTTACGCTCATAACATAAAATGGTACTGCATCGAAAAAGGAAGATAGAAAATATCGAACAGTTATTGTAAATAAAGTTTATCAATTTTTTAATTGTTTTTTCTTCATCAGTTAGCAAATAAAAAAAATCCGAAAATTGTGGAATAACATTTCTAAAGTCGTCACTTTTCATTCGGAAAACTTGTTTGTTCTAAAATAAACTTAAGACACTGATAATTAAAAATTATATATGTATAGAAAAGAAAATGTTCATCAATTTGTAACAAGTAGTGTGTGTGAAGATTCTTTCTTAAATGAAATACAAAACGAAAGATTGTATTAAATAAATAAGCAAATACCTCTTTTCCTCTTCAGCTCCTTGGCTATTTGCGCTAGAAGTCCCTTCCAGTTTTGTCATCTTACCCTTACGTCTACAACCACTTTTCCTAAGGTAATCAAATAAATAAGTTCCAGGTCGTTTATTTTCTCGTTGAAATACAGGTTCCAAATTCCACCAATAACAATTAGTTATGGCAGTCTGTGTTTGTCCTTTGACCGGTAAATATCGGATTGTATTATCTCTTCCATCTTTATTAACTCAGGGAGTATGATATAGTTTTTTTTCATACCCAAATAATTTTCTTTTTATAATTACTTTTAAATTATTTAGAAGTGTTTTACTTTATTATTTCAAACTTTGTTTTATTATTACTATTGTGATGGAAATCGACGAATCCATCATAAGAACTGATCCCCCGGACAAAGGTCTATTTATAAAATGAAATGGTGCAGAAAATTTGTACTCATGTCCTTAGAGTCTTATCAAGAAAACATTTCGTTAAACAACGTCAGTCCTTTTAAGGTCTGTCGGTTTGTCAGAAGTTATGCCCCGGCAATAAATATGAAGTTTTTAAGGAATGGATCTGTCCTCGACATAAACAATGAAAAATATTATTTCAATCTCCAAACCATCAACATCTATGAAAACTTAATAGTAAAGTTTACTTTACATCGTTCGGTTGAATTTTTCTAGAGGGGTTGCGTTTGCTCCTGAGTTGCTAAATTGTCCTGAAGCTGAGATTTTATCAGAGCTAGAATCTCAAGGAGTTACTAAAGTACGAAGAGCGATGAAGACTGAAAATGGTAAATTTTCCTCCCAAGCCTGAAATTCCTGAGAAAATTATCTTAGCTTTTGTTCAAATCAAATTGCGCCTGTTTAGACCCAACCCAATGCTATGTTACTCTTGTTTTCGATATAGGTACTGAAGAATGTGTTTGAAGTCTCAGCAAGCGACCAAAAATAGGAACAAATGCCTTAAAGTATTTTCCTAAGACAACCTTCCAGTGAAAATTTAGAAAATATAATTCGGCAAAAAATCATGCTCGATATGAAAATAAGTTAAAAAATTCCTGGAAGAGGTTTTTGGAACTTACTAGTTCTAATACCCTATATTTGTTTATTGGGACAAGAAAAAAAAAAAAATAAATAAATAAAGGACGCGGTTACAGCCCACTCGTTACCTCCCTTAAAGGTGATAACGATTGGTTCCTAACTGAATCTAAAGAAATTGCTGATGCTTTTTCAAAACATCTTTACAAAATTTCGGCTACTTCAAATTATTTCACTATATTTAAAGAAATAAAGGCACGACATGTGCCTATCCTTTTGTAGTGCCTCATGCAACAAGCAACCAACCCGATCCTTTGAGCAAACCATTCTCTGAATTGCATTTCATTACAGCATTAAATTCGCGCAAAGATACATTGCCGGGACCCGATAACGCGTGTATTTCCTTCATTAAAAATCTGTCCAACAGCAATAAACAAACCGTGCTAAACGCAATAAACAGAATTTTTGTCTCAGGTATATCTCCTAAAATCTGGTCTACAGCTATCGCTATTCCTATTAAAAAAAAAAAAATAAAAATCTTAATACTCCATGTGTAAACTGGTAGAAAAACTTATTTCTAACAGGATTTTAAGTGTACCATGGTCTATTACCAGCAAGCAAAGCAAAGTGGATTTAGAAGGGGGAGAAGTACGAAGGATAATCTTACAAAGTTAAAAAATGCTATTTGCGAATCATTCAATAAGAAGAAAAGCTGCTAGCAGTGTGGAAAATGCAATTGATTGTACCTGGAGAAGGCTAATTTTAGATAACCTTTTAAGTTTCGGTATTACTGGGAATATTATGAAATTTATTTAAGAAAATTTCTTGACAAATATTTAGAGTCAGGTTCAGTGGTACTCTCTCAGGCGAGTTTGCCCAAGAAAACGGGGTGTCCGAAGGTTGTGTATTAAGTGATATGCTATTTTGCGTTGCCATTAATAAAGTGTGTCAATTTCCCAGTTGACGTAATGTTGAATGCCGACGGCATAGTTTTATTTTGTACCAGTAAAAATATTGAAACCCTTCAACACTTTATGCAAAATGCATTAAATGATGCAAGTAAATGATTATTAGGAAATGGCTATAAGATTTCGACGTTGAAAACCGTAGCTGTCCTTTTTCTCAAAGACGACCTACTACATTACCGGCCCTGCATATTCTCGGAAACAAAGTTAATTTTGCCGACACTGTTCAATATCTCGGTCACACTTTTGATAGGACTCTAAATTTGATGGCTTACCTTAAAAGGCTTAGAGCAAATTGCCTTCAAAATATGATTTTGCTAAAGACTGTAACTTCAACTTCATGGGGAGCTGACCGTGCGAGCCTTTTAAGATTATATAAAAGTATAATAATACTTTTACGATTATATATAAGTATAATTATGGCTGCAATGCATATGGTTCAGCATCAGAAAGAAAGCACAATTGTTTAAACCCAATTCAGAACACTTGTTTACGACTGGCTACAGGGGCTTCGATCAAGCCCGTTAAATAGCCTACTGGTTGAAGCTGGAGAATTGCCATTAACGTACAGGCGACAGTTTCTTGACATTAAATTTTTGGTTAAAATCATCTCATCCCTGCTATATCCTTTGAATGATTTATTTCTAAATAAAAACATCATCTCTCTTGAAAACTGTAACAATAGTAAAAAGAAACATTTCGCTGTACTTGTTTCTTTCGTACTTCTTTATTTTTACACAGCCAAACCAACAACAGCATTACAAACTATCTTTACATTTCCTCTCTGGCTCTCATCAAAAGCTAATTATCAGCTACAACTTGCTAAACTCAAAAAAAGGAAACACCCCACCATTTGTACACAAACAAAACATTTGTAGAAATCCTGGCGAACCTTCCGCATGATACCGTAGCATTTACTGATAGGTCTAAAAGTACAATATATTTCAATTAATTAAGGTTTTTAGTTGAGATAAAACAATCAGTGTCACAAGCGGGATTCGAACCCACGACCTTCGGCTAGATACGCCGCTGCTCTACCACTTGCAACAGGAAATGTTAAATGAGGTGGTAAGTCACCTTCCAAAAAATACAGTAGCAAGAAGAAATAATAAAATCGGAGTCAAGATGCATTTACTCCGCTATTGTCGGTTTCGTTGATAGAACTGGATGGAAAATTTAAATAATAGTATAATAAAACAAATAGAAATAATAAAATAAAAGACGGTGGCTCTGGCCTATGAGCTGATAAAAAAAAAATTCTTGCCATGGGGAATCTACTCAGAACAAGAAATTGAAATTAAAACCAAACTCGCTAAGCAGTCAACGATTCTCAACGGACAAAGGAACAAATTTCACACTGAATATTAATTTTTACAAATATTAAAAAACCAAAATGCCTTTCAAGTTTATGTGATTTCCTCGCAGTAAAATGGCCCAACATGCTTTTCATACTTTCGACATGGACAAATTGGAGGGCATTTTGAGGCAAGTAGCATTATCAAAAACCCTCCAAATTTCGGATGAGCAACAAGCTTAAAAGTTAAATTAACCAATGTACTTGTAGTTTTTAAAAAATCTTTCTTTTGATCAAGCCGTTACCTGCTCCTACTCCCATTTTCTGCAGCCTTAACCCTCCATAGTACAGGTTAACCCTTAACAATCGACTATCTCACTGTTTATCTACCCCATCAAAGTGTAGCAAATAATATAATAATAAATAAGCGAGTACAATATCGCGCAATTCCTTGCAAAAAAATTGCCCAGGAAATAGATTTTCTTCGAATTCTTTTCCACGTCAAGGATAGTAGAAAATAAACAAATAAGATTTACATCAGAGGATAACAATAATTCAAGTATAAATAAAATAAAATAAATTGACAGACAAATACCCAGGAGTGTTTATCGGTGAAGGATGGCACGCTTCAAATCAGATTTCAACCTGTCCAGTACTGAAAACAACGGAAACGAACGCACTGGCAAAAGTAACAGCCAAAAGTGAGCAGCTGACAACTCCCCGCCTCTTAAATAATTCAATTTGTATTATATATGTATATCATTTGTTGTATTCTAAACTTCAATTTTAAAAATAAATAAGCATTACTCTAAAAGTCAGTGGGAATAAAAAATACCCTATCGGGAAAATTGCACTATTATTAGAAAATATGCATAAATATACCGGGTGCCATTTTCAAAAGTGCCTTTTATGAATTGTTACCCTAGATCTTGTTTTGAAACTATGCCGACGCGCTTTTATGTGAATGTTTACTGACAAGGAAAGGGTACGGAAGTGGGATCACCGATTTTAATGAAAATTTTTTTGGTGATACTAAAGGTACTAGGTCGGAAAATTTAAGTGCCCGAGACTCGAGGGTAAGAAAAAAAGTGTAAGGGATTAGATATAAACGGTACAAAAATCAAAAGACGTATCCAGTAAAGTAAGCCAAAAAACAATTTTTTTTAAATCGGCATTGTTTTAAGTACAACTTTCATAATAAACAAAAAATAGATATTTTTGGGCTGGATTTGAGGCAATTTTGATGCGATTGTTTTCCGGTGTTCCGGACTTAAAAATTCATAACTCCTCTGGATGTTAACCAAATTCAACGTTATTATAACCATTAATTAAGGTTTTTAGTTGAGATAAAAAAGTCAATGGCACGAGCGGGATTCGAACCCACGATCTTCGGCTAGATACGCCGCTGCTCTCCCACTTGAGCTATNTGAGATGGGAAGTTAGTGTCCGAGTGGATCGAGGTCACGATAGCTCAAGTGGTAGAGCAGCGGCGTATCTAGCCGAAGATCGTAGGTTCGAATCCCGCTCGTGCCATTGACTTTTTTATCTCAACTATATTAATTGGTCAAGCGGACCACGAGATTAGTGAATTAAGTTATTATAACCGTTGGAAATAAGAACATTTCTTCATTTAGGCTGTGCCAACATTATTAAAATTTTATAGCATTAGAAGTGAGAAAAATAAGAATGAAATCAACAAAAACTACAGGAATGTAGTTTGAAGTTCCCTGTGGATCGGTGGAGTGGTTTCAAAGTTGTCATCATTGGGATTTTCGGAAACGGGAGCGCAGTTAATTAATTTATTTTTTCCATTATTATTTTAAAAAGTTTATATCTGTAAAATGAAGTTTCTACATGTATAACTGCATAAGTATTTGTACAATAATCGAGAAGTAACCTCAAATTGTGTTAAAAAACTAAGATAAGTGTCGGTGCATAATGTGCACTCTCAACACGACACACAGGAATGACACATCTACACAGAAAACAAACACTTTGAGCCCTGAAGATCATCTTAATAAAGGTCGAAACGTTGGCACGATAAAGAAAATGTTTTTCTAAAACCCACGTCACACCAGACCGCATCTCACGATCTCCAAATTACTATTTAACAAGATTGAATTTGATGAAATGTGAGGGCAATAAAAAAAGTTAATACCAAAATAAAATTTGTACGAAAGGTCTAAACTCCAAAGTCGCAATCCTGAAATGTTGTGTTTTTGGATTTCCCGTTTTACCCGCAGACATTTCTGCCATTTCGTGATGTTTATTGAGTTCTAAACCCCTTGTAAAGTTTCCCGCAGATCGGTGGAGTCTTAATATATATAAAAAAATAAAATAAAATAAAAATAAAAACTTCCGATTTATCTAAAATTTGGATTCAGAGGTTTTTTGGATAGAGATAAACGAATGTTGAGATCTAATTTGCACGCCCACGAACCGTTTCTTGTTCCAATGAGAAATTATTTCGATAAATGCTAAAACTAACATTTTTAATTTTAAAAAAAGTTATAGCATTTGCTGGCTTAAGTTGTAACGCTTATTACTTCATTGAATAATAAAAACACAAAATAAAAATTATTTTATAAAAAAAAAATAAAAAAATGAAAACAATTAATTTTATAATAAAAAATTATTTTTACCTAAGGTTTTATTAATCTTTGTACATTGTCCTACGGTAAAAATAAATATTAAAATAATTAAAAACAGCCATTTTCATATATGGTAGAGAGGCTGTACGTATGATGTAGAACTGTTCAGGAACGATGAACAGTGCGCGCAATGAGCTGTTCAGTTGATCCGGTTCACATCGGAACGTAGGTCTTTTGCAAACACGTTCTGGAGTCTGGAGGTTTCAATTTCAAGTTTCAACCTCTAATCCAATCAAAACGTCACGTGTTGTCCACGCTTCCTGGCATTTTATCTTGACCCCTCATACGATTCTTTTATACTTTTGGCATAGAAGTTCTACCTGGGAAAGATGCCGAACAAAAAGACTGGGCAGAGAAAGAAGGCTGAGAAGCAGAAACAGAGGCAGAAAGGAATCAGGACTGCAAGGGAGAATTTGGATTTTGGAAAGTTTCCCTGCAATGCAACAATGGTATATATTTTTTAAAATATAAACCGGCCAAATCAAGCCACTTGATTTTTAATATAATTATATTGTAAGAAAAGTGTTTTCTAGGTATTTATTTAAATGATTGTATTCACAATTGCTGAAATTCCTAGAAGTAAGATTACACGGAGATGCAACATTCATTCCCTCTCTGGGCTTTTGTAGACAAAAACATTTATTTTATTAAATATTTGGTATAGAAAGAAGTGAATTTTGGTTGTCAAAAAGACCATACACATTTACCTGTACTGATAAACAGGAATGTGACTTCTGGTGAAACTGTGCAGGTATTGAGACCTGTTCAGGTAATGTAGAACGGATCAAATTCAATTCTTTCTACCTGCACAGTTGTCATAGAGTGTGCGTAAGGGACCCATCTGTCGCCTGCACAGGTTTCAATAGTCAGCTTGATTGTCATCTTGTCGTGAGAAGCCATGACCAATAAGCTAAACATGTGGTTTACTTCCAGATTTACTATACCATGTATGAGCTCGTTACCTGTGTAGGTACTGTACCACTTGCCCACAGGTTCAACGTCCAGTCAAACTGTAACATATATGGCCAGCCTTAGACATTCACATTGAACATTCTTGCCTTAGTAGGATAAGTTACCCAGTTAATACATTGTTTAGCAGGCAGGATTATTGAAATAGATCTACTCTTTATTTCCAGAAAATGAACTAAAAAAAAAAAAAAAATCGCCAAGATCAGCCGTTGATTTTTTTTTTAATATATGTTTTTTATTTCTACAAATACAACAATGGTTATTAGCAACGCGTAATACAGGCATGGATCACAATCCGTCTGCCAGTTGTGATTTATTTATTGCTTTTACCTATTGTTGCCAGTTTTCACTTTCTATGATGTATAGAGTTCATCCAAAAAAGGTTGAATGGTCTTATATGACAAAAGGGCTTATTTGAATTAATGTTCTAGTTTAAAAGGTTACCCACGGTTAACAATCAGTTTTATTGTTCAGCGTACAGTCTGCAAGGGAGGAACGTTGCTGGATGAGGCTGGGTCATAGTTGCTGAAGGCGGAGGATCGCTGGAGGCACTTTTCGAGAAGACCTAACCTCCGAACTCAGGTGATGGTTGATCTAATTCTCCATCTATCTGACACTAACTCCGGTTCTGACTTTGAATCTTACACTGAATCTTGCTCTGATGGTCTCTTGTACGGGCCCTTCTTATACCGTGGGCTCAACCAGGTTGATTAGTTGGATTCACAGTTTGTGATGCCTTGGATGAGGGCGTTGACTCCTGCCCAAGGGCTTGGGTGCGGTGTGACATTTTGCATTTCGGCCTGTTCCACAGGTCCCTCTTCAAGAGGGAAGGCTGATCTTGGTAATCATTTCTTCACCAACCCTGGACATAAAAAGGAAAGGAAAAATCTTAGCAAGAAGAAATTTACCTACTTTTCATTGTTTGTGATGATTTTTATGTTTGAACAGAAATCAGCTTAGTATTTAAAATAGGTTTTACATGATTTTATGCTCTGATATTAAAAGCTTCTTCATTGTAAAGTTGTGGAAGAAACTAATAAGTCGTCTGAAAAACAATTTATTTATATTTACCATTTATTTATTCAATTACAATTTATTTACATTTGAATCTTACTATCTATAATGAAAAGCAGAAATACAGACTACAAAATAGCAAGAATAAGAAGACTGGGATGATCAAAATTGGTATACTTGCTGGCTGTTGTTCAAAACATTGCAGACCACCCAACAATAATGGTTTCCAATCACTTTTTGTCAGATTATCTTAGCTGTGTTGGTCTGTACGATGCAATCTTCAGTGTTGGGTCTGATTTCAGTTTATTTAAATTTATTTTAAATAATTAAATTTCAGACCCTACTGCGAGGATAGGCAGACAAAAATGATCGGTAAACCAACTTGCAGGTTTATCACCATGCAAACCACACGGAGAAATCTCACATCAAAAGTCTTTACTTCCTCTGCGAAATGTTCAAATTTTGTTTTAAAAAAAAAATATTGAATAACTTTGAAGAGTATATGGAATGTGTAAATGAATTATATTTGTTACAAACATATCAGTGGAACACCATTATTTTCAGCAGCACTAAAATTAAAAGTTGCAATTGTACTCATTTTGCAATACTTCAAAACCACATATTGAAATATAGTTGGAAAAAAAGATCATTACAAAGAATGGACTATTGTTTAATATTATAAAATTTATTTTAATATTAAAATTAATTTTGCACTTTAACACTAGCAAAATAAAATATTATTTTCTTTTGTTCCAGGAATGTGACAAATGCAAAAGGTGATTACTATATGTAATTATAGTGCTAATATGTAGCCATAATTTTTCTATATTGAATAAAATATTGAAACATTGATGAAATATGTAAGCATCTACATTTAAATATTAAAAAAGGGGGGATAAGTTCAATTAGTTTGGTGAAAATATTTGTCATTTCGAAGATAATCAATAGCAATGTATGTATGATTATTTATTTTACTTACTACTGATAGAGAATTTGTCATAAACTTTTTGCAGTTTAGGGTACTAAGAAAGAGGAAATGTTTTGCAAACTTTGTTGCTGTTATTTTTAATTGATTATAAACAATAACAATCTTGTCTAATAAATTAAAGATATTTAATGAACTTAGTTATTTTCTTCTTAGATCAGTGTTTTCAAAAACAATATTCCTCTGACATTTATTTTCTCTTTGCAACAATACCAAATTATTCTATATAAATTGCAGGAAACAAAAAAACAGAGCATTCTGCTACTTCTGTAGTAGTGTTCAAAGACTACCGTTATGCGCACACTGCGGAAAAGTGAAGTGCTTATTAAAAACAGGCGACTGTGTTGTCAAACATCCTGGAGTTTTTACTACAGGAATGCGAATGGTGGTATGTATTTATTTTGTACTGTTTTTATTAGATTTTAGTATATAATTTAAGCTTTTAGTTAGTACATGTGTTCTATCGGAAATACAGTGAAATAAGGAATTGATTTGGTAATTTTTTTAAACAATTTTGAGAGATTTAACAAAATAGCTTTGCATGTGAGGTCCTACAGTAAAATATTCCTAACCATGCAGGAGATGGTTGACTTTATAAAAGACTTGAAATATTGTAGGCAACATCTGTTATCCTGAGATGCTCCACCAGAGACACTGAGTGCTTTAACAAAGACTTTCCTATTATCTTTTTAAAACTTTTTCAGGGTATTTATTCTTCTTTTCTTCGTTGTCCTTTTTTCTGTTTATAGATTTAAAAAAAATTTAGGCCCTTGTGTTGAAGGTGTTTTTAAATAAAATTATAGTTTTTCAGTGTTTTGGCATCCTGTGCTATTTTCAATTTTTTAATTCATTGTTTTCAATTTTTGTTGAAACCCTCCTTAATTTTTCAAAAATTTATATAATTTTAAGAAATAAAATAGTTCTTGAAATGGCACAGGATGCTGAAACGTCGGATTACTATAATTTCATTTAACACACCTTCGACACAAAGGCTTAAAAGAAAGAAGAAATTTTTCATCTATTTCCAGGGTGGTCTAAACTCTTCCATTGCCCCCGCTTCAGCCAACCTAATGCTCAAGTTATCCCTTGCCAGAGTACAGTCTCTAATTTCAAGCCTAACAGCATATGACAGAGTAGCAACTTTTTAGCACGTAAAGCACCAACAGTCTGAAGTCTGTGGGCATTGTGGCCATAGTACCACTTTCCCCTTGTTTCAATGCATGTTTTGGACTGTTCTGGCCTCGAACAAAATCCCGAACACATTAGCCGATTAGATTTCTTCTAGGATGTATTTTTTCAAAATTATTTTTTGATTTTAATGCTACTTTTTCTCATTCCAGAACCTTTTTTGTAATTAATACAACTAGTTATGTGCACATAGCCAAGTACTAGGTTTTCTATAAGATTTCAGTATCTTATTCTTAATTATTTCATATTGTATGTTCTTGAAAAAGTCTCCTATTTTCCCTTTTACTAGTTATACACCTATTTTTTTGTGAATCTTAAAAATTTATTTATTAGCATTTTTTTCTTGTAATATTTTTTTCTATTTTTTTAGTTTTAGCATTTCTTTTTGCCACTAAATAAATAATTAAAATTAAATATTCTTTTTGCCAGGTGGACCGCCGAGGTGGGTCTGCTTGGCGCTAGGGGAAGGAACATTAAAAAACCGGCCTCTCATGCCATGGATGGTTAATGTTTTTTGAAAAATTGGTGCATTTGTTGTTGAAGAAACAAGGAAAGATCAATGCTTTAACAAAAGTATTGATAATTTAGAATAGAATTTAAAAAGTTATTTATCCCCTAAGGGAACCAAAAACCAAAAATATCATTTTGGCCTGAGGGTGAGGTATGCAGGGAGTCCATGGCGCTTTAGGTGTTAAAATAATCATCCTGTAGTATAATGTAAACCCTGAATAGTGGCTCCAAACATTAAAACATTTTTGAGCAAAGCCCTAGATTATCTGAACTCCTCAAGATCTCATTTTACATCTACTGAAAAGAGCCAATGCTGAACTGGCTGCCATATTTGTTTTAATGATTGCATGATTGACTGCATGTGACAATAAACCGTTGTTGGAAATAGGTATGCCTGGGTAAATGTAATTGTTAAAATACTCTACAATTTGGCTACAAAGGCTTAATTCCCTGACCAGGGTTCCTACAAGTCTGGAATTAATACATGTTTAGCAGTCAAAGCATTTAAATATTTACCCAGTACATGAAGTTTATTCCGTAAATGGGCGCAAAAGTTTGCTAAGCATGACAAGATCATCGGCATATAATGAGATAAGCTTTCTCTCAAAAACGTCATGTCTATCTGTTATGATAAATGAAAACAACATAGGACAAAGGGGCTCCCCTTGCAAAAACCCCTCAGTAATGTTGATGCTTTTTGAGAGCTTGTTAACTTATGTTTATTTGTGCTGAATCATACGTTTTAGATAAAATTCTAATTATTTTCCCCGTAATTATATATTAAGAGAATACAATAATAAGATAAGGGATAATATTTTTTGTCAACAAAAGAATAAAATGAGCAAAAATAGACTGCAATCAGTTTTGTGGGTAATTAGTTAATTTATGTATGTTTACTTTGAAGTATGTGTAGTATTTAATGACAGTTAATTAATGATTATTTAGAGAACGCGGTCTGGTGTGATGTAGATGTAGAAAAATATTTTCTTTTTCGTGCCAACGTTTCGATCTTTAGTGAGATCATTCATCTTCATGGCCAGGGGATTTATAAACATTGTTTAAATTATAGGATATGAATATGATTTTATACAATAATGTACACAATAAAGAAATGAGTTTTATTAATGAAAATGTGCAGAAAATTATTAGGATAAATTGTTTTAAACATATTGTTAATCAGTTTTCAATTTCAGGGTGCAATATGTGATTTTTGTGAGGCCTGGATTTGCCATGGTCGAAAATGTCTCACCTCACATGCTTGCACATGTCCTTTACAAGAAGCTATCTGTATTGAGTGTGAAAGAGGTGTCTGGGATCATGGCGGTAGAATATTTAAATGTTCATTTTGTTCATCGTTTCTTTGCGAGGATGATCAATTTGAACATCAAGCATCATGCCAAGTTTTAGAATCTGAAAATTATAAATGTCCGTATTCTTTTTAAACAAAATGAAATTATTTTATAAAATCACTGTTTGGTATTTTTCAGGCCAGTCTTGTAACAAATTAGGACAGTATTCTTGTCTGAGGTGTAAGACATGTTATTGCGATGATCATGCTCGTAGGAAAGGTTTTAAATATGATAAAAATAAACCAATTCCTTGTCCTAAGTGTGGCTTTGAAACATCACAAACCAAAGACCTGAGCATGTCAAGTATGTATTTGCATAAAACAATTATTGTATTATGAAACTATTATTCACTGTATTTATTATGTTAAATGTAGTAAAATCTGCATGTTGAGTGTAAAACAACTGATTTTATTTATTTATTATTATTATTTTTTTTTTACGTGGGCATTTCAACTATAAGGTTATATTAACACTCGGGGTGCCGGTGTTTTTGAAAAAAAAACAAAAAAAACTGTAAGTATGTCTGGTTTGAATGCAGCAGGGCGCTGCTGGATTTGAACCCTGGTCCTTTACATTTCAGTTATTGGTGCCATGTTAACACCTAAATCGTGATGCCAAAAAATAAATAAATAAATAAATAAAAATAATAATAATAAAAAAACTATAATAATAATAATAATATGGATTCTCTTGTATATTAATTCTCCACCGTTGGGCAAAACTGAATAAGCCAAATTTTAAAAACTAAATAAGTGTTGGTATCTAATGAGATGTCACCAAAAAGTGAATGTATAATTACATAAATTAAAAAACTTAAGTACTAGGACAGCTATATTGAATTTGATGCAAAAAATGTTATTACAAAAATTGAATTTGTACCAAAGATCTAATCCTTAAAATCTCAATTCTGAAAAGCAATTTTGCCCCAAGGGTGCAGAATCATGTGAAATAGTTTGTATTAATTCAGTTTTCATACTAAATTGATTTTAAAAACAGGAGATGGCTTATATATGTGGGGGGTAGTAACTGAATTAAATAAAAATTATGAAGGTGGGGTGAGTATGTAGATTCACTTTTTGTAAGTGCTTTGTTTGTTCAAGTACCACTCTTAACATGAATTGTAAGAGTGAACCCTCTAACAGTTATAATTCACGTTGAGAGATGTGTTTATAACTTCTTCAACCTAATGTTGAATGTATAATGCTTGAAATCCGGATCATTTAAATAACTATCTGTGAGTAGAACCATCATTTACAAAAACTGAATTGGATAGGTACATAAAACATTTTATTGTTGCAAAACAAGAACAAAAACTGTGTGTCTTTGCACAAAAATTGTCGTTGTCTTTAGAATCCTTTGACAACATTTCCTCCTCTACGGCTAGCCTGGTAGGCACACCCGCTGGTGATGTTCTCTCCCCACAACCCGGCCATCCTGGAAATCCATTCTTGTTCTTGAGAAGTTTGTTGCTCATGTAGGCAACTGGATGAAGTTTCTGGTTGTTTTGGTCAATCTGCATTAACACGGCTCCATAACCAAATGAACTCCCATTGGTATATAATTCTATCTGGGCATTTGAATCAAATATTTTTAACACTGGGTCGCAAATTAATTTTGTCTTTAATTGTTCAAAGGCGAGACTCTGTCCATCTCCAAAAACAAATGTGTGATCTTTTCAATTTTGATTACAGCCTAGCTGTAAGGGCATAACTCTTAATAAACTAACCAAGGAAACTGTGTACTTGTTTCTTTGTATGTGGAATTAGATTCATTTTAGCCACAACTATTTTATCATCTGAGGGTGAAATGTGGTTGAAACAATTCTATGTCCCAGGATTACTGCCGATAATTTGAAGAAAGAACATTTTTTCCAATTTATCTTCAAACCATATTCTTCACATCTTTGCAGAACCAACTTCAACTTCTTTACAGCTTCATTCTCATCTTGTGCTGGGATAATCAAGCCGTCTATATAGAGAAGAAGCCCCCCCCCTTTTTGTATCATATCATATAAAAACTATTTACAGATCACACAAATGCCAAAGGCGAGTTGCTGAGTTCGAATGGTGTTCTCAAAAATTACTCTTATTGTCCGTTATGTGTCACAAACAAGGTGTATTCACGACTATTTTCATCCACAGGTACATGGAAGTAGCCATTTTTTAGATCAAGTATTGAAAATAGTTTCTTTTCTGGACATATTCGAGATTCATGAGTCTTTGCCCCACAATAACATATTTTGGTCTTGTCGCCTATCGGGAAATCTTGGGGCTTTACCTGGCCGTTGTCTCATCTAGTTTCATGCTTCTTTTATTTTTTTTGTGCCTTTGTCAAACTTTTGTACATGTTAAGTTTCTCCTGAAATTCTCTTATGGTCAATGCACCCCATAACACAGCCTTGCGGGTTGTTGCCAATATTTTCTATAACGTACTTGAAGATACATTTTAACTCGACTTTTCCCTGCTTGGCAATGGCCAATGTTTTATACAGAAATTCAGTTTCATCATGTCCAGGGTGTCGAAAGTCAACACTTCGTTTATCTTCTTAGAATCTAATTTAGGATACATACAATTCACCCAATAAAGATGTTCTCAACTTTTCCCAGGATTGAGTATCATTTATACACTTGACATACCAACTGGCTGATCCAGTGAGCAATGTTTTGTGTAGATGATTTTCTAAATGTTGTCTTATCTGCATCATTTACAATTTTACAACTCCTAAATCCATTACATCACGTTCTTGGTTTTGTTGACTCTGGAAAAAGAGTCCAGGGGGTTTCCACATCCTTTAAGTAATTAAACAGAGAAAACCAACCATTTTGGGTGATAAGTCTTGTCATTTCCTTGCCTTCAATGACTATTTACAAAATTGGTGAGTATGACAGTTTTCTCTCCAGCTCTGGGTTTGCCTCCTCATCTAATACTTGCAAAGAAAGGCGAGCCTCCCTAGGCCACTCGATTTCAATTTGTCGTCTTCGTTGTGTGCATTTTTCTTCGGTGTTCTCCGTTCTGCGCACTTTCAACCCTTAATTGACATGGGGTGGCCCCCAAATTTAAGGGAGTAATAACAGAATTGAATAGGTACGCAAAAATACTTAAAAGACTATTTTTGCAAAACAAGAACAAATACTACGCGTCTTCCGCCTTGCAGTGCCTCTCTAACTGTTGCCATCATTAGAGCCTAAATAATATGATTTCCTCAGTTGACTTTTTCTTTTTAAATATTAAAAAAATGTCATTAAATTTGTATACTTACAGTAGTAATTGTAATTTTTTAAAAGTTTGAAAAATCCCTTCCCCTTATCAAAGATTTGCGTTGAATTATTTTCACCTTTCCTAAATTTTTTGTTTTGTGTAAATTACTTATAACAATTTTTTCAGCCCGTTCCCATAAATTTGGACGTCAGGGCAACCGTTACGATGATGATGACGACGATGATTATGATTACGATATATCTTATTCTAGTAAGATTTGAAATAATCTTTGTAAATTTCTTTTATTTTTATAATTTTATGATTTTAAGGAAGCCATCAGTTCAACGGTGGCGATGACGATGACGACGACGACGATGATGATGATGAAGATGCTGATTATGAATTTGGTGGTGGCAATGAATCTTCAGAAGAGAGTGAAGAGGATTAATTTGTTTAAAAAAAGTATTAATGCCAAATGATGAAATAAGTAATTAATTTAATAATAATTGTTAGACATTTATTTTTTTTGCATGTGTTATCACATTTTAATTTTTAATGGTTCATGTGCAATAGTAACTTTTTTCCATGCATAGTATCTCTACATAATTTATATCAGTCTTTAATGTTATAATTTTGTATTAAAGATTTTTGGGTAAGGTTTGAAAAGAAAGAAAACAGTCAGTTCCTATGTCAACTTATAATTGAGGAATATATGATGCTTCATTAGGACTTACGTATATATACCTTAAAAACTTGAAAAAAGAACTGGTTTTCTTTTAAATTGACCTTATCTGTGATTTTTTAAAATATAAAATCATGTTTATTAATATTTAAAGCAATATGAATATTTCGGTCGTACCAATTTATTTTGTTATTGAACAGTTTATATTGAAATGTGCTTGCCTGTTAGGTTCTGTTGTTAAAAAGATTAGTTACAGTTTAATTATTAAATGGCCTAATACTTCAAAAAATTATGAATTGTTACATAAGACAAAATAAACAGTTTATTAAAAAGTATATTTTGTACAATACTGTATGAATTACATTTCTTTAAACATATTTATAACTTTTAAAACATTTACAAATACAGAAAATAAAAACTTGCTTTACAATCCTTAAAATGATCTTGGTTCAAGTAAATATTAAACTTTTATTACAAAACCTGCACCTTACTGTAAATAGCCAAATCTGGAATTGTCAGGGGACTATGAGAAGTGAATAGGCTCAACACTGCACATGTTTGTATTTTGTATGTGCAGACTTGAGCCTATATAAATTCAAATCCAAATCTCACATTACTTTCACAGTAGACAATTTTAAACCTTTCAACAAAATTAAATATTATAGTATATGATTTATGTTAACAACTAATAATTTCATTTTTCATGATCAAGCTACTGTAGTTTCTGGAAAAAGCATAATAATGACAGTTTGTAAAATAGCTGAGGAAAACTAATCAAAAAAATAAAATTTAGTGATGTCTATAACAAGATGGGTGAATTATACAGAAAGGATTTTGGCTTATTTTTAAGTGATTAAAGAAAGCAGAATGAGGTGTTAAAACACATAGCTTGCAATTTACTTTACATTAGCCACAGCCATTCAAAAATAAAGTTTAACAATTAAAAATTGTTATTCAACCTATTGCATGTCTAAAATGTGATGCTCATGCATACAAGTTTTAACATTTTACTTGATTGGAAAAATTCTCAACTGTCTTTTTCACGTGGATTCGGTTAAATGTTTACTATCAAGCTGTGACATTGTGATCATTATGTTTATCTCCACTTAATGTTTGATGAGGTTACAAGCGATATTCTTACTGCAGGGCAGTTTCATAATTTCTTGGCCAGTGAGAGTTTGTGGACTAACAGGACATTCTTCAACCTAGAAAAAACAATTATCACTTTAAAACTCAGAATTTCTTTAATTGAAAATAAATAGAAGTGTTTTAAATAATTACTTTTATTCTGTCTTATTTACTGGATATCCTCTTCACACCCTTGTCCAAATTTATAAGTTGTTTTTCAGAATTACTTTGGGTTGAAATAGTCTTATTAACAATCTAAAATTATAAAACCAAAGTTTGTATAATAGATGTTATTCAATGTTTTCTTCATTTGTCTAAGGAAGTTGTTACATATTGCATTTTCAGTCATTTTGAAGTCCTAGGCAGTACCTATTTTTAAGATTTTTCGATATCAAAAGGGATCAACGGAAATAAAAATACTCTCTTATCAAATATGCCTAGCTGAAATTTAAGATTTAGTAGAGTGTGCTGGATATTTTATGCTGGGATAAAAGGGACAAACCAAACTAAAATACAATAAAAGGATAGTCTTCTGGTGATATTGTAAATTTTTTGATATAAAAGAGAAACAAATAAAACCTGAAAGAAAATGAATTTATTTATGCTTTGTATATTATTTGCTAATTACTTACTACTAAAAACAACAAGAAATTAAAATACGTATTTACTTTTCTAGGTTTTCCAATTTCATCAATGTCAACAACAGTTTCTGCACAGACTCTTAATTTATGTTCGAGAAAGCCAGAAGCTGAAAATAGTATCTCATTACACACTTTGCACTGAAGAAAAGAGTTCACCTTCAGCTGAAAAATTATAAAAAATAACTGTACATATATAATATATACTTTTGCATATGAGTAAAAAAAAAAACAATAAAAAACGTCAGGGCACATGTGTTAATTTAAAACAACAGTATCATTTAAAGCACTTTGAGATGATTTTTACTGATCATTGTTAGATCATTGCTTACCAACTGCAGCTTTGGGGGTATTACTCAACCTTCTACGACTGGTATTACTCATTCAAGGAGAAGCTACAGCAACTGATTACAGGCTCAACCGTTGACAAGGCTGGGCCATGTTAATCAACAGCTAGAGCTGAGGGAAGAGTTACAGGGTGACAATATATTAGGTCAACTGATTTTTTCTGGTACACTGGCGCCTCACAAACCAGGAAGAATTTTTATTCAGTCCGAGTCCTAGGAATGAATCCAAAGACTGAACAGAAATGTGTGGTGATTAGTGACTGTTAATTGATAATTCTTCAGAAATCGTGAGATGCAGTCTGGTGTGATGTAGGTTTCAGAAAAACATTTTCTTTATCGTGCCAACGTTTCGATCTTTATTGAGATCATCTTCAGGGCCTGGGATTTACAAACAATGTTTAAATTTAACAAATACATGCAGGATGTGGAAAAAAGTGAATTTATACAATGCAAAAAATATTTTTTATATTCAATCAAAGGATTTCTACTCACTCAAAGTGTTTGTTTTATGACTTTTTTTACTTTAAAAATTTTGAAGTGTTTCTTTGAATTGAGTTAGGGCGTGATTATTGCTATAATTTATTTTTTATTTATATTATTATAAACATTACTATTAACAAGAAATGTGTGGTGATTAATCGATGATTATTTGGAAATCGTGAGGTGCAGTCTGGTGTGATGTGGGTTTCAGAAAGACATTTTTTTTTATTGTGCACATCTTTCACGCATAAAACAAACACTTTGAGTGAGTAGAAATCCTTTGATTGAATATAAAAAATATTTTTTGTATTGTATAAATTCACTTTTTTCCATATCCTGCATGTATTTGTTAAATTTAAACAATGTTTGTAAATCCCAAGACCTGAAGATGATCTCAATAAAGATCGAAACGTTAGCACGATAAAGAAAATGTTTTTCTGAAACCTACATCACACCAGACCGCATCTCACGATTTCTGAGTAAAGACTGAACAGATTATAAACCTTGGAAGATATGGTATGGTTTTTGCATTTGAACATTGTGCCAGAGAAATGAAAAGGATTAGAATCCACTAAACCAAGTTAGCTATAATATCTAATAGTCAGACAGCATTAAAAACTTTAAAAACATGTGAGGTGAAGTCAAAATTTGTTTGGAGTTGCATGGAATATTTGGCTCGAGTCAGTGGTGATGTCCTGGGGTTCCCGAGCACTCAGTACACCAATGGAGTTGATATGAATACTTCTAACCCTGAACCATATTGTGGCCTAGAAATTTGATACAAAAAGAGACACATTGAAGAGAGGATCTTTAATGAGTCCAAATCCTGTTGGATCAACATGCCAGGGATGACAGAAAAAACATTGTGCAGATTTTGCCAACAAGAGGAAGAGACCGAGGAACACATTTTGTACTACTGTGATGGTCTATCCAGGGGCATAGGTTTCTGCTAAAAGGTGAGGCAAAAGCTCAAGCAGTCTCCTTCACAAATGAACCACTAGCTTAAGAAGGTATCAGAGGGCAGAAAAATTTGCAAATTTTGCTAATAAGGGGAAGAGACCGAGGAACATATTCTGTGCTACTGTGATGATCTGTCCAGGCGTAGGGTCTGCTACTAGGTGAGGCAAAACCTCATGTATTCTACTAACAAGTGAACTATTAGCCTAGGAAGCTACCATATGACTAAAACAATATGCAAATTTTGCTAATAAGAGGAACAGACTGAGGAACACATTCTGTGCTACTGTTTTGGTATATCCAAGTGTAGGTGAGGCAAAACCACAAGCAGTCTTCTATACAAATGAGCCACTAGCCTAAGAAGGTACCAGATGATAGAAGAAACAATGTGTAGATTTTGCCAACAAGAGGAAGAGATGGAGGAACACATTAAGTGCTACAGTGTTGATCTATCCACGCCGAGGCGTAGGGTTCTGCAACTAGGTGAGGAAAAATCAAGTGATCTCCTACACAAAAGACAATGGTACCTGATTACTAGAACAAAGCTGACAAGTGAGCTCTAAGAAAAATAGAAAGGTCACAATCTATCTAGGCTGAGTTGCAAGAGGCTTTGTGTCTGACTGCCCACTCTTCTTTCCTTGAAATCACCGAAATCACACAGACCAACAATGTAGATGTGAAAAATGCTGAAGTGTGTCTAATAGACCAACTCAGTGAGAATATGCAGACCAAAATGATTGGTAATGACTAAATTACAAGCTTATCAACTCATGACCTGAGGAATTTCTCAATAGCTGCAAATGCTTTAAAAGTTGGTAACCAGTAGAAAATCCCAAAATGTTTAAGTAAGGCATTAGACTTTAGAAAAAAAAGAAGATATATAAAACTAACCAGTCTTGTTATTCCCAATGCAGTCTTATATTGTTCTTGTGTCAGTGCCATAATAACATCTGCAATAAAAATGAATGTTACTTACACAATAGACAGTTTGTATGTGTCAAAATATGGATGGTGTGATGACATTATATACTTGTTATTTTATTTTTTTAATTTTTTTGATTGATGACAATTGATTTTTAATAGTCATAAAAAAAGGCTTCATCTTTGCTCTGTGTATAACTTATAAAGAATTTTTTTGAAGGGGGTGTCCAAATGGATGTCTTGTGTTGCCACCCAATTAAGGTCAATAAAATATTACACACTGCAAAAATCTGTATATTTTGTATATAGAGTTTTAAGAAAATTGATTAACAGAGAGGAGAATGAAATAGACACTGCTGTGCTGGAAGTCTCCAATAGCCTACCCTTATAAACAGGAGCAATTAAAGCTTCAGACAGGGTTCTGGGGATGCTTGTCAACAGCACAATTCAAAAATTCAGATTTGATAAGAGATTTCAATTCAAAATACCTAATAGAGCAGACTGGGAGAAAAGGATCCCGGTTAGTGCTGACTTAGCTTCAAGACCGAGTATAGGCCAGAAGCTGGTACCAATGTAAATATAATCAAGGATTAGAATTCATATAAGCCTTGGGAAATAGGCCACTGTATTTCAGGCAAAGAAATTATTAAATACTGTGTCAGGGAGATCAAAATGCTGTGGGATATTACCAACAAAAGAATAGCCATCAACGCAGACAGCCAAGTAAAGGCAACTACTTCATCGGTAGTAAAGTTCAGAGCTATTTGGGATTGCATCTTGGCCTTGCCAGACATTAGACAGAAAACAACAACAAAAACATTTTTTGGGTACCAGGGTATACAAAGCAGGTGGCAATGAGAAAGGCTGATAAATTGGCTACTCAGCATTGCACCAATTCACCAGACAATGGGGGTAAAAAAAGTTCTTGGTTCAATATTTTAGGACATTCAATCAAAAAGTTCATCAAAAGATCATAACAGAAAGTAAAAATAGATCTACTAAACCTAAAACATAATAGTAGGACTGCTGACGAGACACTGCAGACTCTGGAGGCATGTATGTATAAACTCAGAGCAAACAAAATTTTGCAGAAATTGTCATGAATGAAGGGAAAAGGCCAGCCCTGGAGGATACACATAGGACCCTTAGAAAAGCTTAGGTATCTGGTAAAAAGCTGCTTAACGAAAAACTAGACAGTAATGGAGATTACACAATAGACCAATATTAGTCGTAGTTAATCAATATTAACCTTAATAATCAATATTAAACCTTAATTAACTTAACCTTAATAATATTAGACTAAAAAGCCTAACTTCTCAAATAAAAATGTCTACTTTTTAAAGAATGCATTATGTATAACCCAAAAAATAAACTAAAAATCTATCAGATTCCCATGTCTGTTTTTTCTCTCATAATTTAATGAAATTGGACAGATAGTCTTAAAGGGTAACTTTAGCAGCAATTTTAATTTCTAATTTACAATTATTTCAGTTCAAATTTATGTATAATGTTATAATGTAATCAAAAAATGAATGTTTTTATAACATCAATAAACTTGGTAGCAATAAGAGTGGGTTAATTGTATACCAAAATTTTACAGCGATGAATTGATTAAACACACAGATAAATTTTTAATCAAAAACATATTTTATATCATGAAGTATATTTAATAACATAAACCTGAATGTTTTAAGAGACTTATTTAAGTCTCTCTAAGTTCATTTAAGGGTATTAGAATGTACAGATGTTCATTGAGAATTATCCAATCCTATAATTATACTAAAATTCCATTGAAAGTTGGCTAATTTGGTAGGATACTTGTTATTTTACCCTAACACCCTTGTCACAATGTCCCCAACAAAAACTGTGACATATTAGGTGATAGATCTTCACAAGTAGACCAAACACTATTAGATGTATTTTATTTATTATCATAGTAACAATTTTATGGATTTTATTGCAAAATGCATAGTACATTGTAGTTTGGCATCTGCCCGTTTAAATAAATAAGTCGTCTCCCGCACTCATCCCTTTTTTGAACATCAGTGTCTATTAAAACTTTAAATTAAGAACCCTAGAAAGATCAGACAACAAACCATGCGCATGTTCGGAAAATATAAACATATATTGAAAACTTTTACGCAAACTAGGAATACTATGGTGATGATGAAAGGAGACTAAGGGAGTGGGGATTTATGTTCCCTAAGCAATGCAGCCTTCTGGTTTATTTTATTTTCCAAGTTCCTTAGATCTTTCTTTTAAGGAGTACTAGGTCATTGGCTGTCATTGCTACATTTCTTTTCCCTGAGTTTTCTTTGTATCCCAGGTTATGTCTTGATTGAGAGGTGGCTTCACATTTGAAGTGATGTGGGTAGCTGTTTTTTATCCTCATTGCATAATCTGCAAATGGGAGCTTCATTAAATATCCCTGTGTTGTGTAGATGTTTTCTCAGATACCTGTGACCGGTAAACAGTCCTATCACTCTTCTTAGTTTAGCCTTCTCTAACT